ATCAGCATATTTCACAATTGCCCTGTTGACCATATTAGTTGCACCTTGTGACTCAAGAAGTTATAAATTCAAATAAATTGTACTATGTTCATAAAAATACTGAAGTGGATCCCTCCTACCCTACTTTGTCTTCACATTTTAACTTACTTTTACAAAACAATGCTAAACCACTTGCTCTCGTCCGGGCCCCTGCCGAGAAAGTGGGGAACACGTAAGAGTATTATTATCTTTGTAATACAAATTGTTAAATGATTTGCGGTCCAATTCAAGTAATTCACCAAGTCCATACACACACCTTAAAGATTGTAAAGTATATCTTACTAATAAATATTTTAAAATATTAGTTTAAAAATTAATAAATAAATTTTTAGAAAAGTTCATTGGAATATTAAATATTATAATTTGTAGACAAATTTATTTGTCTTTATTCTCAACAAGTAATTTTGGGGTATTGACTAACATTCTTCAAAATAAAATTGCATAAATGGAGGAATGATCGAGTTTTAGTGCTCGTGACAACAACATAAAAGAAGTGGATGCAGTTTTGAAACTGAAACCTCCTTATTCTTCACGAAACTCTATCAGCCGTCCACTATTTTATAAGAAAGAAAGGGAAACAGTTTCTAAGCTCATTTCATGACATTATATTGAGTAGTTACTAATATTATAATCCAGGTGAATTTTCATTAAAAAAATTAAGAATCGCATCTTTATTTTTTCTGGGCTGATTGTCATTCTTTTTCTAAGATTGAGTAGTTGCGCATTGCCTTGCTTTTAAATTTTCTTTTGTTTTGCCACGTTATATATTCTGCTTTTCTTTCTTTTTCTTTTTTTTTTTCAAACGAGAAGTAAGGTTTAAATCATTCTCTATAGGGTGTTGTTACCTTTACTGTTTGCACATCCCTTTCCTAACTGCCAACGTTAATAAGACTAATCATTGAAGCGCAGGTTTGCTTGATCAAGTGATGGAGCCTAATGACAATACTTAACAAATAACTTATATTATGTAAATAAGTTAAATTTAAATCTTAAATTAAAAAACCAGGTTAAACTTTAGCTTTAAAAAAAACCTAATCCAATCCAATCTATTCCACCTAATTATAAAACTCTGCAAATTGCAAACCCCTCCCCCCCTCCTCTACCCCACAGCCAAAAAAAAGACAGATAGAATCTATTTGTCTTTTATTTTTCCTTGACGATTTTCTACGTCGGTAATTTGGTGTAGCTTACTTCTTTTTCTATATTTTCCCTTCTTTTGTTTTTTCCAAGTCCTGAACTGTTGAATGAAATATTGACCTGATTTCAACGTCAGCTGATACCATACGGATATCTCATGGGTGATGATTTGCGTTGTGATTGGCTCAAAATGTGTGAAGCGAAACGATTATGTGCCATTCAGGTCCCATCGCATCCAAATCAACCGATAAAAGTGTATTCATTCGATTGCGATTTGATGGCCGTTACGCGGTTTATCCAATACTTTTTTGTCCATGTTTTAAAACCCTTTGATAACAGTCCATTTTGTGGTGGGTTGTCTTTTGCGCATATCATTGTCTTGATTCGGATATGATTTAAAGGTTGTGCGCGATCAGTATTAATTCAAAGTGTCTCCTATTTCCTCCTTCTCTTGCGTTGCACCTCACTTTGTGAAACTAATCAGTGTATTTATAATGCCTGTATCTGATGGCTTAACTTCTGTACCGTTTAGTTAACAATTGGTGAAAGAGAAAGCTATTGATATTGATATTGCTATTGCATATCAACTATCAAGATGATGAGACTGAAAGAATATGAAAAGAAAGAACGTGTTCAGCAACAATTGTGTAAAGAAAAGTTGATGCTTAAAGCTACAATAGGATGGTGCTCGTGGAAGTCGACTCATTGCTGCCCCGACTCAGGTTAAACTTTTAGATTTTTTTTTTTTTATAAATTAAAACAATTAAGGTTTAAAATTTTTCTCATTTTTTTTAATTTGAGGAAATAAATTATTTATACGTTAAATAATATATATAAAAAATTTTATTGTAAATTTTATTTTAAAATTAAAATTACAGATATAAATTATTTTATTTTAAAGTAATTTGATATTAACGTTATAAAATCAATCTTATTTTAAATAAAATATGTAAACACTTATCTAAATATACATTAACATTTGTCTTTATGAACATGGTTTCGTTTGCTACGGAATCAACTTAATGAAAGTCATTACTGAGGTACGCTTATGCTCTTCGGTTCAACGAATAAGAAGCTTCGAAGAGATTCTCGTCCTTCTCTACAATGAAAAATATAAAGTTCTTTCTTTCCCTCCAAATTTTTAATCCAGATTATACCCTTTTTTTTCTCCCTCGCAGGGAGTGAAAGCACAAAAGGACAAAAAGAAAATAAAGGAAGAATAAATAGGTTAGGTATGGATTTGAGGTGCCAGCTAGCCAACAAATGAAGGGCTTTAGATTCAGGTAAAATGTAAGACGGAAGCGTGAACCTTTCTTCCTCGTTTGGGCATAGATTGCCAGAAATGCTAAAAGGTAGCGACCCATCTTCAGCTAGGTACTGACTAAACATTGGTAACTGGCCCGATTTAGATCTCTTAAAATAGTTAAAGATTCAAAGCAATTTTACTCTTTTAATAACGATGATAGCTCGCAGGATACATGTACGATAGATAAGGTTCGAATCTTGTCTTAAGCAAATTCTCACATCCTCTCTCCCAATCCATGATTTATAATAAATACCTCGTTATTTATTTTTGCTTAACCATTATCTTTAGAACAACATATAATAGAACTATAAAGAAAAAAAAAACATAAAGAGGGGTTAATTTAAATATTTTTTAATAAAAATCGTTTGTAAACTTAAGATAAAATCCCGGATAAAAAAAGGAGTAGGGGCGGTATAGCCTTCCTAATAAGTTATTACACACAGAGGGTTCTTTCAACCCCTTCTCGATAGTCGTCAGTCTACCATTTGAGCTTGTTTCCTCGCCGTCACATTATGCGATGTGCATTTGTCCACCGCGCCTGCCAATAATGGGCCTTCGGCCAGGTGAGTGTTGTATTGGGCCTTTGGCCCTTCTTATTCTCGAAACACAAAAGCACCACGCTTTCTCAATGTACAAAACACCGTACTACTATCGAACCAAAATAAAACACAACAGTATTGGGAATAGAATTTAATGTTTCAAAGCCTGGGATGCTCAAATCATATTAATATAAATATAAAGTATATTTACTTTTAGACCATTGAACTACATCGATGTCAAATACGTTTTTTAAATTATTTAATAACTTTATATTAAATAATTTAATTTTAAAATAAAATGTAAAATTAAAATTTTCAATCATATAAATTATGAATATAAGTTTTTTTATCACATCAAAGTTATGTGATATTTTTAGTTAGACCACAAGTATCTTTTATTAAAAATAATTATTTTTTAGTTAGATAAGATTATTGTGGATGAAAAAATTATCCGATATATTATTTATATACAATATATATATTTTAAAAATACATTTTATTTACATTCTTATACATATTCAATTAATTATAATAATAAAACTAATATATTGTAATTCAACAATTGTATAAACAAAAATTACATTTTATATAAATTAGTAACTATATAAAAATTAGTATTGGTGTAATTTATATAATATGTGATTATAAAATCATTAAGTTTGGATATATTATAAAGAGCAAAAGTTACAACAAGTAGATGGTATATTGGGCTTTGGCCCCTTTTATTAATAATATGCCTTACCTCCTTATTGGATATAATTGATTATTTTTTCAGTAAATACATAAAAACAATACTAATAAATGTAATATTTAATTGTTTTTAAGTATAAGATATATTTTAGCATGAATTTAATAATTAATTGTTTGACATTTTAACTTTTTTTTTTTTCTCTTTAAAGACTTGAAGATATGAACTATGCATTTATAAATTTGTTTTCCCACGACCACTACTATCTATAAATTAAACCAGATATTTAACTAATTCAAATTGAGTCAAGTGTACTTATTGAGAACAAATAAGAGGAAAAATTTATTATAAAATAAGTTAGATGTTATAGGACTTATATCTGTATTCATAACGCTCTGCAAATTTACTCTAATTTAGACTGTATTATATTGATGAGTAAAGGTATTATATATGATATAAATTTTTTGTACAGGTACCCAATTAACCTGAATATAATTATCATCTCTAGTATTATGCAATGTTAAGAAGTATAATAAAATTTCATATCTATTATTTTCTTTTTCAGTTTAAACATCTTATAGATTTATTTAATATAAATTAGACATACCAAAAAGTGAAAATAACAGAATATGATTTGGTAATAAGTATATCAGTTTTGGTGCAAGGAGAGACCGAAGTCAGATAATATATATATTTAGAATAGTTATATTACGAGGATTTTCAACAAACTTTTTGGAAGTTTCATTTTTATTAAATGAATCAAATCAAATAATAATCCTATTTACGCGTGTTTTATTAAAATCTAAATCTCCACCAAACATGGTGGAAAGAACTAATTTTTGGTGAGTTTACAGAATAGGAAGACTAGACAACCGAGAATGTTTGCAAGTTGCAACCCCTGATCCTCACCATGTCGAATAATATCCTTTTCTCTCTGGACCTAACATAAAACGAATATCCTTTAAATTTTTGGCACCAAACCTAACGGTATCTCAGTTGAGCACGACCGTTAGAAACGCCGTCACTATCAACGACGGGTCCGTGGCCTATTCATGTACACCCAATCAGCAGAGGACGCGTAAAAACCGGAAAACGGATAAATCCTGCCACCGTCATTCCCGTTTTCTATTTTTATTGAAAATTGCTAAGACGCTTTTTATAATAAGAATACAAAAACTGATTAAATATAAATAGTTTATAAAGGTGAATCAGGGACATATATCAAATATAAGGAATTAATAATATACAATTTAATTTCCCTTTTTCTTCGGCAACCCAAACAGGGAAGCAAGGTAAGAATTTTCTTTGAAATTACTTTTTCTTATTCCTTTCCACTCTTATTTCTGTTCTTTCTTCTTTCTTCTTTCTCTACACGGCAGAATAGCAAGCAGAGCCCTCAAGGTTCATCTCCCCCTCTTCTCTTTTCCTATATGTTTTGCACTGTACACACACACACACCCTAACATTAACTACTCTCACACACTTTATTTGTCTTCTCGAGATCTGTGCTTAAACCTTCACTTGCTTTGCCTCCTTCTGCAGAATAGCTTTATACTGTGCCGGTTAGTTTCTATTTTTGCTGCTTTCACTCCTACTCGTACGTCGCCGTTTCGCTAGTGTTTTCAAACTGTCTACGTTGCGTTTGTTTAGGTTTTGTTCATCAGCCCGATCACTTCCTTTCTTGTTCGCTTTTAGCGTTTGCGACGTTACCGAAACTATTTGCAGGCATACTCATGCTAACGTTTCTGTTCATGCTCTTAATGTAATTTTCTAAATTATCTTTTGAATCTAAAGCGTGGACCACTGATCAGTAGATATCTTTGCGAAGCACGTTTGTTCCCATCATTTGAGGTGCCGTGTGATGGTTCAGCAAAACTCCGTTCAGATTGCTTAGATCTATAGCCATTTTCGGTTTTTTTCGGTTCTGCTTTTGACGTTTTGGAAACGGAAAAGGAAAATATCTCGTGGATTTTTTTAAAATCTTTTTTTAAGAGACCTTTGTTTATATATTCATTTTGTATATGACAGTATATAAGAAGTGTGGTTTGATTCTCTTTGGAGCTGATGTATTTTCCTTACTGTATCAGAAGGACTAGACGTGATGGTTGAAATCGTGACGGATACCGAAACTGTAAGTTGTAGCTCGTAATAACTGCAACCATATCATATTTGTGATTTTGCTCGGATAGCACATGTCAAATGGTGTGATTATATTTTCATTTCATGATGTCACTATAAAATTAGTTTTTTGGATCACGTGTTATTGGTAATCACAGAAAGGTTAAATTGGATTTGGAAGCATATTTATAATATTTTGTGTGTGTGTGTGTGTGTATATACACACACTATATATATTTGAGATTGAGAAATTAAGTTTTCATGTAGTGGATGATATCTGAAAAAGCTATTGTATTATTGATGACTCTTTCAGGCTGCAGATGTGGTTCCACACAATGAGACTCCGAACAATGTTCCTGTCTCTCATTATTCCTCACATCCCCCTCTTAATGAGAGGATTATTTCATCCATGACCAGGAGATCTGTTGCTGCACACCCGTGGCATGACCTTGAGATAGGTAAGCATTAAGCAATATCTTCAATTGCAATGAGTTATGATTATTCTTTTCTTTTCTTTAATTGGTTTGCCAAGCTAACTCTGTTTTCTTCCACAATGCAGGGCCTGGTGCTCCAATGATCTTTAATTGTGTAAGCATGCCTGAACAGTAAACATTACAATGTAGGACCCATGTAGTTTGCATATGCTTGAATAATAAAATTTCTTTAGAACCTAAGGTTATAACGGTTAAAACCAAGGAACTTATTGGATAACCTATAATTTCTGAAGAATTTATTTGGATCAAGTAAATACCCTCTGTTCTGTTTTCTTTTGTTCTTTTTTGTTTCTTCATTTCCCTTTAAATGCTATTGAAGTAGTAGTTACAAACTTTGTTGTCAAACCCATAGCTAATGAAAAACAGTTTTTTCCCCTCAAGTTTTGATGCTTCTCTGGTAGTGGTAACATAAATTTGTAAGTTAAGTTGTATTATTATTATATTTCCAAAGGACCCAAAACAAAAATGATTGTGTCCTAACATTACATTTGAAAAATTTTGTAATCCAACTTGGCTGAGTATTGCAGGTGGTAGAGATTGGGAAAGGGAGCAAAGTGAAATATGAACTGGACAAAAAATCGGGGCTTATTAAGGTTGTAATAGTTGTGAGTTATTTTCACTTCTATGGATAGTTTGTGTGACAAGTTGCTAAACACTATCTATTCACAGATTGATCGAGTGCTTTATTCATCAGTTGTGTATCCCCACAATTATGGATTTATCCCACGTACTATTTGTGAAGACAGTGATCCCATGGATGTCTTGGTTATTATGCAGGTATTTGTGCATCCGTTCATATTATCAAATTTTCCATGTAAATCAGTGTACATCATGTATTTCCTCTTGGCAGCATTTAAACTTTCCTTAAGATATTCTCTTTTAAATTCCTACATTTGTCTGCATCCTATTTTTCTTATGAAGTAATCTTTATGTGTTGTTCAATTTATTTTAAGCACTGGACCTTACCTTTATTGCTATGCTATGCACTGGTGATCTAAATTTTAACGGACTCAAGTTGATATCAATATGTAAATATAAGGAATTTCACAATTTCAACTGATGAATGAATAGTCTCTTCTATTCTAAAAATGCTTGGTGATCATCTTATAATTATGGATCTTCTCATAATACTATTAAATTTGTCTTAATTTATGTCATGCATGTTTTGTAAGATGAAAAACGTTGCTCATATTTGGACAGGAGCCAGTTCTTCCAGGTTGCTTTCTTCGGGCCAAAGCAATTGGTCTCATGCCTATGATTGATCAGGTATATTAGACATTACCATTTCCTACATGGCCTGAACTCCACTTTTGATTATTCAATATTGAGCAACCATGAATTGCGATGAAATACAGGGTGAGAAAGATGATAAAATAATCGCTGTCTGCGCTGATGATCCTGAGTATCGACATTACACTGATATCAAGGAGCTTCCTCCACATCGTTTAGCTGAAATTCGTCGTTTTTTTGAAGACTGTATCCTTCCTAAAATTATATTTCTAATGTTCGGTTCACGATTTTATACTTGTCACCATCTATAGGCATGATGAAACACACTGGTTCTTTTTGTGCAGCATATTATATATAGATTTTTTTTTCCTTCACAAAGGATTTAGACAAGAAGAATGAAAACAAGGAGGTTGCAGTAAATGACTTTTTGCCTGCCTCAGCTGCTTTTGAAGCGATTAAGAGATCCATGTAAGCGACAGTCGTATGACTCTCAAGTACTTTACTATTTGTACAGATATTAGAGTTTTAATTTTTGTGTAATACTTTTTGTTACTTTCTTTCTCACTTTTTGTGTAATAAACAGTATTACACTGTTTATTACCGTTTTTTTTTTTTTTACTTCTCTCACTTTTCTTTCTCTCTCTAAATATATACACTGCATGAGTGCGTACTAACAATTTTCCTCATATGTCTTCTATTGAGAAGGAGCTTGTATGCGGACTACATAGTGGAAAGCCTGAGGCGTTAGCCGTTGATACTTGGCACGGATTTGGTTTGGTCGTCTTACTGGCGCACCGATTGGAAGACATTTTACTTGAAAGGCTGCATCGTCGTCATTATGTAGTGCAAAAAAAAAAAAAAGCTTTGAAATTTAGTCGCATGTGCATACCTCTTGAGCACATGCATATATTACACGTGTTTAATTTGAACTGTTTCTACCTCTGCATAGTTTACGTTCTCGCCTTACTTTCTAATACTAGAACAACTGGTTTCAAGGTGTGTTGCTTTTTATGGGCTTTGTTGGGATGTTACGAAAATATAAGTGAATACAAATTACAAGAATATAGAAACAAACATAATAGCTCATAATTATTAAATTTTGCATGAGTTTCTTTATTATTTTTAAATACTATAAGTATTTTTATTTCAATTAATTTGTTTCAAACATAATAACGATTGTCATAGAATAATTAAATATATCAATTAACGATAACAACGAAACCCGCACACATACAATTCCACATAATTCATATTTATAAGGGGAACCTATTCTAGAAATTTTATTTTAGTAAAAGAAAAATGGATACACAAGAAGTATATTGCTCAACTCGTCAATGGCCGCTTTAAAATCTATTGCCATTTTTCTTCTTTGTTTAAATAATAGTTTTTACGAGTTTGTCGCATGTTCTTAAATTTAAAACTTCCATCAGAGGACTCTAATTTCGATGTATCAAGGATTATGAAAGACTTGTTTACAAATATCTTAAATAAAAAAATATTTAAGAAAAAATTATTGAATAATTTAATTATTTAAATAAAGTAAATATTCAAAAAATTTATATTTTCAAATAAAAATCCTATTCTTTGTATTCCTTCCTCAATTAAAAAATTTATTTTAATCCATTATATAGTTTTATTTATGTTAAGTTTTGAACGGGAGGAAGGCCAGGCCCAAAACGATTTCCCATCTCCATTAAAAAAGTAGTAGTTAGTAATACGCAATAGCACAAATATCTTGGCGGTGGCCTATGGACGTGTCTATAAAAACGATACGAGCCTTAAACCCTTCAGGAGCCGCTGATTTCATTTTCGTAAACCCCTCACTTTTCCCCTTCAGTGAGAACAAAAATCAAACACCATGAGTACCTTTCCCAACAACTCCAACTTGGACAACCTCCTCCTCCAAACCCTCATGGGCAGACTCCACCTTCGAACTCCGATCAACAACCCCTTAGTCACTCAATCCCTCGAAGACTTCCTCTTCGACCTCGACGATGACGATGAAGACGACAACGACGAGGGCAAGTCAGAGCTTGCCAAAGAAGAAGCCAAGCTCGAAAGAGAACTAATCAAGATCATCCTCAGTGGCAACGCCGATTCACTGAAACCGAATTCGGGGCAAGCCGTGTCGGTTCGCGACCACCACATATGCGTGGGGTTTCAAGAGGAAGAGGGTTCGGATTATCGGGTGTGGGAGTGGCATGGCCACGTCATGGTCTTCGACGAAGAACACGGTTATTCGCCTGAGTATATATATGGAAACTACTTCCAGAGGTTGAAGCCTAAACCTCCTCCTCCTCCTTCTGCTGCTGACGCTGATGCTTCTCTGGAGAAAGAGGAAAAACAGGAGAATCAGGGTTTGAGGGAATTGATTGATACCAAGGATTCCACCGACGCTCGCATTCTTCATCGCAACATCAATGCTGGTTCACCCAGGTTCCTTTTCCTTATATTTCTCCTTTGCCAATTTCGATAACTATACCGTTAGTTAACACAAGCTTTTTCCCCATCTGAATTTATACCAATCTTCAGAGTTTTTTTTCCCCCCTCTCACTACGAATGAATTTTGGTCATGGTTGCTACCTAATATATGCTTTAGCTGTGTAGTGCCGGTGTGAAGAGCTGCTTGGTTTAAAGTTTAGTAGAATGGATTTTGATCCGATTAATTTTAACGGTAATTGCGATGTACGTTCAAATGAATCTCAGTCAGCCACTGGTTTTACATTTTAACGTAGTATTTTTTTTTTATTGGAAAGTGCGAGAACTGATTTTCTAATCCTAAAACAAAAACTGTCTGATCTTTTTATGATTTACATTATGTACGGATACTTTTTTTTTTTAAATTAGGATACCATTATGGTAATATATGTGACATTAAGTATAACTATTATTGAGTAATGTATGTAATAAATTTTTTCTTATCATTTAGAACACAAGACAAACATCTCGGTAGCTCATATGGAGTGAAAGAATACCATCTATTTATTGTGCCACCTGATGATATTTGTGGTCTAGATGATGGCTAATTAAATATTTTTCAAAAGGCATAGTTAAGATGTGATTGTACGAATGAGTATATTAGGCGAGCCACTCATTCGTAAAAGTGCTCAAGGAAGACATTTTAGATCAATTGATATTGACAAGGTTTTTCTTAAGAAGAAGGTAGATCTATAGCCTGCTTTCATATTTATAGTGGATGAAGTGTCACTGTCACTCAATAATCCAGTGTCAATTATATTTTTTTTCTACCTTCATATGTATACATTGCAAATGGCGAGTTTTAGATGTTGTCTACTGGGTGCAAAATTAGACAGTGAAACTGTTGGTGGGATTACAGTTTTGGTCCGTCTAATTTCACCAAAAGTTGATCCTCCTTATTTCAATTGTAATAACGTCTTACAATAATTTGACATTGATGCAATTAAGACTCCTTTGAGTTAGTTGTTCATGATGTGACTTAGTCTCTGTTGACATAGCCGTGCCTTTTTCTTTTGCTGATTTTACAGTAAATTTTATGGCATATCACTCTTTAATGTTTACTTTGCTGTTGTGAAGATGACATGGCATTTTGTAAAATCAGTGACAGGAACTAGAAATATTGTTGAATTTGTAAATATGGGGGAGTGAAGTTGAACTTGGCACAAATAAGAGAACAAGAGTGTAATTAAGCCTAAAAAATTACAGGAAACATTAATACAATACCGCAGTTGATTTGAAATTATCCACATAGTTCATGTGTTATTGCACTGGCTTGGATTCAGTTGAAAGCCTTGGAGGTTAAGGAGATGTTCTCATTAGTACACAACTAGCTTTAGCATCTTACTGTTAACTATATCGGTGCCTCCTTTTTTGAAGCTTTAGCCTGTTTTTTAAGTGTCAACCTCCTGACGCGAAGATAAAAAGTTTTGTTCCTTTTGGTCAAGTATTTTGCTAAAAATAATAAAACGGTTATTGTCATTGTATAAAGAAGCTGGGAAACTCCATGGACAGTGAACCCCTGCGTGAATTGTGAATACAACTGTAAAATAGTTTTCAATTTCATTTCACCCTTCATGTATGATAGCTGTTGTTAGTAGTTACTGTCAGTTTTTTCTGTCCCAGCACTTCCTTAGACAGGTAACTTCCCTCTTTTAACACCACTCTATCTGCTGACCATAGTAAAGCTTTGTTTTATCTTCATCGAAATACCATTTTGTCATTTGGATATGTGATTCGTCCCCATTCTACATTATTATGCGAGCAATATTTACAGTTTTACCCACAGGCAACTGATGAAATTTTTTAGCATTTTCATTACCTGTTTTATTGCACAATGTGCATGTTTGCAACTGAATTGAACGTTTTATGCTTCCATGCTTGACTTCTCTCATGTTTTGCCCTGCTGTGACAGGTACTAGACAAGAATTGTTTCTTCATTGGAAATTCAAGTTCAAAGTGTTGCAAGCAGAGGTTATAAGCAGCATCCCATTTCCTTTGCGAGGCAAAGATTGATTTCCCCTGCTTTTCACAGTGCCAATCTCAGAGTCAAGCCTACATCTAGGTCTGTTTGAGCTTCAAATTACATACTGTAAAGGATGTGAGACATTTCTTCAATAATAGGTTATCTTGATCAGATTATTAATGTCACAGCAATTTGTTACTTTGCCATTTTCCACTAAAGCTAGCTCTTGTCATAGACGCCAGTAGTATGGGAGGAAATAGGTTAAGTTAGACTTTATTAAATGTGAGTCTAATTTGTTGTTTGGCCTGAATATGACTTATTTATTTGGCTTTTTTATTTTAATATTGTAATTTAAAAAACTATTTATCAAAATATAGTGATTTTAAAACTATTTTTCTGTTTGGGGTGAATGTGTCAACGTGGCAAAGAGTTTTGTTAAAACGACTGGCGAAATGTTATCAACTTTCGTCAAGAGAAAAGCAAAATTATCCAGGATGACACGTGTCTCATTCTGATTAATTTTGCAAAGGTGATGATAAAGGCAAGTGTATATATATATATATATATATATATATATATATATAATACTTCAAGCAAAGGCAAATATCTCACAGATACTCTACTGCTAGAGTGATCAAGAAGTATGAACTCTCCAATAAGCTTAAGTGGAGTCTGATTATGCATGACAATATGAGTGAAGTTTAAGAAACTACCTACAAAAGTATTTGATCCTGGTCTAATTGTTCGGAAGGCAAGTGTACCCATCAAAAAGTAATAAAGAGTTCTTAAATTAAGTTTCTGAAATATCGTCTCACAATTGTTTTCTAATTACTAAAAATTTCCTAGTTCAATTGTTTAAGCTTCAAAGATACGAGATTAATTAAAAACAATAATTTATAAAATTAATTATAAAACTAAGAGTAAGTATACAATGCACGTCTTGCTTAAACTTATCGGAGAGTAACTTAGGGCATATGAGTTTTCTCATTCAATCCTTTATGTTATTTTTCTATTTAACTCAATCCGATTTCCTTGTGATTACCAATCATTCATACAAATACTATTAATACCCAATGGTCATGTAATATTAATATTCTTTTCTCTAAATTAACATTTTCAATGGTCATGCAAGCATCAATTGAAGAAAGCTTAAGGAACTTATGAACTTGTTAATTTAATAACGATTAGAAGAGAAAGATTGATTTGGTCCACTTAATCTTTTGTCTCGTTTTACCCTATAGATCTATTAATTAACCGAGGTACGGTCGCCTGACGATATAATTAATTTGGATTAAGAAAGAAACATAATAGGATAAAATCTAATCACATAATGGAAATCAAATTAAGATTCAAACACCAAAATCCCATAAATTCATAAACAATAGTTCTCATAGCTTTAACTATAGACTTAGTTACTCATGCTAAAGAAAAGAATTAAAACATTCATGAATAAAGCCATAAAGAAAAGAAATAGAAAAACTAGAGTATGATGAGTTTCCAGTCTTTAAGTACGGTCGCTTGAAGCTCCAAGTCTCGCAAGCATGTGCCAAGGATCCCGTGCAAGAGAGACGAGATGAAAGATGTATTCTAGAGCAAAAGCAAAGATGTAAAAATGGTCCCCCAATGGTATCTCTGGTCTTCCCTTTTATAGGGTTTGAAAACCCTAAAACTCTTCATAATTGGGCTTCCCGCAAATGAGCACGGCTGTGCAAAGCCTTAAGCACGGCCGTGCATGGGCTCGAAGCACCTCGTGCTTATTGAATGAGTCTGGACGTGCTAACTGTTGCGAAGCTCTAAAATTCCATCAATTTGGGCCCAAAATCTACTTGCGGCCTCTTTATACCAAACTGTATAATTAATATATAAATTAGTATAAAAACTCAAATAAAATAAAGGTCAAATATGAATATATGGACTGTAAAAGAAGGCCTAATTATAGACTTATCACTAATACCTAGGTTGTCTTCAACAATCTGCGCATAATTACCTTTGGTAGGTGCTATAACAGGTCTCTCATCTATGGATAATCTTAAGAGGGTAGTAATATCCTGAAGAGTAATAGTACACTCTCTAGGGAGCATGTGGAAGGTGTGCGTCTTCGGCTTCTACCTTTCTACTAAAGCAATAATTAATTCCACGCCTACGGGAAATTTGAATAAGTTAGTCACTCCAATAAAACCTGCTAACTCCAAATGCATAATAATTTCTTTTGGAACACCCTCTATTCCACCAGTAATATTTTGACTCTTCCTTATCCTCAATATCGGGTGATCATATCCATCTCAAATATGTTCAGAAAAATGAATACTCTGAAACTGAAGAAGTGATAGATCTTCTGGTTCGGAATTAATAATCCTATTTTGTCGTGAAGATGATGCCAACTATACAACAAAATTACTATAAGTAATAAAATTTTATTCAATAATAATTTTATATTTTACTAACAAAATTAATATTACATATTTTATAATAGTTAAACAAATTTACAAATTAAATATTATCACATTGTAATGACATAAATATATATTCAATGCAATATATTATAAACATTGATATCAGATATAATCTCATCATAACCTACATTATATACAAATTATAATTTACGTGATATCAATTTCATTTTAAAATTAAATATTCTTATTTACATTTTCATACATATTACAAAAGATATACAAAATTATAATTATTACAATTATTTTTCATATAAAAATGTACTTAATACAATTTATATAAATAATGTTACATTATTTAAATAAAAAAGCTCTAATTATTAACATAAAATTAATTTAAATTTTTATTTTTTCATATTTTCAGTTTAAATTTGCATAAATTGCATACAGTTTACAATTATATAAATAATATTACGTTTTTTAAATTGAAAAAATATAATTATCTACATACAATTTTTTTTAATTTACACTTTTAATAATTTAAATTTATATATACATAAGATTCATACAAATTATGATTGTATGTTAATTAAATATGTCATAACATTTTATATTATTACTGAGTATCAAAATTTATATTTTCTAAATTTCATTTAAATTAATATATATGTGTAAAAATTATGTATTACAATAAAATTGAATATAAATTATTATTAAAATAATTTAATTAACTATTTTTTTTTATTCTTTATTTTTACAAATATATAACAAATATAATATGTATAATATTATGCTAATATATTATATGAAATGAAATTTAAGTAAATTTTTTAACAGTTAATTATAATTTTACATTTTAATTTATTACACTACAACTTTAATTGAATTTTTTAAACAACATATTAGTCTATACAAATAATAAAAAATATTTAAATTTGTAAATTTTTTTTACTAAACTCAATAAACCTTCAAGCCAATTATTTTACTACTTAATCACATGCATAAAATTTATAAACATTTAAAATTTAATTTTTATCATTTCTCAGAATTTTCAAATAACACAAATTAATTTAAAAATAGAATATCAATATACAAATAATGATATATACCTCTAAAATATGTACAAAATTTAAAAATTTTGAGGTCAAAAATGTAAATAACAAACGCAAAACGAAATTAGGAAGGGAGGAGAAGAGGAAGAAGGGCAGTGACGTTACTATAGCCGGACATGTGTCAATACATAATTGTTTTTGCCAATGGTATAGCAAAACACTCTTTCGTCATGAGAAACACGAAACTGTGAAGATAAAGTCACGTGTCTTAAAAACTTCCTAATCGTTCGTTATGTGATTTATTTTTTTTTTAATTTTTACATGGTGACTTTCGCAATTTCAGTAGTGAAACCATTATCGCTACCACCACATGTCACTTTTCAATTGCTTTTGCTTTGATAGTGCTGAAACTTTGCTTTTATTTCATCAGTCAAATGGCAAAACTATTCCTTGTTTGACATGTGTTTGATCTTACGTATTTTGCTTTTTTTTAGTAAAATAATTATAAATTAATCACTTTCACTAGATGTTTTGGCAAAACTCTTTGCCACGTTGACAAAATCACTCTAAACAGAAAAATAATTTCAAAATCACTATATTTTGATAAATAGTTTTTTAAATTACAATATTAAAATAAAAAAGCCTATTTATTTTACTTGATTCTTTTTTTAAAAAGTTAGATTGTGTTGTAAAAAACACAATTAAAAAACACCTTTTTCATGTGTAAAAAAATAATATTTCTACGTATAAATATGTTAATGAATTTTAAATAACATGTAAGAGCGAGTTTAAAAAATCGTCTTCTTTTTTAATTTAGATAAACTTTTAAAAAATCTTGCCTCATTTAGTAAGTAGTTATGACCTAAGTCTTCATGGATGTTAGGCTATGTTCAAAACAAATAGCCTAATATATTTTCACCCTAATTTGGATACTTCCTTCTTTTTGCGTTTAAAAACTCCTTTTTTTTTTTTTTTTTTAACCTTAATATGCTCGATTTACACTTAATAGTGATATCCTAAAATACTCTTTTCATAAAAAATAATATTTGACAATTTTAGCAAATAGTACACCCAAGCTCCAAGGTTAAAAAAAAACTCCATCAATTGACTCGTTAAAGTGTTTGGACATTGTCATTCTCGTCAATTGAGGCAAATAGCTGACCAAAAAGAAAAAGAGCCGAATGGCTTGACAAGGAATATCATTCTGTTTTATACAAAATACACAGTGATGTCTATATAATTATGTGCCAAGGCTACTTTTATATTTACTTCGATATATATAAAATAATTTTTTTATATAAATGTAAGTCTAAAAACTCTTATATTTAATAGTCTTTCATTTTTTAGGAGTTATTCTCACTTTTTTATTATGCCATGTGATTGTTTTTTGGTATTGAGCATTATTTTTTAAATATTTTTAATTTTTTTATAAAAAGTTTAACCTTAAAATATTTATAAAAACCTCTAAATTATATTATATTTAAAAATAATCATATAAATTATCTATAATTTTTATTTAAAAATTTTTTAATTTAATAATATTTGTGCAATACATATGATACTCACTGGCTAAACCTTAATGTTCCAGTTACATAATTATTAATCGTTTAGGGTTTTGGTTTTTTGTTCTGCAAATTATGCATAAATAAATCAAAATGTTTTGAGAAATAAAAATCATCATTCTTACATATTAAAAAAATTATTAAAGTAGAGGATATATATATATATATATATATATATATATATTGTGAATATTTTATTTGTCATCTCAAAGATTTAAACAATAATTAAAGATGTTAACAAGATAGAAGAATGTAGGAAAAACTTATCATGTTTTGTACACATTTGGGCCATCGGAATGGCAAATACGAAACGTGCAAGCCCTCTTATCCCTACTTTATCAAAAACAAAACTCTCGAGTCCCTAGTAGTATTATTTATTGGGTGCTGAAAAAATAAGGTGCAATCGCAACCGTCAATAAAGAGACCATCAATAAAAAAAATTCAAACACGACACGTCACCGATCCGCGTGACGCATTCCCTTCCAATTAGAACCCATCTCTCTCTCCTATATATACCGACATTCTCTTCTGTTCTTTCCGTCATTCTGCACCTGTTCTTCCATTCACGTCTCTTCTCCTAAGAATCAGAAACCTCTTCACCATTATCAATGGCTCCCACAAAGGCCGAGAAGAAACCAGCAGAAAAAAAGCCTGCGGAGAAATCACCAGCAGAGAAGAAGCCAAAGGCAGAGAAGAAGATATCGAAGGAAGGAGGAAGCGACAAAAAAAAGAAGAGGGTGAAGAAGAGCAGCGAGACCTACAAGATTTATATATTCAAGGTGTTGAAGCAGGTTCACCCTGACATCGGAATTTCCAGCAAAGCCATGGGAATCATGAACAGTTTCATAAACGACATCTTCGAGAAGCTCGCTCAGGAGGCCTCGCGCTTGGCCAGGTATAACAAGAAACCAACCATCACGTCTCGGGAGATCCAAACGGCAGTGCGTTTGGTTCTCCCTGGTGAGTTGGCCAAGCACGCCGTCTCCGAAGGCACTAAGGCCGTCACGAAATTCACCAGTTCTTGATTCGTTCGCTTTTGTATTTTTCGATTAGGGTTTTTTAACCCGGTTTTTTTTCATTTAATTAGTAGTTAGGGTTCTTAATTTACTTAGAGGATGTAGATGTATAATTGAAGTTTTAATTTGAATAATGTTATCATTGATTTGGTTTTCCGTGCCGTTGTGAATTCGACTTGATCATAATGGTTTCCTGCCTTGTTTGATGTTAGTAACTGAATTGGTTTTTTGACCCTCTTTTATCGGTGATTACGTTCTTGGACTGATCCCAATTAGTGCACCATAGGTTTCAAGCCTCAATGGGAAGTGGAATATTTGCCTTAACTGCGTGTTTTAGTTTTGCTTGATTACCTATCCCTACTGCCGCATACTTTGAATCAAATCTTTGTCAAGCGGCAATGTTTAGGGGGGAAATGGGAATGTTTTATAAACTTTGAGCAATGTTCTCTGGCTTCAAAGAATTTTGATTTGGTGTTCCCTTTTTCTGTTGTTTTTTTCTTTAGTGGAATGCAATTTTATTAAAAGGATGAAGTTTAGATATGGAATTATGAGTATCATGGATGCTATTAGGCCTATTTTGCAATAAGAATTGGAATTTTATTTTGATAATGTGTGCTGACTTTTGTGGTACAACATTCAATTTTCATCTTTATTAAAAAAATGATGTGCTGATCTACGTGTGGTATTTGTGCCAATTGAAGTGTCTACTTGTGATTTAATGTAAATGCAGCATGTATATTGTTTGTGCTGATTTCTATGTAGTATTTGTTCAAACTGAAGGCTTTTTGATTGAGCTTACTGTTATCGATATTATTGGATCTGTTTAAACATAAATGTCTGTTTGTGACTCAGTTACTGAATGAATGCGGATAGGTAAATGTTTGTTTTCCCTTGTAATCGAGGTTTTACATAACTTGGTAGTGGGTAACTGAGCCTGATAAAGCATCTACGGGCGTATTCCTTTATGTGTTGATAAAGCATTAATTTTGTCTTAAACAATTTTTGTCCCTGTTTCCCATTGTTGTTTTTCTCCCAGTTAAATTCTTGTTTGTAGGGGTAGTTTAGCTACAAAATTTTGATCCATTGACATCCTTTTTTCAAGTATCTGCATTTTGAATGTAGTTTGCTAGTAAGTTATTTTATTTACTCAGAATCTTATGCTTGTCACGGTTATGTAATCTAAAAATACATATATTGTTGGGAAATGGCTTTGCCTTAGAATGTGAATGGCTTTGCATTTTATTATTGGGAAATAGTTTTGCCTTCAGAAATGTCACATCCTTCCTCTTGAGGGGATATGATTTGTTAATTTTCTTTTAACCAATAGCTGCTCAGTCTTTTTATTTATTCTAGTTTGAGTTTCTTACTCTTTGAATTCTCTGCATCTTCCCCGGAACCCCCAAAATTATGATAGTAAGGAGTCAATATGACAGTAATGTCTCCGATAATATATATATATATAGTAGTAGATATCAAGGCTTACTTGCAATTTTGCAATCAACAGTGTTTTTTTGGGCTTAGGCAACCAGCTTGCTACAATCTGCTAGAGTCCAGATTATGTGTGCATGCATTCATGTTAATTCCACTACATATTTTTCACTGGATTTGAGTGGTATGATTGGTAGTTCTGGTATGGGAACAGGATAAGGTGCTGATAATAGATATTACCTTTGGCCTTGTTTATAAAAAAAAATATATTTAATTATTAATAAAATAATAAACAATAGTTATATAATATAAATTTATATTTTATATTAGAAATATTCATAGTACTTTAGTGTTTTATGTATTAAATGAATAAATATGTCATATGTTAATATTTTAGAGAGTAAGAACTTTATTAATATAAATTTCACAATCAATAAGGATATAAAAAATAACAATTAATATATTTAAAAAATATTTCTTAAACTTTGAAAAAAATATTTCTTATAAATAGAATGGAAAAGCATTATAAGCTTTTGCTGTACTTGCTGATGTAATGAGGATTCTTTTATACATATTTTATTTCCAAAACTTACTTAAGGAAGCAGTAATGAAGAGGGAATGAGGGATTGAGTTAATTTAATATTAAATACTTTATTTATTATATTAGGTTTATGAAATTTTCATAAAATTAAACAAAGAAAAAAGAATAAATAAAAATTCAAACAAAAATTAATTATTTTTTGAAATCAAATGATTTTTTTTTAAAATGTTAATAGTTTTGTCATTGATTTCTAACATAATTCGAATTACTTGTTTTCTGAAATATCGAGTTGGTTATTTTATAAAATAGATACGTTAGTTTATAAAGGTAAGTCAGCTGTTTGAGAATAAAGTATAACATTAGTTTTTCACTTTAAAATATTAAATACTTGTTTCATCTGACAATTTTTAAGTTATCACGTCTGAACCTTGATAAAGACCTCAGAACTTAAATGGAGGACATTTCAGAAGATTGATTATCCCCCGCATGATATCAGTCTCCGAAATAGAAAAGGACAAAAAAGATTAATGAAAATCATTAAAAAGACTTACATCTTACATCTAAACAACTTGCACAAAGAATTAATCTTAACTTAATTTGATAGCATCATTCATAACCAACGTGCATGGTGGCTAAGACCAAGATTAGATTCAACGTTCTTTTCACTTAATCATACATGAGGGCCCACATATGTTATTGGGCCTAAAAGCATGCAAATGGGCTGACATGGATAGGTGAGACAAGGTAAAAAAAATATCTAACGTTACTCGGATGATTGAAACGTGTACGATGGAGATTAGGTGTGGCTAATAGACAACAATATGAACAACTGGATCCTTGACCCTCCAGGTTTCACTTCCTATAAATTCATTTTTCTCCCGAATTCTATCGACCTAATCCGGAATATTGTGTCAAACGCGCCTTCTTTTCCGATCCACCATTTCTCTTCCCTTGTGTATTTCTTCATAACTATTAACAATTAAAGGGAGATAGATCTCTCTATGGGTTAATTCTGATCTAACCATTTTCGTTTCCTAGGTTTTCTATTTGGATTTGTAGCCTTTCAATACTCCGATTCGCTTCTTCCTTCAATTAAACGCTGTTGTGTTTTGATTTCGTTTTGTTAGGCGTGTGAGTATTAGGGGGTTTCGAAGAGCATAGAATAATGCCTTCGGTGCCCGTTCATCTCCATCTGGTTCCTTCCTTGACCATTTTCCATGGTGGATCCTCTTTTCATCGTCTGAAAAATCTTGAAAAAAGTGATCGGCGCGGTAATCTTAGTTAACACTAGCACTTTGGTTTTGCATCCCTTTCTCGTTTTTTTCTTCGTCGTCGTTGTTGGTTTTGCTCTAATCGAGGTTCTGAGTTAATTCGTCAACCGATCGGGGATTAAGGGATTGATATTGTTGTACTTTTTGTAATCTTCTTAGTTCCTGTTTTTAGATTGTTGCAGTTGCTGCTCGAAACGTCGTCGTCTTTCAAGGTACTTTTGTTTAATCTTGTTCTACTTTGCTATGTTTTGGTGAAAGATAGCTGATGATGCTTCTTATGCTTTCTGATATGTGTTGTAATGTACGAAGTGATTTCTATCGTGTTTGATTTTAACGAGCTTTGCCTTTGTTATCTATGTAAAACATGTTCCTAGTTAATAACGATGTGTGATGTGTCTATGCCTGTCTTAACTCATTTGTGGTCAAAATCGTGACAGTATGATCAGATCTGACTCATAGAGTGATCATTTAAGCTAAGAACTATGCAGTTATTATGGAAATGGTTAAAGACGTTGGATTGGTAATATTTTTTTTAAGATAATTTATTGGTCTACTGTGTGTTGGTAAAATTTATTAATAATTATATTTTATAGGTGTGATGTGTGTTGGTAAAATTTTATAATTGATTCCGATGTTATCTAAATCCCTTCAAATCTCCTTATGCTGGCTATGTGCGTGGTCCTTTCTTTTACACAAATTTTACCTTTGATGGAATAAAATAAATGATCATCTTCTTCATAATATTATGCATCGCTGGAGCATTTTAGTTTTTGAGACAAGATTCCTGTAATAATACAGGTATCTTTTCCACCTTTTTCCTGGAATGGAAGCTTGTGATTTCCTATTGCATTTTTCGAAACTTTGTGATGCCTTTCTAAACTTTCTTAATCACGGTCCAAAATATACCTAGAAAAATGCTGAAATATGTATTTGTGGAATTTTTAATGCTCATGAAGATTAGTGATAGCTTTTTTATATTATTCATTACTATGTTGTTTCTTTTAGTTGCCTCTTTGGACCTGATACAATTGATGGACACGGGCTCTCATGTTATTGCTGTGCACGAGGACAAGTTCATAAGTAATCTTGAAAGGACTTTCAGTGAGTCATTACATATTCAAGATGATCTGAAATCTGAACACACATCTGAGGGAAATGATATCTACAATGTGGGAGAGGAAAACCTGTGTGGAGAAATTGAAGAGCAAGAAACAAAACTAAATACGATGTGTTTGAAAAAATCTGCAACCTTTCCAATTCCTAATATGATTTTGCCTTCTAGCTCTTGTGACAAGGAGGCTGATACATCAGTTACAGAATCACTCTCTGAGCATTCTCCTCATCAAACCTACACACGTTCTGTATCATTGCCTGTAAGTTCTCAGTGTTAGTGTTAGATTGTTAGTAATATCTCAACCAGGAGTTGCAGATTAGAAAGGATTGTAGATTTGGTTTTGCCGTTTGGATCTGCAGGCTTGAGTTTTTCCATTGGAACACAATGATTGATTTTTTACTGCTGCTATGTATTTTACATATTTTTAGTTTCTCTACAACTTATATATTCCTACCCAAAAAGGCATAATAAAACAAACTTTATGTTAATACACTTCAAATTTTAGTGTTTAATACTCATATCAATGTCCATTATATTTTAGTTATGAATTCAATGCAGTTACCAAAACTACTTTGTTTGAGAGTATCACAGATTGTTATATTTTGTATTTTGTCCCCGTATGGTTTATTTTAGTTCAAGTGTTTTATTTTATGGGATAAACGTAGCTTGTATGGTTGCAATGTTACAACTTTGTCTCTTTGTATCAATTCCCTTTCTATTGGGGGGCTTCTCCAGGTAGAAATGAGGTTTAAGGGATTAGAAAATATTTACCTTAATATGTGTATATATATGATTGCCTCCAAAATAGGTAAAAGAAACACATTCGGCAAAATGTAGTTTGGGGCTCATTATTATGAATTAATTTAATGTCCACTTAGAATGTGCCATTTCTTGTTTAATAGTTTCTATTATTTGTGTTGTACAACACAGGCTCCTCTGAAACTTATATCTGCCATGAAAGGTAGCCGTGAGAAACATGGGGGATCACATATGAAATTGAATGTAAAATGGGCCCCTGATGTGTATGATCCGGTACCTACAATAATATCACATACTGTCCGGAACAAGAAACAGCAGAAATCTAGGAAGAAGAAGACTGAAAAGAAGAATGGGAAGAAGGGTCAAAAGGGAAATTCATCTCGAGGGGGCAGCAGCAAAGATAAGCATCTTCGCAAGCTGAGTGGGACCTCTGGTTTGTGCTACAAGTCAATGGATCCTGGTGATAAAGTGATTGGAGCTTCTACTGAATTTGATGCTCTTGACGTTCGTTGCCAAGATTCATACTGTGGAACTAGTTTCTTGAAAAATTCAGTTACAGAAGTGCACTACTCGGTTGCAGAAGCGTTATGACTAAAATACTTAGAATGTTTTAACTCATTTCCAGCTATGTGCATAAATAAATAATATTTTGCTGTTGGCTTGTGTGGTGGAAAAAAAATGACTTAGGATTGTATGGTGAAGATGATTGACACTCTTCATAGAGGGCAGTCAAGAATGCCATTTTATTTGTAATGTGGGACAACCTTTTGTGAATGAGGTCATATCTGGGCTTCTAGCTTTCCAGGCGCCAGTTCTGAAAGAGGGATCTCTGTAGTGACCTTTTTGTTGACCATTTCTATGTGAGTTTTTTGGTCTATCTGTGCGATTTGTATTTAGATTATATTACTGTTGATGATCAATGGTACTTATAAAATCTAAATTTGTGATATCAAGATCATGATTGTTTAAACATCATATTTTTTTGGTGTTTGTTGGGTTTATCACTTAATAGGCATTAAATTACCAGAATTTATAAAATTTAATAAAGAAATAGATACATACAATTTTTATATGATATATCTGTAGGATCCTTTCGCTTTAAGAATGGGGACATTATTGCGATTTGCAATCCAAAACGGCTCCTTATTTGTTGTCACTAGTTTTTAATTAAATACACTTTTGGCTAGCAGTCTACCTTTTTTTTCCTCCTTTTTTGGGACTGGGTTTGGAAATTATGCCCAGGAGTCTAGATCGCAGAAAACAACGCCACCAAGGAGTCAGACAAGAAACCTCAAAGCAGTGTGTTTTGGGACTACTTTGTTTCCAAAGTCAAATTGTGTTTGTTTAGATGATTGTCTAGAACAAAGTTTATTGCACCTCCCAAGCTTGCGTCTTTTTCAGCAGTCTAGCAAAGTTCTTTTTTTTCTTTTTATTTGACTGTTACCGCTTTTGTTGTCATCATTTTTTTATCACATTTTTACGGTGCAACCGACTAAAGTAGTCCCTTGTAGCTACTCGCTTATAGTTGAAGCCAATTGATTTGTCTAGAACATAAAATTTGTAGGATTTTACAAACTAATATTCTAGTGACATCGATTAAACAATTAATAAAAAATATTTCATTAAAATGATATTACGAATATATTGCAACACATGATTTTCTTCTTTTTTTTCAAATCATTTTTTTATTCTTCAAGAAATTTTTTTAAGATACTGATTAGTATTTCTCAAATTTATAAACGTGATTTTGTTTGGATTATATTTTGTCCTGTTACTTTAGCGATTTAACTGTCAAGTGATACGTGTTGCACAAGTTCCAAGTATCATTTTCAGTCTTGCGTGTAATTATGTGAGTTGCAGAAATACGCCCGTGGAGTCAACTAATAATAGCACCTTTGACTTTAGCCATAATTATGAACGTTCACAGGAAAGAATGCCCAAAAACCCTTTCCACAAGGAGCACTTTAAGCTTTGAACGGGAATTTGGAAAGAGACCGAGAACGAAAGACTTTGTAGGCAAGGGTAACAAGAGAAGGAATGAATGTTAATATAAAATTCTCAATTTGAAAATCTTAAAAATATGATAATAAAAAAGTTTTAGAAGATTTATTAATATATTTTTTTTATCTAAAAACCTCTAAACAATAATAAGCTTTAAGATTTTCTGCTCCACACTCTGCAACGATGCATATCATTTCCTAGTTAAAACTTAATTGTAGTGAGTCCATTGCGTCAATGCCCTAAAATAATTAGAGAGGGGTCATTACAATTTGGGTCGACCTATTCAATCCAATCTTTAATGGATTAGATTGGTTTAACAAATCTTATTGGATAGAGTAATGTTAAACCTTGCCAGAAAATATTTGAGTAATATTAAACCGATCTAATTGATAGGCCAGTATGCTGCGATTTGTAATATTTTCATTCTGTAACATTACAGTTTTTACAGTTTGATTCCTCTCAGTGGTGCCATTGGGCAGATATTTGTAACTGATTGAACCCCAACTGGACCTCATTGTTAGAATGGTTATTTTAATTTTCTTATTCTTTTAACAACTTGATTTTTTTATGAGTACAATTTTTTAAAAATAAATGATTTTTTTCTAGACCACATATATCTTTAACTGAAAATAATTCTATTAAAATTAAAACTCGAAATTATAGTTCAAATTTGAAACAACTCTTGCTATAAAAAATATATAGAAAACGATGAGAACAAATTTCATTATTTTAAGTATTCCTATACAAATTAAAACAAAAACAAAACTAAATGACCATCATATGATTCAAAATAAAATAAGCCATGTTTATTTAGGAATATTATACATCAACATTATACATTATATCATAGGTACGGTAACGTTGCAGGTCAAAAATGTTTCCAACCTTAATTTTGGACTTGTGTTGTGGAACAGTAATGAATGGCGTTTATGTATCCACACTAAAACAACCATAATTACAGTATTTTTTTCACGACTAACCAATGAAAATTAACTCGTTTTTACATCAGACAAATGAAAGGATCAGATAATCAATATCAATGCAAAATTCCAAAATCTCTCTATGATGCTTTTTTTTTTTTTTAAATAAAGAAAAACTTAGGTAGAGGAACAGTTGCTTTCTGACTTCAAGATTGGGCTATGTAACAATCCTCAACAAAACTTGTAACCCTTAAAAATGACCTTAGCAATGAAAATTCACTAGCAGAAATCTCTCAATAGAAAAAATGATAAGATCAATTCAGGGAAAAAAGAAATTGGATAGATATCAGATCAGCAAAAGAAGGATTGATTTCCAAGAGACATAAAAAATAGTAAAGCCTCATTGCCAAAGTTGTTCAATCATCAATTATGACTGACTGATACAAATATTTCTCAACAAATTGCAGTATAGTTGGTTGAGTTGAATTATAGTCTGAAAAAATCATCACAACATCGTGAGCATAATCGAAGTTTCTTTAATAATCAACCACACCACCCGACTGTTTTGTTAACTGTAAAACCTGTTTCAGAGGGCTGAGACTGTGATTGCTGAGGAGGTCTGGGCTCTCTTGGTTTAGCAGGATCGACAAATATAACCCAACCATCCAAAAACTTAGCATTCATTCCTTCTCTTGCCTTTTCAGCTTCTTCAATGGTTGTGTAAGTAACAAAACCAAATCCCTTCGATCTTCCAGAGGCTCTATCAGTAATCACCTTAGCTGTATAGTCAAAATGACCAAAGGTCAAGCACAACATAAATTGAACTAAAATCAGGATATTATACTCAAGTACATTAGGGGGAAAATGCCCATTATTACCATCAATCAGCTGCCCATAAGAAGAAAATGCTTCCTTAAGTTTTTCATCTGTTGTCAGTCTTGACAGACCTGTTCCAAATATCATAGACAATATCACAAGAAGATGCACATTATTCATATTTAAAAATGTTACCTACAAAATCAACTAAATTGCAGTATGCCAGATAATTGTATTGCAGTCTTTTAACCAGAAAAAGGATTTTAAAAATAAACATGTGCACGCACCAGGTATTGTCATAACATAATTACAGAAAATTATACACCTAGTGACTCCATACAGGAAATGGTGCCAATTTGGCAAAAGATAGCATATAACTTTGTTGAAGTTCATGCGAAAAAAGACCAGAAACAGGTCCCTTAGGCTTTGTTTGGGATTTTGGAGGGAGAGAGAAGGAATAGAGTTTAAAAGGTAAGAGAGGAGAAGGGAAGGGAAGAAGAAGGAGGGTTAATACAAAACCCAACATATTGGGAGATTTATAAACCCTCAACCACTTGTCTAAAATCTCCTAGACATGGATAATCATCACATAAGTCTTCCCCTTCCTTCCCCTTATCCAAAAAACAACTCTCAAACAAAGCCTTAAAAGTTGGCGCAAGTGCAAACTAGCCAGGAAAATCTAATAAGTCATTGAAAGAAACCCTACAATGTCACAGCCATATTTTATTTTCGTTTAAATCAGTATTGCTAGAAACAAGAATTTAAGGTACAACCAACTGCAGCAAGATATAATTAAACCAAATTAAATCTGCAGGATGGATATGAACCAATAAGCTTCATATATTCTCTATTCCTTCCCTGTATATACAAACAAATTTTAAAGTTTGACCAATATTTCCAGTTTTACAATGTTTTGCCCAGCTAACATGTCTTCCACAAATTCTAAATTCTTCTATCTACTTATTACAGAACGCAACACGTCACAAGTATCAAGAAAGGAGTATGAATTAAGATTGATTACTGAATCATTATATTAAGTCAAAAGGAAAGGCAATAGATAGTGATTAAGAAAGGGGAAATAGCTCACCGCTGACGAAAAGTTTGGGGGAAGTGAGAGTTGAACTGAGACGAATGGAAGCAAAGTGAGAGCGAAGAAGTGGGGTGTGGCGAAGCATGCGCTGAACAAAAGCCATCTCATACAACACAAAACCTCGGAGTTTCAGAGATTTGGTTTCGAAGATCCTTAAAACTAAAACCCTCGCCGCACTTCCCTAAACCCAAAATAAGACTTGGCTGAATGTTCTAGACCTATTTCATCTCCATTCCAGTTCCAACATATTCATTTTAGTAACATGAATTCCGTATTTTAGTTCATCAAGTTTTCAATTTAAATAACATTTTACAAAATTATAAATTAATAACAAATTTTCAATTTTCAATTTTTGAATTATGCGAAACATTTATATAATATTAAAGAATAATTTGAGAGCTTATTTATTTTTTATTTATGTTGGCTCAACTTTTAAGAGTTTTATAAAAAAATCATTTTTATTGAAAAATGTTTATTATATTATAAATATAAATATATAATAATTTTTTCAATCCAAGCATGTTGAAGTTGGATTAATGTTAATATATCAAGAATAATTTTAGACATTGGTTAAATAATTTTAAAAAACCTCTTTCATAATTTTTATTTTATTATAATTTATTTTTAATGAAAATTATTTAACAAGTGTTTTAATAACACTTATTGGCAATATACTTATATAAATTCAGAGCTAAATATTATATGGTTGATGCATATTCTCGTGATTTTACAGTAAAACTTATTTTCTTCAAGTAAGTACGTTTTTAACTTATTATTTAATTTACACGTTATGTGGAAATAATTGACATTTTAATTATTCCTTATTTGTGACTTTTGAATAAAAAAATACCACAAAATTATAATAAGATTAATTGAAATATATCATGTCGACTGTGTCGTTGAATTATTATATTTACATAATTTTATTACGTTATTAATAATCAAAGATGTGAGGAGGACAGAAAAATAAATAAGGAAAAATAATTATTTTTTTTAACTTTTTTATCTATTTTCCATAACAAACAACTCAAACAAATATTTATTTTTTTACAAGTTTTTAAAATTTATTTCTTTCATCCTTTTCTCTTTTTATTTTATTTATTTATTTATTTATTTTTGGTCATTAGCATACGCTTGAGTTCAAGCTACGATTGTTCACTATGTCTGGGGTCCTGTCCTTAAGAAGGCCCAAACCTTAAATCCAAGTGTTATGAGAAACAAGTTATAGTGCTAGGCTTGACATTGTTAATGGTTGGGATTTGTTTCGTAAAAACCTTGTTTAGAGAACGAGTAATAGTCACACAATTCTTATATGGTATCATCATAATCATTCCCCCCGATTCTCTGTTATTCGTGCCTTCTAAGACTATCTATTATTCTTCGAGATGATATTTCCTTGCAGATTTTTTCACTCATATGGAAGAAGGGGATCGGTGGAAATAAACTTTTTAAGTGTTTGAAAATTATTATTTGAAACTATTAAAATAATTATTTTTTTAACAATTTAATTAAATTCATTCAAAATTATTTATACATTTGAGTTTATGAAAAATATTTAATAAAAAATATCAAATCAGTAAATAATTAAACTGTCTATTTAATAATTTTGTGTTTCTCTTATGATTTTTTTAACATTGTTATACTGATTGGACTCCATTTATGAAGGAGCCAAACAACTTTAAAGAAGTTTATCAGTTAGTTGCCATAGTCGCCACGTAATATTTCTATTTGACGTTAGTTTAGTGTACAATAATAATGTTTGGGGTCGAGAAAAAGTTGTTTGTATTTGTGGAATACTCGCTTCTTTATTGTTTATTTTTTATTTAGTAGTTTTTTATTTTTAATATTTAATGTTCAAAACATTTAGTCAGTTTTATTTCGGAAAATAAAAGCATATATTTCTGTGGGATTGTAAACGTTTCCTCAGTAATCATGCTACCAATCTAGAATTTAAATACAAATATTGAAAATAAATCATTTATTTTTTATAATTATTATAAATACATGTTCAGAATGTGTCCCGAACAAATATTTTAAACTTATAAAAATATTTATTATTTTAATAAATCTCTTTTAGTTTATTTTATAACATTCTGTTGTAGTTGTAACTTTCATAAATCTATTAGTTTGATATTCTTAAAAGGCAATATATGCTATTTTTAAATTTAAGTTATTGAAATTTTATTACTATGCATATATTTTATATAATTTTAAATATAAACACAATATTTATTTTATATTTAAATTAAATTAATATGTTCATCTCATTAATAATTTTACAAAATATTTCCTCATTTTATTTTTTAATGTTTCATTTGAATTTAAAACTAACCATTTAATTCATGAGATCATTATTCATCTAATAATAAAAAAGTTAAAAAAGAGTTATTTTAAAACATTAAACGGGTAATCTTGAAGAAGAGGGATTTTCAGTTTTTAAAAAAAAAAGTTTAAAAGTTTAAAAAATAGAATACACTAAACATTGTTGAATCATTGTTTTAATACATAGAAACGAATTATTGTACATAGAAAAAATATATAATTATGGAAGACTCCCCTAACATTGTAAAAAATATTGCATATGCATAATTGCATATAACATATATCATTGTTAGCATTGCTTTATAATTTACAGCTCTACAATTAAATGATTGATTATGAAAAGATATGTGATTTAACATTTTGTTAAATGGTTGCATCGTGGTGGGCACTGGCGAGGGATCGATACATGAATGTGCAGCTAGCTAGCGTTACAATTACTAGTTAAAATAATTATATATTATTATGTATCAATAAAATAAAAATATGGTCGCGTTGGATTGACGCGGGTAGAGAATCTCAAGGGACCCAAATCTAATGGGCATTTTCATCTCAATTTGTCTATTATGGTTCTTTCATGCTTTTGCTTTGCGGGAAATATCCAAATTATTCACATTTAACGTAAATGTCAACCACGCCACTAATTGTGACTACGCGCCGGCTGAATGGTAAGCCACTCACCCACCCAATGCACCTTTGTCCCTTCGTTGTTAAGAAAAATAAAATGTCCCAACTATAATAGATAATTTGAGACATTGCATATAAGAGTGATTATATTTCTAATTTAATCGGTGAATTTGATTAATTCAACTCTATCCAAATACAAAAGTATGAACTAATTCATATATTAGATTATAATATAAAAATAGCAACTTATTATTAAATTAAGTACAAACAAACGTGGGTATATTAATTTTATCTACAAATTAATGGATAAAAGCTCATAAAAGTATATGCATGACTTAAAAATATAACCTATTTAATTGCACATTTATGCGAGTTGAGCCGCATAAGTCGTGATTATTATCTTTTAGAGATGTGTTTAAAAAAATTATATATAAATATAAATTTTAATAAGCGTGTGTAAGTATAGATGGGAGCACTCATGAGTCAACTGGGTGAACTACTAATTTATGAAAGTTTATTAAATATTAATCCATTTAAATGTAAATTTATGCAAATTGACCCAATTAAACGCAGACTTGTGCGAAACAATACTAGTATAATTGGTCTGTATATCCCACCTATGTGTATAGACACTGTTTCTCAAACCCAGTGAATCTAACTCAACTTCAACTACCTTACTTTCTTGACCTAAAAATATTCACCTCAACTGTTCCTATTATTTTTATGTTATTTTGTTTTTATCTTTTTTCTATATTAAAAATTATTAATATATGTATAATATAAAGTTTTCTTTTTTATTGTGAATTTTTTTCATAAATATTCGATTCTTTAAGTTTAAATTGAGAATACATTTGATTATATTTAATTAAAAAAATTCACAAGCTTGATTCATTTCAATTATATTTAATCGGTTAAAAAAATATTTGGTACAAAAATTGATCACACGTTCTTTAATTACATTATACCTTTTTAAATATTATTTTTAATACATGAAATTTGATCATGTAATTTATATAAAAAATTATAAGAATAGCAAACTTTGTTCTTTACTCAAATTTAAATTCAAAGATTAAGTTAAAATAACTTTACAGTAGCTAATTTACATGTTTAACAAAGTTTTTATGAACATAAATTTTATTAACATACACTTTTTTTTAAACAAATTATTTTTCATGTATTTTAAAAATCCCTGCATACGTGTATATCCTTAAAGTTAGACGTACATATATTTCAATTAGCAACAGCATTCGACAAATCAATCTACCAGTGTTTCAAATATAACGGACTAAAGCTTAAACTTGATTTCGGATATTATTAAAAAATTGATGCAATAGTTCATTTAACTAAGAAGATCGAGTATTACTTCGCATTAATGGCAATAAAACGTTACTATAAAGTTTTTAGTGAGTTATTTTCTTTTTAGTAAAAGAGGGAGTTGAAAAATGGACTAAATAAATAAATACGCAATGATTATATAGCTTAAAAAATTGTAATAATTACATGTGACAAGTTATGAACCATATTTTTTTTTTTCACAACACGTCCTTTTATTAATTCCTTAACCAACATTCTTGATCCTTAGAGAACTAATCAGCAACATTCATTTCAAATATTAAAATGCAATAACTTTTGACCTTTTCAAAATATTATTAAAATTATTTCGTATATAAAAAGAAACATGTTATTATGGTTACTATTATTGGAAAAAAGCAAGGGCGTTGATGCGCCGGCGTGAGTAGCCGACTCCACTATCCAGGCGTAGGTCTAATGAGCCAAGCCACGAGTCACAGTACATATCTATTTTGTACCCGTATTTTGTACGACAGGTGGAACCGTTCATAAGTCCATTCTCATATTAATTATCCCACAGAGCAACGGAGTTAACATTTTGCATCCTAAGAACCCTTCCTCTCCAAACTAAACCCATTCCAATCCATTCCTATATCTCCTCCATCACTCTTCTTCTCAAACGCAAAAAGCCATGGTTAGTTCTTTCTACTCTCTTCATTTTTTCCACTTTTCATTCTATTTTGCTTAGTAACAATGAATCATCAGAAAACGAACAAAGAAGCTGGATTTTCATTTGCCGTAATCGGTGCATGGTTTTAAATATTTTTTCGGATATTCAGGGGGAAGATTCCTTCCTGCTCTTTAGCTTATTTTCATTTCTTCAGCGATTACTGATTCATCTGAAAATTATGCTGAGTTCGAGTTCCGTTCCTTTGCGATCTGATAATCAACGCTGTGGACTGTTACTGTTATGCATATTTTTTAGTTCCGTTAATCGTGCATTTGCTTGTAGATCTGATTTTTATGTCGATTTCAGTGTTAAGTGTGGAATCGCGTTGTACAGTAACGTTTAGCGATTGGCCCAATGTAATTATTTGAGAATTGATCCTTTATTTTGTGTGCGGTGTTGATTGATTGGAAATGCTATGGATCTGCCTCAGTATCTGGACTATGGATTATGCTGCTAGCTCTCCGATTCGCCCTAGATGTTGTAGTTCAAGTTAATTTTGTGATGTTTTTGTGACAATTGTGGTTTGGGATAATACGTGGTGTGTTTCATATTTGGAGCCCTCTCTGTTGGATTTTCTGCTGTAAATTACATGGATCCATTTCATCATTTAGTCGTTAGAATTGATTTTAGACAGAACGCATGGTCAATCCTATTCAGTGAGAAAGGCTTTGGTTGATGTTGTAGTTATTTTATCATGGACTAAATAGATGTTTTCCTTTTTTCTCTTTTTTTTTTATCTGCACATTAAACTGTGAAAACAGTTATCCTTCTATTTACAAATCACAAATTTGTTGGTCTGTTTGTTTCTAGTATTAATGTATAGATATTTTACACTGTGTCAACTGTTAACTATATTTTGATGCATATAATGTCTTGCAACTTTTCAGGCAAATGCTGCATCGGGTATGGCTGTTCATGATGACTGCAAATTAAAGTTTTTGGAACTCAAGGCAAAAAGGACATACCGGTTTATAGTTTTCAAGATTGAGGAGAAGCAGAAGCAAGTTGTTGTGGAGACACTTGGTGAGCCAGCAAGGGGTTATGAGGATTTCACTGCCAGTCTTCCTGCTGATGAGTGTCGATATGCTGTTTATGATTTTGATTTTGTCACAGAAGAGAATTGCCAGAAAAGCAGAATTTTCTTCATTGCTTGGTAATGATATATGTAAAGAAAGGAGAAATTGGTATGCAAATATTACCCATACTTAATAATGATATTATCCATATTAATTCTGTTGCTTTTGTTTGAAGGTCTCCTGATACATCAAGAGTTAGAAGCAAGATGATCTATGCAAGCTCCAAGGACAGATTCAAGAGAGAGCTTGATGGAATCCAAGTAGAGTTGCAAGCAACTGATCCTACTGAGATGGGTCTGGACGTGTTCAAAAGCCGTGCAAACTAAATGATTATGAGTATAAGGAGTTTGATGGGTAGTTTCCTTCAACCTTAGTTGCTCATATTGAAATGTTTATACTGTGGGATGTTCAACTTGGCTAATTACGATCTCAGTGTTCAAAGTTTTGACATGAAGTCTATTGAACCTTCGGCAATCTTCTCTTGTCCAGTGTATCTTGTGGTTTGTGATTTTATACAACCTGTGTTTGAGTGGCATTTTAGCCCTATGCTTCCTAGTTAAATTTGTAACTCGTGTGTGTGATCAGACAAAAACTTGGGTTCAGTTGTTTCTTAAATGTTGACACTGTTCATTTTACTAACACCTTTGACTACAACTGGCTGAGATTCATTTTTACGTCTTAAAAGAATGAATTGTCGCGTGAAATCCCTTGTGAACATAGTTAACCCTAAAAAAAGGGATCGAGCCGAGTTAGTACCTTGAATAATACCATGAAAGTATTGGCATGTATTCCTGAAAATTATTTAACGTGTGGCAGACCGCGGTTTTGTGTTATTTGTTAAGAACATAAATCAGAGTGTCAAAACATTTTTTTTTACGTCAACAAATTGCTTGTTTGTACCGGTGAAAATTTTAGATTGAACTTCTACAACAAGGATCTCACAGTTCAAAAAACTTCTTGCTGTTTACCTCGCGGTATAGGAATTTTAAGTACTCAGCCTCAGCGTGACTGGTTTAGTGTTTCAAGTTTTGAACATCGTGTTTATATGGCGGTGTTGATCAGAAGTCAAAACTAAGTTATGATGCACCACGCCGATGTTTTGCCCTACGAAAACAGTGGGAGAGTGGTATTGAACTCCCTAATCTTTAGCCAACGTGATGAAAAATCAATAACGAACTTCTTTTGGCTATTGATTTGACTTTATAAAGAGTTGGTATATATTATTTTAATGTATATGATATAAAGATTTAAATTTAGTCATATTTACAAGGAACTCAACTAATGTGCTGACCATTTAACTAAACTAAGTCTTGATGATTTAATAGTGTCATTTTGTATTGAATTTGCTCCCTCTTTCTTAGTTTCCTTTCTTTGTCTTAATTCTTTAGGCAATTGGATACTTAGGATGGGTCTCTAACTTTTGTTAGTTCTTTTTTGTTTTTAGCCTCTTTATCTAACAAAAAAAGAGTATAGAGATTATTTAAGTGAGTTAAGTCTTTAAAATTATAATATTTCTCTTACGCATAGTCAAAAATTAAAATTTTAATTATATGTTTAAAGGATATAGCTACCTAATAATTATGTTGGGACTTCGTAGCTTGAGAGATGAATCCATTATTATGCTAATATTTAATATGAGAAAAATGTCAATTAAAAAATATATGAAAAAAAATTGACAAATGACATTTTTTAGACAATTTTATTACAACTATTCTTATATAATATATTTGAGTTGTCTTTTCAAATAAAAATATGTATAAAAGTTACTTTCATTCACATTAAGCTACGCAAATTTTTAGTATTAAGCGTTTTATTTCAATTTTTAGTATTAAATTAATTTTGATTTAAATGTTAAATATTGATAATTGTTGTAATCATAATCAATCTTGATTTGAATTTAATTATTGAATTTTGGATTATGATATACCCATATTGATATTAATAAATAATTTTTATTTTTTACCTTGAAGGACTTGTCTCTTTTATTTATTATTATTTAATGTGATAAAATACTTATTATTACTCAATATTTATTATTCTCTTTAGTTCGCTTTTATATAATTCTACTTCTTAAAAAGTGTTGCTGTAATGTGTGTGTGGGAGAGGGGTTCAACGGATTTATAAATCCTGTCCAAACGGATAATATCATACAATTTTAAAAAATGTATTTTATAAATAATTTATGAAAAATAGCAAAAAAAAATATATAAAAAAGTATGTTGAATTATAAATTTAGTTTTTAACTTTACATTTTTTTATTTAATCTCTACACAATAAAAATTTGACAAGGTACAAATATAAATATTCAGATATGAAACAGCTAAAAATTATAAAGTATATAAAATTGTTTGACGATTTTTTAAAATAAAATTTTTTTAAAGTCCTAAAAATTGTCATCGATGGTTTTGAAAATTTTTTATATTTCCATAATTTGTTTGCAAAATATCATGTTTTGATATTTTTATTTTTTTCATATAAAAAGAGCCTGAATATTTTTGGGTTTCTTTTTGTTTTCTGGTCAACCTTCAAATTTTTGGTCGAACCACACCGAAGCTCCAAAGCACAAAGCCCGCACAACAAAAATAAAATAAAAAAGGCACGCACAAAACATCGTAAATAAGTAAGCTGAATACGGCCCAACCCAATAAATAATAGGCACTCTTGAAGACACAGATTGCTCTATTTCGGGCCCAGATATTTACGATTTAGAATAGGCACTCCAATCTAAACACTACTCGCTTGTGCTCCCCTCTCGTCTGCTAGGGTAACCACGGCGCCACTCGAACAACAAGTGCGGCCATTCCCAACGATTCTCTTCGCAGGTTCACACCTCCTTCTCTCTTCTCCTTCGAAACCCTATCCATCTTTGTCACTGCACGTTCACCACTGCCACTGACGCTTCCTCACAGTGGAATAAGCTTTCACTTTCTCGATTTACCAGATCCTCATAATATTGAATCCTTGTTAGTTCTATTTGATTTTGCAACTCTGATAGTCTTTCCACTTTTAACGTTTCTCAATTATTGATTTCGTCTGCTGTTTAAACGGTCATTCGCTTCATTTTTTGCCCAATTCAATCGTTATCTATTTTTTTTTCCGATGATGATGTATTATGTATTGGTTTTGGCATTAATAGTCAATCCTTAGAGTTAAGCTAACACAGACAATTTTAGTCGATTCCTTTTGTTTATAAATATCCTCTCCGTTAACTTATTTTAATTTCATGAACTGTACAACCGTCTGCAGACAATTTTACTCTAGATGTGTGTTATATCGTTATTTCAGGCCAACATCTTATTAGATTTTTTTGTTGTCAGTTATCATTCTTATTTTTTGTTTTTATTTATACTTCAACAGGGGAGTGCGATTCTTGTGAGTGCTCAATATGACTTCATTCTTGAAGCCTGAGAATGCCCTCAAAAGGGCGGAAGGTTAGTTCAAGAGAATGATTATATTATATACCCTTTCTTATTTACGTTTCCTTTTTTGCCCAAAAAATGTTACTCCAGTCTTTATATATACGATGATACAATTGAATGATTCTGTGTAAAATTCAATATACAGAATTAATCAATGTCGGGCAGAAGCAGGACGCTTTGCAGACACTTCATGACCTTATTACTTCTAAGAGATACAGAGCATGGCAGAAGACACTTGAAAGGATTATGTTCAAGTATGTAGAGCTGTGCGTAGACATGCGCAAGGGACGATTTGCAAAAGATGGGCTTATTCAGTATAGAATCATATGTCAGCAAGTGAATGTTAGTTCGCTGGAGGAGGTGATCAAGCATTTTATGCACCTGTCAACTGAGAAAGCTGAACAAGCCCGTAGCCAGGCACAGGCATTAGAAGAAGCCCTTGATGTTGATGATTTAGAGGCAGACAAAAGGCCCGAGGACTTGATGTTAAGCTATGTCAGTGGTGAGAAAGGAAAGGACAGATCTGATCGAGAGCTCGTTACCCCATGGTTTAAATTTCTTTGGGAAACATACAGGACAGTGCTTGAAATATTACGGAACAACTCTAAACTGGAAGCCTTATATGCTGTAATCTTTCTTTTTCTTTCTTTTCACTGTTTCCTGAGCTATCGACATTTTTTATATTTATGTTTGACTATGCTGTAATCTTCCTTACATGACGGCAGCTATTTGTTATTTGTTGTGAATTATTCTGTGTGTGTGTTCGGGGGGGGGGTAATAATTTTTTCATATTCTCCGCGTTTGACATAGTATAGGGTTTCTGAATTTTAACAGTGAAAAGCATTCCTGATGAGTAGTAATTAATTGTTTGGTTTTGGGGATATATTACTGTTATTGTTTTTAACTTGTTCTCACTTTTCTTTGTCATTTCCTATTGTTGTATGTTTTCCTGTAGAGAATGATAATGATAATTTTAAAGTTGCACAGCTGATACTTTTAATGTTGAAATTTTTATAGACTATAATTCCATGTGCAGATGACAGCTCATCGAGCTTTCCAGTTTTGTAAGCAGTATAAAAGAACAACAGAGTTCCGCAGACTCTGTGAAATCATAAGAAACCATTTGGCCAACCTTAATAAATATCGGGACCAACGAGATCGACCTGATCTTTCAGCTCCTGAGAGCTTGCAACTGTATCTTGATACTAGATTTGAGCAGCTGAAAATTGCCACTGAACTTGAGCTCTGGCAGGTTCGTCATTTCTTTTTTTTTTTCTTTGCACATTGTTTTTGTTAATGTTTAAGGCATAGCTGGAACTTTTGATTAATATGACCTGACAATTTGTTTCTGGATACAGGAAGCCTTCCGATCTGTGGAAGATATACATGGACTGATGTGCATGGTCAAAAAAGTGCCCAAGGCATCCTTGATGGTAGTTTACTATGTCAAGCTGACAGAAATATTTTGGATATCATCAAGTCATCTATATCATGCATATGCGTGGTTCAGGCTCTTCTTGTTACAAAAAAGCTTCAATAAGAATCTGAATCAGAAGGATTTGCAATTAATTGCTTCATCTGTTGTTCTGGCTGCACTTTCAGTGCCTCCTCATGATCGCACTCATGGTGCATCACATTTGGAGCTTGAGCATGAAAAAGAGAGAAATTTGAGAATGGCTAATCTCATTGGTTTTAATCTTGAAACTAAACCCGAAAGCAGAGAAGTGGTATTTTACTTACCCTCAAATGTATTCCAAGGTTGCATATACATGTCTGTTTCGTAAATCTTACTATTTGCATTCTGTTTCCTTTTTGGTTGTCCCCAGCTCTCAAGGTCATCACTTCTTGCAGAACTGGTAAGATATTCTTTGTTTAATCTTGTCATTTTTATCAAGTTTCTTATCTGCATTGTTTGAGGAATATACGATTTCTTTGCGCACTCCATAGGTTCCTTGTCCAGTGCTGCTATTTTTAATGGACGAATAAGATCTTGGTGGATACTTTTGTATTTGCAATTGTATTTTATTATTATTTTCATTTGAATGCTGTGTGGAGTGGAACTTCAATTGCTTGAAAAAATATATTTAGGATGCCTAATTTTCTGAAAAACTTTGTTTTTGTGTGATATATATATATATATATATATATTTATTTATTTGTATTTAGCATGGTTGGTAAATTTGAAGTTCTTTCTTTCTTTTCAACTTATTGCCGAGATATGCCAAATTATAAACATATCTTTTTCTCTATATTGTTCAAGTTTGTGTGAGATATTTTTTGTGCACATCTCTGTAATTGATCATTGCATTTCACCTGGTGCTTTTAAATATGTCTTGCATGGTAATTATTTTAACCTCAATATACCTTTGCTGTTCTGGCTGTTTATATTATGAGGATTAGATGAAAATGAAAAGGAGAAAAGTTATAAAATATTATTAATGGGATGATATTTGTTGTAGTAGAAAACACTACCTAGTACTCCATGTTCATTTTAATTTTCTAAGTCAGGTACTAGTGTAGTACAACTACGTACTAGTGCATCTAGATTTACATACTAATGTAGTAAGACTGAAAATGATGAGAATCTTAATGTTCTAACAGTTTCTGAATTCTGAACAGTGGACAATGTATTTTTATCTCAATTATCTAATTTGTTAAAACCTTTTACCCAACAGACAGCTGATGGTGTTCATTGATTAAGTTTCTCTGTAACTGCTTTGATGACAAATCTTTAATTATTGACTTGATGTCAATGCGCTTATATGTGCTTTTGTATATCTTTTCCTTAATTTCATTTTGTCTTCAACTGCAAGCCTTGTATATTTTATCAAAACCCATTATCCTGAGGTTTTGGGGTTGTGGGGTCTCTGGGTTACCTTGAATATTACCAAGTTAAATGCAATCTTTTCATTTAATGGTAGGACTCAGTCTGAAGTTTGTATCTCTGGGTTCATTACAGGCATCGAAGGGGGTGATGTCTTGTGTAACTCAGGAAGTGAAAGACATCTACAATCTTCTGGAGCATGAATTTCTTCCCTCAGATCTTGCATTAAAAGTGCTCCCCTTGTTAACTAAGATCTCAAGCCTAGGTGGTAAGATTTCCAGTGCTCCAATTATTCCAGATGTGCAATTGTCTCAGTATGTCCCGGCACTGGAAAAACTAGCAACCTTGAGGTTGCTACAGCAGGTGGATTTTCAGTTTTTGCTCTTTTCTTTTTGTATTAAATGTTCATTTCCTTTTGTTTTTTGGTGATTATGCATGTTAACTTTCTCACCTCTTGGTATTCTAGGTGTCTAATGTGTACCAGACAATGAAGATTGAGACCTTATCTGGAATGATTCCCTTCTTTGAATTTTCTGTGGTGGAAAAGATTTCTGTAGATGCTGTTAAGCAGAAGTTTGTATCAATGAAAGTTGACCACATGAAAAATGTTGTAATTTTTTGCAAATCGGTATGTTTTCCTTCATTTTGGGTGTTTGCCTTGTTAAAATTCATGATGCAGGTATGCTATTTTTTTCATCAAAATAAAATTACAGATAAAAGTTTTGACATGTTATGCTATCCCAAGAATACATGGGTTTGATGATCCGTTGTGTTTCTGCTGAATCACTAGGTCTTGTATAGAAATTATAGTTCCTTTTGTTAACAATGTTCTAAAATGTCTAGAATCATTTTTTAACATTCAAGTATTAATTGCATGTCAGCACTGTGTCTATCTCAAATTATCAATTGTTTTTATGGAGGTTTCTTGATTTCTAATGCAGACTCTTGAGTCTGATGGCTTAAAGGATCACTTGGCCAATTTTGCTGAACAATTGAATAAGGCAAGACAAATGATTCATCCTCCTGAAAGGAAACCATCAAAACTTGGAGCTTTACTTCCGACTCTGACGGAGGTTGTGGCCAAAGAACACAAGAGACTTCTTGCTCGAAAATCGATTATCGAGAAGAGGAAAGAAGAACAAGAGCGACAGCTGCTTGAAATGGTATAATCTTATGAATTATGACTTTTATCTACTGCTTAATTTTGATAAGTAATCATTTTTTTAAAAGCTCTCAGAAGGTTCTAAAAAAAATATTTCTCCAAAATAGGTTAATGCTAACATCCTCTGAATGTGCTGCATATTAGAAGTTAATGATTTTTGAAATGATTAACTTTCTTTTAATGTTTATATTTGAAGGAACGGGAAGAGGAGTCAAAGAGGTTGAGACTGCAGAAAATAACCGAAGAAGCAGAACAGAGACGTCTTGCCACCGAGTATGAACAGAGGAAGAATCAAAGGATCCTTAGGGAAATAGAGGAAAGAGAAATTGAAGAAGCTCAAGCTTTACTCCAGGAAGCTGAAAAGCGTATTAAAAAGAAGGGGAAAAAGCCAATCATTGAGGGGGTAAGTTGAAGTCCGCCTTTGATTAGATTCCTGATTTATTTTTGCTCTCCAAATGTTGACGATAAACACTATCTGTAGGACAAAATTACCAAGCAGACCTTGATGGAACTGACATTGACTGAACAACTTCGGGAAAGACAGGAAATGGAAAAGAAACTGCAAAAATTAGCTAAAACCATGGATTATTTGGAAAGGGCGAAAAGAGAAGAGGCTGCTCCCCTGATTGAAGCTGCATATCAACAGCGCCTAGTGGAAGAGAGGATTCTTCATGAACGCGAGCAACAAGTATGTGTTAATTTTGATATTGAGTTTTGCATTTCTTTTTTCTATTGAAAATAATTGAGTTATTACATTTATCTGGGTACTAACTGGGTCTGAACATGGTTTGGTTCAGCAAGAGGTTGAAGTAAGCAAGCAGCGGCATGAGGGAGATCTTAAGGAAAAAGAGAGGCTTGCTCGAATGATTGGCAACAAAGTTAGTATTGTTGAATCTTTGGCTTTGTTATGTTTCCTGTCCTAGAGAAATTGTGTATCTGTCTTTTGGTGTTATAAATTTTTATGCAAGATGTTACAAGCTACGACACAGGTGAAAGACCTTTTTTGACTATTGATTATTGTCATTTGTCATCAAATTAACGGAACCATAGGAGATTATTGAATCTATGTTACAGATAAACATTTCTTGATGTTTCATTCCCAGCCTTGCATTTGGACTGATGGTTTTGTCATTTGATTGACCATGCAGGAGATATATCAAGAGAGGGTTGTCAGTCATCGCCAAGCAGAGTTTAACAGATTGAGGAGGGAAAGGGAAGAGCGGATCTCTAGGATTTTACAGGCCAGGAGACAGGAGAGGGAAAAAATGAGGAAGTTGAAGTTTTATCTCAAGTTAGAAGAAGAGAGACAACAAAAATTGCGCGAGGAGGAGGAGGCTCGGAAGCGTGAAGGTAATTTTTCATTTTACTTTGTCTGCCCAGTAACACTTCAGTGACTAAGCCATTTTAAGATATTTTTCCAGAAGGTTGAAGATGTTTCTTCAAATTTCACAAAGATTGTGATGATTTCTATTTTTTATTTACCCAACTTATGGTTTTTGAACTTCAGAGGCTGAAAGACGAAAGAAGGAGGAGGCTGAACGCATTGCAAAATTGAATGAGATAGCTGAAAAGCAGAGGCAAAGAGAGAGGGAACTAGAGGAAAAGGAGAGACAGAGGAGAGAATCATTGTTGGGCAAATCCGCTGAACCAGCTCCGAGGCCTTCTGAGCCCCCTGCACGTCCATTGGAGTCTGGATCTAATGCTCCTGCTGCTGCCGCAGCTTCTGCAGCCCCAGCAGCAGGCAAATACGTTCCTAAGTTCAGGCGAGATAGAAGTGAAAGCACAGCAGCTGCTCCTCCTCCAGAAACTGATCGCTGGAATAGCAGCAGGCAAGACGGTGACAGGTGGCGTAGTGATGATCGCAGAGCTGCGTTTGGTTCTGGTGCGGGTTCAAGATCATCTTCTGCGTGGTCATCTTCCAGGAATCGTTGATCATATGTGGCCTGATTTATAGCCAATGCCACTGTGGCCCTTTCCTTGCTTGATATTGTGCTGGTTCTTGTGACTTGGTCGAGTTCTCGTTGCATTCTCGTTGAGTTCTAAAATTCTTTTTGATACTAAGTTCTTATATTTGTTTATTTATCTTCTAAACCTCATGGAGTCCTCGGTGCGTTTGAGGAACATGCCACAAAATTTTCTATTTATGATCGAGTGGAATGGATATGAATTGGATATGGCATGATTGAGTAACATGCCATCAAAATTTCAAAATAGACTAGTACTGCTTATCTATTTATCGACTTTTTGATATTTTGAGTTGGGCAGTCGTTAAAAATGACCTTAGCCCTAGTTTCTGGTTTTATTCCCCGTTCGTACTAATAATTTATTAATTTCATATTAGAATATTAGTATATTCGCTTGTCTCTTTTCCAATTTTTGGATTTATGTGGGTATCAAATCAGAATCCGCTAAAATGTGGGACTCACTTGTTAGGTAATAGTGGGTCTCACCCTAGTAGCATGTTAGGTTGGCCGGTCTCAATTGATATTTCTCCTTCTGAGTTTTCCCTTATTTTGCTTTATACAGCATTTAATAAGAATAATGATTTTTACAATTCTTTCCATGGTTAATCATAAACGCAAATTTCAATCTACAGCAGTGTACATGATATCTAATTTTCAAAATCAATTTAAAAACATAAAGGAACAATTTTTTTTACCAATAATTTTGGCATTGAGTTTAAATATTAAAATATCCAATTCTATTAGTATTCCAAATATAATTCGTTTGCTAAATAATGCTTTGTTGACTAATAATATTATTAATTTTTGCTTATAGGGTAATCTCTTTGGTTAAATTAAACTTCGGTCCATTTAGTTTGAGTTATTTCTAATTTAAATTCTAGTGTTCTTTTTTTCATAAATTATTTTTTTTATTTTTTAAATTGATTAAATTTATTCCTTTGTCAATATTTTTTCTATTTAAATCCTCATAATTATTAGATTTTTGTGGAAGATAAGAATTTTATGAAAAATTAATAAAAGTTAAAAAGTTTTATAAAGAAAATATTGAGAATTGTTTTATTCGATGTTTTGTTGGTACTTTTGTGTAGAAAATAAAAATTAAAACAAGTTAATGCATTTAATTTGCAATGATTTTAAATAAAAAAGGATTTTAAATAGAAAAGTTTTTATAAAGGGATTACGTTTGCTTAGTTTTAAATATATAGAAACTTAATTTTAAAATTTTATAATATAAATTAAAGAGGCCAAAAATATAATTAAATTAACTTTTATTAAATTTTTATTTGGAACCCCTGCTCCATTTTCAACCAACTAATGGAAGAAAACGAGGTCTTCTCAACATCGAGCTGCATTAACAATATATCATGTCAACAAGACTCTTCTTCGTTTAATTTCAGTTATTTCAGAAAATTAATGAATCTACCAAAAATTAACGGAGTGGCGGGACAAATGCAGATGGAAAACTAAGAAAAATAATGTCAACCAGCAAAACCGGTCTTATGAGCACCCTTTTTTTTTTTTTTCTCTTTTTTATTTTGGGGAACATGATTAGAAGACTCTTTAGCACACTACCACTTTTGCTCCACTCTCTCGGCGACCAAACGGCGTTTCCGTTTGATGATAACACATTCAGGTTTTTCAAACTTTTATATGCGTCTTGTAGCGTGCAAAGTTAGAGCCGGCAAATAATCTTCTGTTTGGACGTTAATGCGTGACGTCAGACGCAAACGAATCTCTATATATTTATAACCATCCATCGATTCATGAATCGAGAACTTGATTCAATGGCCCCTTCGATCCCTCGCGACGAAGAGACTCCACTGGTCGCCGAAGATAATTCCTCACTTCAACCTCCTGAGAGTCACACCAGAGATGTTCATATCTTGAGCTTAGCCTTTCTCTTGGTTTTTCTTGCCTACGGTGCCGCTCAAAATTTACAAAGCACTCTCAACACTGTTAGTCTCTCTTGCTTTCAACTCTTTGCATCTTCCGTTCCCAATTTCATTGTTATGTTTTCCCTTTTGGTTTCAGGAGCAGGACTTGGGTACCACTTCGCTTGGGATTCTCTATTTATCTTTCATGTTTTTCTCTGTGGTTGCTTCTTTGGTGGTGCGGGTTCTCGGCTCCAAGAAGGCTTTGCTTATTGGCACCACTGGTTATATGCTTTATGTGGCTGCAAATTTGAAGCCGAATTGGTAATTACTCGCTATCATGAAACTGTCGGCTTCATATTCTGACTCGATTGAAGTTTTTGAGGTGGAATTGCGTATTCCTGGCTAATGAGTATGTTGGGGACAGCAAAAACGAGTTGTTAGTAAGGAGTTGCTTGTAAAAGAATCTCACTAAATATGCAGCAGGGCTGAAAATTAGCATTCTTAAGTTGTAATTAACAGTGTATATGTTACGGTGCCGTGTATGCCCCTAAATTGGCAATTTGATTGAGTTTTTGGGCTACTATTATATTTTACCAATCTAGTGTAATTGAACTCAGAATCTCACATATATGTTGTAATTAGTTGTATTCTGGCATTCATGAATTATTATCAGTTCCAATATTTTTCATTTATTTGAATATTAGTCCCCATATTTTCTATTCATGAATATTTAATGATCCACATTTTCCATGATGCTCCCTAAGGGACCAGAATCCAAATGAATGACAACTATGGGGACCAAAATCTACTTTAACCCTTTTATGTTTAAGGTTGACTATCGTTTATGGTTGTTGTTCATACCATAGATATGCTCTTATATCTGAACATCAATTCTGTTTTACTTTGTGACTGTGCTGTCATGATACTAACTAATTATGCATATCCTTTACTATTACCTGCAGGTATACACTGGTTCCTGCCTCTTTGTTTCTTGGGTTTTGTGCTTCTATAATATGGGTTGGACAGGTACCTGTGGTTTTGTAGTTCCTTCAAATTGTATTCGTAACCTGAATCTTCATTAATCTTAGCTTGACCTGTCAGGGAACATATCTCACTTCTGCTGCACGCAGCCATGCCATTGATAACAACTTGCATGAAGGTGCAGTAATTGGTGACTTCAATGGGGAATTCTGGGCTGTGTATGCACTCCACCAGGTGATCAGATTGTTTTTTTTTATGAGGACTGGTCACTTTGTTGTTTCTGCCTATTTTTACAACTCTTTTAGAATTCAAAATTGATTGAGAAAAAACCTTTTTTGCAGTTTATTGGAAATCTTATTACATTTGCTCTACTGAGTGATGGGCAGGTATGTGGTGGTTAGTCTTCAAGTTAACCCTATGCAAATTTTCTTTTAATGTTTCTTTTAACTATCAGTTCATGATATGCTCAAGCTTACCCCTTCCTTTTTAGCTATTAAGAAAGAAGTATTGCTGCTTGTGACATTTTCTGAAAAAAACTAACTATAACTATATCACCCTTGGTCCAAATTTTCTTGAATTGAAATAGTATTAACTTTCCTTTTAAATAATTTCTTAATTTGTTTTAATTTAAAAATGAGCGCTTGTAATAGTTTGCTGTTAAGGCTCATTCTGTTGACTCAATAGTTTAGCATTTCCCCTATCCTTTTAATTTCCATTTTTTATGTTATATTAATATTTGGAAAGATGCTAATTTGTACAATATGCAAAAGATTTCAAGGAAATGTAAATATGAGCTCAGTTTTTCCTTGTACACTTCAACAATAAATGCTCATCTCACAAACAAACAAGTTTCAAGTATTGATTTAAAATGACCTACTCATTCTCAGGATTTGATTCTGTTACTCATCATTGCAGGGGGGAAGTACCAATGGAACAACTTTATTGTTTGTTGTATTCCTTTGCGTTATGACCTTTGGTGCGATACTAATGTGCTTCTTGCGTAAGCGCAGTGTTACTAGTAAGGGACATGAGCTCTCGGGTGGAGAAGCTGTTGAAAATTCATCCTTTAAATCTCTTTATAGATCACTCACCAGTGCATTGACTGATGTAAAGATGTTGTTGATCATACCCCTTATTGCATATTCAGGTCTACAACAAGCATTTGTGTGGTAATTTCTTATGAATTATATTTATAAGGCATTCGTCCTTGTCGTCTTTCAATTATGGTTCTATGTTTTATGGTGTCCTTTTATTCCCATTACTCTTGTTCCTTAATCAATACTCTTTTATAGGGCTGAATTTACCAAGTATGTTGTAACTCCTGCAATTGGTGTTTCCGGTGTGGGTAGTACAATGGCCGCTTACGGGGCTTTTGATGGAATAGTAAGTACAAAAATCATAATGTAGAACTATATTTCTTTGCATTTGTTGGTTGTTTGAAAACTTGATTATATCATGCTAGTAAGCATCTCTTTCTTATTATCTTTAATTTTTTTATATTCTTAAATGTCTTGAGCAACTGATGCCAATATCTGGGCAAGGATACTGCTATGTTCTACTTCTATTTTTTTGGGTTGGGGTTAGACAGGAGGTTGAACAACACAGTCTCTCTTTCCCTTCTAAAATTTAGAGCCCTTTGCTGCATCAAAATGCATATCCTCGGTTCTGTTTTGTTTTCTTAATTTATTTGCACATGACAGTGTTCTCTGCTTGCTGGTCGTCTCACCTCTGGCCTCACATCTATTACATCAATAGTTTCTGTTGGAGTTTTTGCTCAGGCAGTTGTATTAATCTTACTGCTGCTAAATTTCAGGTCAGCAGTAATTACTTTTGCTTGATGAATATTATTTTCCCCCATGTAATTTAATCTCATCTATATCCTTTTTTGCTATCCCTGATGCAGCATTGCTAGCGGATTGCTTGGTACTCTTTATCTACTCTTTTTGGCTGCATTATTGGGCACAGGTGATGGAGTTTTGATGACACAACTGAATGCGTTGCTTGGAATGCTATTTAAGCATGACACGGTATACAAATCATGCCCTATTGACATGTTTACTTGCTTCTCCAATACTTTATTAAGGTTGTCTGTCCGACTGTTTTGTTTGAATTATTTTCCTTGTTCCTGTCTTTATATTGATTGCCTCCCTAACATATATTTCATTTCACGACTTGGCCCACCCCCCGCCCCCGCCCCCCCCCACCAACCCCCGATAACGTTCTCATATTGGACATGCTTTTTGCATTTTCTCCATCACCTTTTTTCCCAATATCTCTGATACTTTTTTATTTACTCATATAATCGGTTTAAGCTGTCTCTAACGTCAAGTCTATGTTGCTTTCCGGTGCAGGAAGGGGCTTTTGCTCAGCTAAAAATATGGCAAAGCGCTACAATTGCTATCATGTTCTTTTCGGCCCCGCACATCTCGTTCCAGGCAGTGCTTGTGATTATGCTTGCTTTTCTATGCTTCTCATTCGGTAGTTTTCTATGGCTTGCTCTGAAGGTGGGGAAGGCATCATCACCCTCCACCAGTTAGTGAATTTAAAGCTACTTCAGCTGCAAGCATAGTAGATTTTCCTATACACTCTGTCTTCTCTCGTGTAACCCTTTCAGTCTGGACTCAAGTTATTTTATGATGACATTTCTTCAGTTGAATGAGATGTATAAATTGTGACAAATTCAACTTATAAGCCCACATGACTATATTAGTTATTTACTAAAGAACATTCCTAGAAAAACACAGGCTTTATTAGCAATACTATTCACATGCCCAAAATTCGCAGACACATATAGTTTTGTAGGTTATTTAAATCTGATTTCAGATCAATATATGTGACCTGCAGGGGAGAATGTCTCGGGTAAGATGTGAAAAACTGAAAGTAGAGCTCTGTTTTGACCTTTGCGTAGTACAGTGCGGAAGCAAATATTCAGCCAACTACCCCTTTTCCACGTGTACAATACTTTAATTTTTAATGTAGCGGTTCGGTCTCCGGTCTAGAGTCTAAAGTAAACCGAACCCAAAAACTACGCCCCAATGGCCAATTCTACACCTCACAACTTAGTCAGCACGGCCATCATTTAACACTGAAGTCATGCTCCACTTCAACACTAGTTGTTCCGTAACCATATTTCCATACCAAAATCACTAACATCCTCAAAAGTAGTTATGATTAGGTTGTTCGGCACCAATTTCACTGCAATTCTGTCCTGTTTTTTATAAAGACAAGTGCCCACCCAAAACACCAAGATTTCATCCATACCCCCACCATCCCAAGCCTCAATGTCTCTCTGGCTCTGTAACTTGGTCCGTTTGTGCCTCACAACCCCATGGCCTTTACTAACCTATGCTGCCACTTGGATAACACTACTAACGTTGACGGTTGCAGTGGCCTCTTTCTCACCGCAGGTGGCGTTTGTCTCTGCCATATCTCCTTCCTCTTCATTCTCTCAGAAGTGCAGCACTGATGGGTCCATTAGAATGCCCTTAGATGTTCCAGGAGACATCCTGTGTTTTCCTGCTCATCTCTTCATTAAATCCAAGATTGATCTTGTCGTTCCACCCGTCTTTGCAGCGGTAATTGTAGCAGCTTCTGCTTGCGTAGTGCGAGCTGTGGGCTTGTGGGAGCATTATCAAAACCGTTCAGAAGCGAATTAGCTTGGTATTCCTTTTAGAATCAGATTTTTCAGAACGATGCTTGAGTGCAAGATTTATGGCTTGACACCAAAGTTGGGCCTAAATGGGAGGTTTGAATTGTGATTCTTACATTATGTTTTCGAGGGAGCCATCATCTTGGGACGAACTTCTATTATACACGACCTGGCGTGGAGATTAGGCTTCCCTCGTTTGCAAATAAAAAGCTAAGAATTAGATTGAGCTAACTCAATGATTCTATAAACGTATGGTCATTATTGGTCTTTGTAAATCCACAAAATGATATTGATATAATAGATTTCAGAATTATTAAATTGCTTTCCTTTATTTTTTCTGTCTTTTCTCTTTGGGCTATGCTGCGTTTGGGTTCGCGTTTTGAGTGTTAGACTGTGGACAAATGTTAATCCTGATTTTTAATTAAAATAAGAATTTCGTCTTGCTAATAGTTGTTTTGGTAACTGTGGTTGTGAAAATTAATTTTTGTTTCTAATTTTAAAAAAATATATATATAAAAATAAAATAATAAAATTACTTTACAAAAAAATCAAATTTAAAAAAAAAATTATTGATCTTGAAAAAAGAAGCTTGCATTATACACTTATATCCATTATCAAAAATTGATTTTAAGTATGAAAAAGAAAAAATTAGAACTTTTGACGTTTTGTAAAAATTTTGTACGTATCAATATAAAAGCACAAGTAAGAGTTCTAAGGAAGAGAGCTTTCAAAGTGGGAAGAGATTGAAAAGCGGCAAAATTTTTAAGAAAAATTTAAAAAATCTGAGAAAAGAAAAAATATTCTTTTTTAGAAAATTTTTAGGAAGACAATGAAAAAGAAGAGCAAAATTTGTAAGAGAAGGAACTTTAAAAATCTAGGCAGTAAAGTAGAAGAGAAACACAAGAAAAACTAAAAATAAAAGAGAGCATAACATTAAAGAAAAATAAGTGTAAAAAAAAAGAGAAAAAAAAAATACTATACTATTGATCATTGCTTGAATTACTATGTTGATAAGTTATCTTCTTTCTTCTATTTCATTATTTTTCTAAACTTCCACTTAATGAATGAAAGTTAAAGACAAAAGTTTTAAATCACTTTTATTTTATTGTTTTGTTTTATATAGAGTTATTGTGATTTAATATTATTTCATTAGTTTGTTCAATTTGATTTGAGAGATCCGTAAAGTTGGAGGAAATTAGTTGCGTCGAAATAACTTTTTTTTTTCCTTTTTAATATAATTATTAGATGTGATTTGATTTGATGATTACAAAATTCGTAGCTCGAGTGTTAGCTTTGCAGTCCTTGCACATAAGCTTATTCAACGTTGTTATTATTTCACCTTTTTTTTTTTCCTTCTTTTTCCGTTAGCATATTAGTTTTCTCTTTTTTTTTCTTTTGCTGTTTTTGACTGGTTAAATTTAATTATCTTTTTTTTTTTCTGTTCCTTGCCTTTTTTTATTATTATTTTTAGATTTATAATTTTATTTATTCATTATTTATTTTTATTATTTTTACCTTATATTTTATTTATTTTAATTTATCTTAAATAAAATATATTTTATTTTTAAATTTAGTGTTCCTAATTTTGTCTATTTATTTATTTTTAAAGTAATAATAATAATAATAAATAATTAAAACATAATATTTTTATTAATTTATTTATTATATTTGAATTGTATTGTTATTTATAAAATTTATTTCATTCTAACATTAGCAATAAATTTTTTAAAATTTTTTTATATTATCTCATTATTTATATCTTAATTATTATGTTTGTTATTTATCATTTAGAGTTGTTGTCTCTTTATTTTTTTTGTATATTTGTAGAATATAGATAGTAATTCAATTTTATATTTATGATTTATCTTTTCTATATTATATTTTTTAATCAATTAATGAGTGATAATATAATTGTATTAATTTATAATACTAACGTATAACTTCTCTCTCCTCATGTATTATAAATTTATAAAGTTTAAGTGTATTTATGTTACTTTAACTTTATACAATTTTAATTCATCTTATGTTATCTTTAATTAATTAACTAATTATCTTAATAATCGATCAAGATGATTTTTTTCTTTTAATTACTAATATACTAGTTGATTAATTTAAATTAAAGATATTTTTATTAATATAACAATTTATAATGCTAATGTTTAGCAATTCTACCTTTATGTGTCATAAATTGTCAAAATCTATATCTACCAATGCTATCTTAAGTTTTATATAACATCAATATATTAAAAATTTTATCCGATTTCTAAAAGTAATCAATTATTTTTGTTATTATTTTTATTAAAATTCATCATCTAAAATATTTTCATCATATTAATGGAACGATTTGTAGTGTTACTTTATAGTGTCTCTACCTTTCTATGCTTTAAATCTTTAAGACATATGTATACCAATGTTACCTTAGGTCTTATGTAATATAAATTTATCAAACAAAGTTTTAATCTTTGTAATCAATTAAATATATTTATTTTTTTTGTTAAATAAAAATTTTTATTTTATTTTATTTTTTATTTTTATTATTTTCTTAAGTCATATTTATAATTTTGATAAATTAAATAACAAAACATTTTATTATGTAATTTTATTATAAAATTTTGTGTAACATCGATGTATAATTTACATTGTCTTCGATTGTCGAATAATTCATAAGAAATTTATGTATAACTTACTATATCTTAAATTTTCTTAATATGAATTGTCAAATCTAAATAAATTCTAAATTTTTATTTATTTATTTATTTACAAATATTTTTATTTTATTTTAACGATTTGCAATGTAATTGTTGTGTAATCTTTCTTTACCTTCTATGTTGTTTATTATAAGATATATGTATAATTGCATTGTCTTATATCTTAAATGTTGTAATATTATGAAAATTAATTTTAATCTAAAAATAATTTTTTTTACTAAAATTAATTTTAATAAATCAATTTCATAATTTTTAAATAAAACTACGTGACTTTGAGTTTTTCATTACACTTAAGGATACGTAAAAGCAAAAATCGTACCCGTCAAGTCAAAATATTTTTTAAAATATTTTTTTTTCTTTTAAAATATGGAGTTAACATGTCAATAAATAGTTTTTCTTCTTCTAAAATAAAAATAATTAATGTTTAAGGATTAAATAAATATTTTTTAAAATTAAAATAAATTTACATAATTAATTTAAGATAATCATTTTTAAATAAACTATATCTATGACTTATGACATTATTTTTTATTTCAAAGATTATATTATTTTAAAAAAATTTAAAATTTTTTTAAAATAAATTTTAATAATGACTTTTTTTAAATAATTTTATTTTTTAAAAATATTTTTTTTGAACACATATTTATTATACTGTTACAACTGTCCGATGGTGACAGTGCTATTTTGATTACTAAAATCAATAATAATTGGCAGAATAAAATGCTAAAATCAGCGATGATTACCGAGATAAAATTTTGAATTTGATTACAAAACACTTGCAATGCTCAAAAAGTGTATTTACATTGTTGTCCTTTGGTTGGTTGTTCTCGGAAAGTTCAAAATCCAGGAGAGCCTCAAATTAGATATCTATATATTATCATAAACAACACAGTACATTTTTTTATAGCAATGACACGTATCAGTTATTAATAATTGTTGTGTTTTATTTCCACTCTTTGAGGTGGTGACAATCACTGTCAGTCATTAATAATTATCAAAGATATTAATTTATTAACTATTACAATAATACTGTTAAATGATAAAAATTCGTATCTAGTTTTTCCTCAACTAAATATAATACCCGTTGAATTCAAAAACAGTAAATAACCGAAAGTATTTAAGATGAACAAGTTTTTATAAATGATACAGAAACTATGTAAAACTATTATCATATACTTTTAATTATATACTTTTATTCATTTTTATTTTATATTATTCAATTTATCTGGTAATTGTTAACTTACATAAACTATTTATTGTCCCTTCAAATTGGCTCAATCAATTTAGTTGCAAGACATGAATTGTGAGTAGCATTCAATCCTTTACAAGCTTTATGTCTCTTGCTTATTCCCCTGCTCCCTCCTCCTTGTAAGATCTTTTATGAGCCTTGCTTTGAATAAAACAAAAAAAGCTACTTACAGTTAAAAATAAAGGCAAGCATACTTACAAGTGAAACATTTTATTTTATTTTACTTACAAGGAATGCTTAGAAGAAAATAATGCCTCTAGTCCTGTTACCATGCCACTAACATGATGGGGAGATCAACAGAAATCTAATAAAAAAAATAATTGTGTACCTAAGGTAGATACTTAGAACTTGTTTATGTTTTTAAGAACAATTTTTTTGAAAGTAAAAACAATTAAATTTTATTTTTTTGATAAATTTTATTTTCATTTTCTTCAAAAAAACAAATTTTTAAAATTATTTTAAGATATAATTTTTAAAAATTAAAAATCAAAACAAAAACAATCAAAGCCCTTAGTCACACCTACTCAATTTTAAGAGTAAAGATCACTTTCCGAAGGAATGCCTATCAAAAAAATTTCAGGGAAAGGAAATATTCAGTACAAATATATGTGGATTGAAATTAATAGTTAGAATAAAAAAAATGTTATTCTGTTAAAAAATTATTGTTTTGAAAGCAAAAAGTTAATAGACCTCAGGTTCAACTTAATTCTAACCTTACTCTCAAAGATTAATATAATAATAAGTCACAGCCTGTGCACTCAAAACCTGAATTCATTGGAGTTTTCATTAATCATTGCTCTTAACAAGAAAAGAAAGAGGTGAAAGGAATGAGAGGACTAATTGGAAGAGGTAGTAGAAGGTTTATCTTTATAACATACACGCCTCACCAAAATAAAGAATGTAATATCTCTCTCACCCAACAACAACAAAAGGATTAAATTAGACCCAAATTTTTTATATTTGACTTTTTTTAAAAAATTAATTAAATGAACTACGAAGAGAGTGTTACTAATATTTCACTTGTTTAAATAATAATCCATTCTTCCACAGTACAGGATAAAAGGGTTATATAAAGTCATTAACACAACAAGAAGAGAGCTATTTGGGATATGTGAGAAGCAAGAACATGCTTCCCATTATTCCTAACAGAAATAAAATGAAACGCCTACTAGTGGAACAGTGCGAAATGAAATGTTTGGAAACATCCTAGACACGATAGATAATAACTGTAACTGTAACACGGCTTCTTAATGCATAACGAGTTTTGATAAACTTGTAACCACGACGATATATGTGTCCCTAAAGAGAAAACACCAAGCTGCAACTGCATTCAAGCTTTTGAAATTGAATTGATCAACTGCTTGCTAAAATCCCAGAGTTTCTTTCCTAGTTGTTTGTTTGAGGCAAAAACACTTGGTTTAAATTCATTGCAATCCACAAAGTACTTCCCAGTTACACCTTTCACGCTTGGGTGGAGAGCAACATAGCATGTAGTGGCTGCTCCCTGCGTGTCATTAAAAGAATAATGTGTATGTAATAATAATAAATATGTAACATTTTGCACCTCTATCAGAATCCTAATAGAATGAAGTGAAATAAAATACCTGTGGAACGTTCTTCCATATGTAGAAGGTGAAGATTTTCAGTAAATCTGTTAAAAATGATATTATAATATGGAATTAGACAAGAAGTAACTAGTTGAAAAAAAAAGTGCTATTTTGTAATTTGTTTGTTTTTAAGGAGAATCAACATACGCATGAGATTAGAGGAGTATCTCATAAGAGGAGTCATTATCACTCCTGGATGGACTGAGTTGGCTGTGATGTTCACACCCTCTTCCTATAGACAAATGTCAGAAACCAAAAAGTAAATTGATGCATGCTCAACGACTAGTCATTAGGATATGTTCAACTTTTATGGACACTTTGATACTTTCTCTTTTTAATACGATCAATGAAAGAAATTGTTAGTAACTCAATGAGAAAAGGTAAAATGTATGTGTATGTTTGATTCCACGGTAGTAAACTCTGAAACGCATGTTTACAGCATAAAAGATTGAGTTAATTTGATTTACGTTTAAACAAAGTATCCGTCATTTCAAATATGCAAAAGAGATATGTTATATCTTTTTACATCTTAAATAACCTCTTTATAATTTTCTTAATATTTTTTAAAAATTATTTAAAAATAAATATATTTTATATTTTAAATATTTAAAAAATAGTTCTTTCTTTATTTAGTAACTAAAAAAATATTGTAAGGAAAATTAAAATTATTCATGACATAAACAAGACAGATAACAAATTGTTTATTTTTATTTATCACTAATTTACTTCATGTTTAAATCACCTGCAGGCGACGAGAAAGCTCATTTGCATGTAATATATTAGCTAACTTGGACTGCCCATACGCCTTCTTGTTACCATAGCTGAAAAGTTATAGCAATGGTAAAAAAAGTTGTAAAGTTCTACTCATCAGAATCACATGCATGATGAAGCAGTAAAGTCAAGGCAGAGGCAATTAGAATCAAAGTGAAATTTACCCTTTTCGTTTGTTGATCTTATCAAATCTTATCCCCTTTCTGTAAGTGTAGTTATGGGCAATTGATGACAGATTTACGATCCTTCCCTCTATTCCAGTGGCTTTTGCAGTTTGTTTCATTTTGTCAAGAAGAAGGTTTGTCAAGAGGAAATGCCCTGAAAAGGGTAAGGGGTAAGAGAACACACCACTACCACTACAATCACTGTTACTACTATTACTTTAAGTTAGCCTACAAGGGCTAACCCAAAAACGTCATCCACGAATGCTGAGATAAAGGGTGCTGGCAACACCCTTTTTCTAAAAGAGACTCTTTAACATACTATTTGTAGTTGATTTAATTTTTAAAAAATTAAAGCACTTATCTCACATTATAAATTTACTTTTTTTAAAAAAACTGATCAATTTCAAAAGTGTGTTCATATGTTGTTAACATTCCTAGTGTTGAGAAATCACCTAGATGGTTTGTTGCAAACTGCATTTCAATCCCATCCTCTGAGAGCTTGAAGGGGCAGAACATGATTCCAGCATTGTTTCTGACATGAAAACCCAATGCTAGCATGAGTTGATCCATATTTGGAAAGAATGACTAACTACAAATGTAGTAACAAATGAACCTAAAAATTGAAAACAACATAGAAAGTGGGAAAAAAAACAACATTAAGATGTTCAGAGGAAGATCAAGAGCGATGAATTTGTCCACAAAAGATCTGACAGAATTCACTGAACATAGGTCGAGCTTCATTACGTCCACACGTGCAGATTGGTTCTCCTCTAGTATATATTGTTTAGCTTTCTTTGCTGAAACCATGTTTCGCACTGCAATGATGACATGCACCTTTCGAAGAGCCAAGACTCGTGCTGTTTCCAAGCCTATACCACTTGCTCCTCCTGCATTATTTTTTTAGTGCTTAGCAGAACACAACAAATATGTTGTTAGCACAGGCAATGAATACCAATATTCTGATACACTTTCGGTATATGAAAGTGAAACTAACCTTAATATATATAGAGAGGGATATTAAAATTGCAAAAACTGACCTGTGATGATTGCAGTGAGGTTGCTTGCATCGATTCCTTCAGTAACCTGTTCTGCAGTTGAAGCTGATCCAAACCCGCTTCGACCTGGCATCCCTGTTACCAACGAAATAACACCCACCATTGTCAAGACAACTAGCACCAAAATTCAGTGCCCACACCGTATCAAGTGTAGAAACCTCTGAACTTTCCTTTATGAGTTGTGACACTAAGTAATCACTGTCTAGTTATATACACACATACCCAGAAGATAAGAATGAATAAATTAAACAGTTTTTCTAAGAATGCTCTAGGACACACGATAAAAGTTGTTTATAATAAATTTTTATTAAAAGTTATATTATAGCATTCAATTTAATAGATAAATAGCATTAAATAATATTTCAATAAAAATTTATTATTTAATAATTTTTTATCATGTGTATACATTAAAAAATCGTTAGATAAATATGTTGATCTCGGAGAAATAATTTTGTTATAATTTTTAGAGGACAATAGTAGTTTTTTTTTAACCTTTGAAGTATATTTTTAAGATATCTGTATAGAGATGATAATAAGTAAATAAAAAATTAATAAGACTATATATAATATTATATGAATGTAAACTTTTAGTTATTTAATATGCACCGGTGAAAAACTGTTAATACCTTCAACCACTTACGTCTCACTCAGCTATTTCTGCATTTATTCTCAATAACGGGGTCAGAACTGGACTTCTACTTCTGGCGGTATGAGAAAATTGGAATTAATGGAGCCCACGTTAACTCAATTTTCGTCAACTCACGCAATACCTATTTAATTAAACAATTTTCAGTTTTTTTAACGGATTTATTACAAAATTTAATATTTAATATTATAAATATATTTTTATTATACTTTTTCATAAGTTTTTTACCTTCTAATAATTTTTTATGTACGACATAAAATATAAAAGAGTATATTTAAAATTATTTAGTGTAGTATTATAAAGTCTCATTGTTAAATATATTGATCTTACACATTTAAATAGAATAATATCTACACCACTTATACCTCATGCTAAATGGTCCTTTATAAAACGAAACTGAAGAAATATATTTTACAAAAAAATATTTAATACACTACATAAAAAACTATTTAGTGTTAGATTTGTCTTTGTTAATATAGACTTTATATAATAAAATCTAGCATAAACATTATATATTTAGACTAATAATTATGTTGGTATAGGAATTGATTTATACTACTTGTACTGGTACATTAAGAATACATGTAATTGTTAGTATAATCTATAATGTTTATATTATAATTTAATTTTAGTTAAAAAAAGTTTATGCAACATGGACTGATCAAACAAAAAACTGTTAATAAATAAAATTAGATAAAAAATTGTCAGAATTATTTTTATTTGTACAATTATTGATTAATAATGTTAAATTATTAAAATAAAAACGATAAATTGAAATCAATAACAACTTGTGGGTTTTCATGCTGCACTCTAGCCAGGCACCACAGCATGCACCAAACCAATTGTATACTTTGGGGTTTCAAACTTGAGACCACACAATGAACTCAACTCAGGGGAGTTGGTTTTGTTTTCCCCTCAGGGAAGGTAAGTTAAATGGACCACTGTTTTCCCTTAAATTTATTGATTGAAACTTTGACCTAATTTCACTTTGGTTGCTATTGTTGCTTATCATATTTGAAACCACATCCAATGCTACCCATATTTGACTCTTGAATTAAATGATTGTTCTGCTAAAAGGATGTGAGAAATCACACAAGTGAGTAAACTCGTAAGGAAATTTAATTTTGACAGCAAGGATTACAAGAACAAATAGATTAAGCTTAAGAATTCAATTGTTAACAAAAACATTTTTACTATCCGAAAAAGTAAAGTTACTTATAATCTTATGTATTTGAGTTCATGCTCATAGAGTAGATTCTATTCCTTATTGTTGAGAGTATGATAACGTAACTTAATATACACTCTCTTTTACGTAGCTGTATATGCTATTCAAAGGACATTTTTACTTTAACTTTTGAATTATGTTCAAATTAAATGTCATCTGCATCAATTAAATTTCCTAATCTTATATCATTTTATTTTTTTAAAATATTTTTATAATTAAAAGTTTCAAGCGTCTATTACCAGTAAAATATTTTTTTATTGACCAAACTGATTTTCAGATATTTTAAACTATATTTCATTTGTATTTAAAAATACCTGTACTGTATTAAAAAATATCTACTAATTTACTAATTCAATACTAGAGAAAATATCACTTTAAAACTTTAAATCTACTTTTAGTCTCTGAACATGCAATATATGTATGTTATTTGTTCGTTTATAATATATTTAATACAATTAATATATTTCTAGTCTCTTATCATACGTTATTTTTTAAAATTTACAATTGCTCAAGGACTAAAAAAGAACAAAACATAAATAAAAACTAACTTTAAAAAATAAAATAACTCTCACTTATCTTTTAAAAGTTATCTGTATCACTATAGTAATCTTTCAAAAAATTTAGTCATTAAATTAGTAAATAGCACATAAATAAAAAAAAATATATTATCAACTTTAGTTTTACAGTAAGAATCAGTTATATTCAGTTTTTATTCTGTTGAATAAAAATGACATTTTTTTTTAGATTACATATATTTTTCGTAGGAGGCATTCTTCCACATTTATATTCATTTTAAACTTTAATAAAAAAAAATTGACAACATTTTACATAATTGATGAAGTAAATTAACAATAAAAATATGAAAATGGAAGATTTAATTATTACTTTTGGGCTTTAATTTGGATTATGTGTTATCAAAATATCTTATTTGAAGTATAAACATTCGTCTTGTGTATTAAACTAATTTTATTTATTTGATAATGTTCAGATTATTTTTCAAATGACACGTGTTAAATTTACTTTAAAAAATTCATATTTATATAATTTAATTATATTTTTATATCTAACCTGAATCTAAGAATATTTATGAAATATACTGAAACTAATACTTACTAGTCTATTATAAATGTATATTTTAAACCATTTGGAAATGCAATCGTAAATTTCCTTTTGAGGGACTTTTACAATGTCAAGCTATTTACATATTTGGACAGTAGAGTTTGATAAGATTTAAATTTTAAAAAGTGTCATGTGTGCCCTAATCGCCACTCAAGGGTCCATAGCTCAGTGGTAGAGCATTTGACTGCAGATCAAGAGGTCACCGGTTCGAACCCGGTTGGGCCCTGTGGCTGTCCTCATTTCTTTTTCGTTGTCTTCTCAGTAGTCAGAGCCCAACTTAAGATGACACGAGATGAGTTCCCACAAATTGTCCATAACTTCGTCATTATGGGCTTCAGGTGAACCCTCCTCGTCCATTTCCTTTTAGCTAACTGACCCACCATGTTGATCTTGACCCAAAAAAAAGAAAATGCACTATTTTAGGAGGGTTTAATAGTGTACATATGTTTTTTATTTGGAGAAATTTGCTTGCTAGCCTCGAGCATCAGAAATAGATGCTAGTGCGAACGTTTAATCATACCTCTTTTACTTATACAACTAACTTCACTACCTTGCATGAAGCCTCCAAATCATATACTTTCATACCTAAATACACAATTCTCCAAACCACCGCTAGACTATAAACAGAAGCACCAAATTACTATACCAGTTCTTCCAAACCTCAAAATTACCTCAACTAGCAAAATGCACCCAAATAACCCACTTCCCAAAATTTACCACAGGCAAGCCCACTAAGACCTATATCACCAAGCTTTTAAAGGTGGAAACCGATGTTTCATGTCATGGTTTAGGACTCCATTAACATTCCCTTTCAGCATACAGAAGCAAATTTTTACGAGTTATTAATGCGATACAAAATTGAAGTTTCTAATACTCCCATAATCACTTTTATCAAAAGTGATCGAATGAAGTTAAAATATTTGTTTTAGTTACGTATCTCTTGTTTTGAAATAACTAATTATCTTATTCTTCTTGTTACGTCTTGTTGGGTTAGAGATTCAATTATGCAAAACTTGGTTCAAGATCTCAAATAGCATCTCCAATATCTTATGCTCTGTTAGTATTGTGATGATCGTAGAAAAAGAAGAAGAAACTTGCGGTAAAAATGATAATAACTTTTAAGAACCGCTTTACAAAATTTTAAAATTCATGAGAATTAAAACTAATAAAATAAATTTTAAAAGACTAAACGCATAATAGTCATGTTTATAATGATTAAAACAACGTTCACCCCCAAATTAATTTTGAATCTTCGAACAAAATATTCAAAACCAATAATTTATTTATTTAAAAGGAAAAATTTGAGAACAGAATGAAAATGTGAACTGTGAAAAAATGAAAAAGATAAAATAATTTTTTATTTCTATTTTTTCCGTCCAAGCAATAACATAAGCATGTAAAGGTAGTTAAATTGTGTTGGAAAATAGTAAATACAGATAAACGATTTATTCAAATAAAACAGAAATGTAGAAATGAGGTGCATGCAGTCCTCTTAATAACAAAATACATGTTCACGTTACATTATGGAAGCATCTCAGTGTGCCGCGCTTTCTCTGCACTTCCACCACGGAACAGCTATTGAACAGGCACTAAGAAACACAAAAGCTCCAATTAAAATGAGATGTTTTTTAAAAAGATGATTTCAATACCTGGAAACCAAATTTTTTTTTTAAAGTTATAAAAATAAATAAATTGAACTATATTCAAATTTAAATTACCATACATTTTAAAACTTTAAGAATATTGACTAAAGTTTTCAAATTATTTTTTAACAAAATACATTAATAATATTTCTAATTTACCGAAAAATAAAAAAATAGAAATTTAATTAAAAACATAATAGAAAATAACATAAAATTAGAAAAAATAACCAACATAATGGTTATAGCGCACCAAGTCAGCATCCAATAACCCCCTAATTTGACGGTGTCGGTGATTCACCAAAATCCTTCCATTCCCATTCTCTCTCAATCAATTCAACAAATAATCTCAACCCAAACTCATTCATTCGCTTTTCTCCTTTCGGTTCGGGTTATCCATCGTTCCCAAATTAACCGTTCCGTTCCAAAACCAAATCGCATCCGATGGCGGCGTCGCGGCGGCTCCGGGACCTCCAATCGCAACCGGCGAACAAGATCTGCGTCGATTGTTCCCAGAAGAACCCTCAATGGGCCTCAGTATCATACGGAGTCTTCATGTGCTTAGAGTGCTCCGGCAAACACCGTGGCCTCGGCGTTCACATCTCGTTCGTGCGATCCGTTACGATGGATTCATGGTCTGAGATCCAGATCAAGAAGATGGAAGCAGGAGGAAACGATAAACTCAACGCGTTCCTCGCTCAATACGGTATCGCTAAGGAAACCGATATCGTTTCAAAGTACAACTCTAACGCCGCTTCGGTGTACCGTGATCGCATTCAGGCCATCGCCGATGGCCGTCCCTGGCGGGATCCACCCGTCGTTAAGGAGAATGTACGCTCCGCTGCCTCCAAGGGGAAGCCGCCGTTGGCTTCCAACGGCAACAACGGAGGCTGGGATAGTTGGGACAACGACGCGGTTTTCGGATCTCGCGGCGATATCCGCCGTAACCAGTCGACCGGCGATGTTAGGGGGTTTGGCGGAGCCGGAGGCGCGCCGGCGAGGTCGAAATCGACGGAGGATATCTACACGCGCACGCAATTGGAAGCTTCTGCGGCTAATAAGGAGAGTTTCTTCGCGAAGAAGATGGCGGAGAACGAATCGCGACCGGAGGGGCTTCCGCCGTCGCAGGGTGGGAAGTACGTCGGGTTCGGATCTAGCCCCGCCCCTATGCAGAGGAGTAATCAGCAAAACGATTATTTGTCTGTCGTTTCTCAGGTCATGCATTGAAGCTCTTTCGTTATTATTTTGATGGAAAATTATATATCGTTTGAGACTTTTTTTTTTTATTGAGGTTGTATATTTTGTGTTTGTGTGTTCAGGGAATTGGTAAATTATCGTTGGTTGCTGCTTCTGCGGCTCAGTCTGCTGCTAATGTTGTTCAGGCGGGGACAAAAGAAATCAGTGCTAAGGTAATTTGCATAAATTCTGTTGGTGCATTGTTTGTTTAGTTTATTTGCTCAACACATTATTCTGAGTTTCTACTTGACATCAAGATTAAATAATTTATGTGTTTTGTGTTTCATTTAGCTTTTGGATATTCTTACCTTGCAACTTTTGGATGTGTAGCTTCTTCCGTTGTTTATCTTTGAACAAAGAGTTTTTCTTCATCTAGAAAACAATAAAATAAAGCAATACATGAGATGAGACAGGGTTGAATGTTTTCCTCCACACACCACACATACACATCGTTGGCTTTTGTCGTTGGAGTTAAAAATGCTGTCTTGGCCATAGGGTGTGTGAGGGAGAATATTATTGATATATAACTTTTATGCCTCCCTTGAGTTTTGTCTTGTTTCCGAGGATTGAGAACCATAGGGATCAAAGTGTACACTGATTGCTTACCTGCTGAGATTAAGTGTAAAACAATTTCCAAACTCTTTTGCATGGTTTTTAGCAATTCGTTTGACAAAATAATGATTGGTAAATTATGCTTCTTATTATGGGAGATATAATCATGTTCTCTTCATCAGGAACATATTTCTAGTATGTTAATTAATGTTTTGTCCATGAGTCAGATATAAGTATCTGTCAAATATGGAAATTAAATTGTGTTGGTAGTGTTACCTTGGAAGAGGACCTCTAGTATGCTTCTGAAAGCAGAAGACTTTTTTCTCTTCTTTTTGACATTTATTCTTATATTGATATACAAGTGATTCAGGGAAAAAACCAATAAGATTAACATGATGTGATAATATTGTTATAGTTACTATCATTCTAAGCTTGCTTAATGCAGCAAAAATAATGGATTAAAAAAAATGAGACGCTCCTTAATTTTTATTTGCACATAGCTTAGGTGCAGTTGCTGAAGTGTTGTTGATACTGTTTACCAATCAAATTTGGAGTTTTATCGTGGTAAACGACAATAAACATTACATGTAAATATTTTACTACAATCAAACTCTAATTTTAATTGGTAAACAACACTAACAGTCATTACAAAACAACACCTAAGTTTTTTCCTCTTTATTTTTACCCTTAACCAGATATGATATATTGAGAATAAACACTTTCTGTTTCAACCTTCTACCAATTGTTTTATTTTAGCTTATAACTAAAAATAAAGCTTGGTTGTGGTTGTCGTAACTTAAAATGAGGAAAAATATTGTTTATATATTGCAGTTTAGAGTCAGTTTATATTTTCACTCAGTTTTATATTTGAGAAGAGGAAATTTTGCCATGCATGCCTAATATCAAGTTTGATTCTCTCTTTCAACCTGCTTCGCTGGTGCCTTATGAATAAAATTGATTGATGACTGGTTTTTGGCTGAAATTGCTGATGGATGCCTGCTGTTGCTAATGGTTCTAATAAGGCTACTACTGTATTAGTTCTTTCCTTGACAAGTTGATGATCTGGTGAAGTTTGTGGGTTAATGTTACTAGTGACTAGATGTGCTGAGGTGTCAGATTTGCGAATTGCTAACTAGATGTGCATTGTTGGAGTTCATCTCTGCAATACAGTTTCTGGGGCTGTCATACTACTAGCATTCATTATTATTTTTATGTGGGGATGGTTTATGAAGGGTTGGAGCTTTTTGGCATTTCCTTTTAGGCCAAGGAATTGTGGATATTGTAAAATTGTCTATGGTTTATTTCCTTTCATAGAAAGGTGGAGAAGACCATGATTTTATTGCTTATCATACTTCTCCCTCCAATTTTGTTATTGGCACTTTGCAGTTATTTTTTGCCTGATTAACTGTATTTCTTGATTCAGGTAAAAGAGGGTGGTTATGATCACAAGGTCAATGAGACTGTCAATGTTGTCACTCAGAAGACATCAGAGATTGGACATAGGACATGGGGTATAATGAAAGGGGTCATGGCATTGGCTTCACAGAAGGTTGAGGAATACACTAGGGATAACCCAAATTGGAGGCCTGATAACTGGCAACAAAATGAAAATGATAGAAATGGGTTCTATCAGGAATTTCATCAAGAGAATAAAGGCTGGAATTCTTATGCCAGAGAAGGACAACCTTCTTCAGGTGGACAAACTAATACCTACAACTCGAGCTCTTGGGATGATTGGGACCACAAAGATTCTAGGAAGGAAGAGCCAGCTAAAGGATCAGCTCATCAATCATCAGGTGGGCAGTCTGGTACTTATAATTCAAGCTCTTGGGATGATTGGGACAATGAAGATACAGGGAAGAAAGAACCAGCTAAAGGGTCAGCTGCCCACAGCAGTGATGGTTGGGCTGGTTGGGATAATGCCAGAGATGATGGATTTGATAATATATATGGAAATGCATCTAATAATAAAGCTGTTGGTCATAATGAGAAGTCGGGTGTTGCATGGACAGAAGGAGGCTTTCTCTAAGGTTTGTATTGTGCAATACTCCTTATGGAGACTCAAGGGGGATAGTGAACTTAGATAAAAGAAAAGGAACTAATGAAAATTTTCACATTTTGTTTGAACTTTGAACAAATTCTCAACTCAACTCAGAATCATCTTTCTGTGCCATTCTTACATGGTCTGCAACAGTGATTTTCCTTTTTAATTTTAACCAGCGAGACTTCAGAACCTATTTAATTTCTATTATCTGCTTCTTGTTTGTGTGTGTATTGGTAAGGGGGAGGGAGGGAGGGAGGATGCTTGCATGTTTAGTATTCAGCATCTTGATATTTGAAATCATTTTGATGTTTAATGTCTTTGTTATAGCTCTGATTTCATGTACATGCCTTTGAACTAGAATGCAACTTGTTATGTCTTGAACCAGGTTTGACCCTATCTCTGTCGTCAGTATCAAATTTTAAATGACAACAATACAGTATCTTTTGGACTGGTGGCTTACAAACCAAACAGGGATGTAGTTTAACATGATGCACGTGACCAGATTTGGAACTATTTTGTTGGTCACTGTTAATCAGGCCCCATATGTGCTGGAAGAATGATATTTGAGGTTAGTGTATTGTCTGCAAGTCTTTATTTTTTTTATGTAATTTTTTGGGGACTTCTGTATGATTGGAAACATAGTTTTAAATGTACAAGTGTCCAAAGACAGGGCAAATTGCCCAAATTTAAGATTACTTCTACCTGGAAGTGTGATGAAACGTTATTGTGACACAAAAATTTCATAATTGTTTTGAATTTATAGCAACTTAATTTACCTTTGTTTGTAGTTTTACGTGCTCCATATTGAACCGGTGTTTTTTGCTTTGTTATTTTCCCATAATTTGTCAATATCCATTGTATAAAAAAGCCTCTAATTTGGGGAGTAAGCTTCAATTTTGTGCCACCTATGTAAAGCATACAGAATGGCGATATATTTCCATCGACTGGATGGCTTATAATGTTTTTCAGAAAAGGGGTAAGCAAAATATACTTTTTCAAAGAAGTTTTTTTCTTTCTTTTTTTAAATATTATACTTTTTTTGAACTCGCTTTTCATATAGTTGCTACATTACATACATAGTTGTCAGATACGCGATTTCATTTTATGCGGACGTTGCTTATACAAACCTGATATCATTTCTACGAGTGGTTAAATTTCTGAGCTAATATCGGTAGTAAGAGTGCTCTTGGTCGTTGTTGTCTTTGCGAGAGTAGTTTCGTCTGGATCTATGAAATGTGTGTCTTGTATAACGAGCACCGAACTCGTAATGCCATTACCTGAAGAGGTCAAGAGATCTCCGATGGGTCCCAGCTCTGCATGCTCGGGACTAAAATCAATGTTTGTCAACATCGTTGACACAAGCTGCTGTTGCTTCCCCACAATTACAAGCTCGTACTTCTTAGCCTTCCCTATTGTTAACAGCTCCTCTGTTACGTTGGTTGCGTCCTTTTCAATGTACTCCACTGATCCAAGCCATTTAGTCTTGAACACGTTTACTGCCTCCTCATCCAGCTCCTGCCCACATGATATTTAAATTTGTGAGAATGGTTGGCCTCGGATCATAGCCATATTCATATATTGTTTCTAGTTTTTGGCTAAGGCTCTTAAGAACAAAATTAAGATCAAAGTTCAATTCTTACTTTTAAGTTCCCTGATAAAATGATAATATATGAATGTTCTTCTCAAATATTAAATATCATCCTTTAATTACGTGTTGTAGAATTTTTTAAAAAAATGTTACTAATTGATAAATTTATTACAAGGATATAAAAGATTTGACCCAAGTTTTCTCCTTCAGTTAAAGGGACAATACCTTTTCTTTTTCCCAGTGATTTGTGGATTCTGATGAGTTATTGTGTAGTCCCTCGTCCTCGGCTTCTCTGTACGAAGTGAATCTCACAACAGACATTCTAATCGCTGGATGTTCTGCGATTCTGCTACCCAACTCCAAAACCTTGCGATCATGTGGTCCACCAATGAAAATTATGCACACCCTTTTCCGTGCAATAACACTATTGTCGATTCTTTCTTCGTACCTTCTACCAACCCCACGATTGACTAGCACCGCAACCGAGCAAGGTGCATTTTGAAGCACCCTCTGATTGACCTCCTTCCAACCATGTCCCAAATCTTCTGTCACCTCTTCATCTTCCCCTCCCAACCTTTTGTGGAAGGGCATTATGATCATAGCTACACCTTTCTTTTCTGCAACATGGCATATGTCCTCGTGCATTGTAGTCAATAAGGAAATGGATGTCAAATGATGCACAGTAACTTGACCAACTTCACCATAAGCCTGAAATGCTGTGGCTATATGCTCATGCATGGCTCCTTTTTTAAAGCGGTTGATGAAAGGAAACCCATTCTTTCTGCTTCGTTGAACCATCAAGATGGAGGATGAGCTATTAGTGAGTTCAGTAAGTTGCATCACGTACAATTTGAGCTGAGATGTGTTGGTGGCTCGTATTGATTCAATAAAATTGATTAGTGAGGGTATGTTGCTAGTTCCATGGATGCAAGCAAGAATGCGAAGCTTCTCTTGCAAGTTTGTTAGCTGTGGCGGTTTTGGCGATCTGGAATTTACAATAGCAGAGGGTTTATATATGGCCAAGACTACTGGAGTTGTAATGAAGGTGGTGAAGAGAGCCATGAGCACCAAGATGGTAAACATCTCATCGTTAAGTACCTGCTCAACCATTTAGTGTTGTTAAACTTAATTGCGCATAAACACAAGGATAAACACAAGTGTCGACACACTAATGTGTGTGTAATGTATTGAAATTTGCTATAAAAAAAATAAAGGTATATGTATTATTAATTTGAATTAAAATATTTTCAAAATAACTAATTTTAAATTAAAATGTAAATTAAGAGGGCATCTTATACCTTCTCACGTATAAAACAATTATCTATATTAATTTTGCATTAATAGATAGTAGAGTTAGTGATTTATTTAAAAAATATATAAATATTTTTAATCTCTAAAATTAGAAGAATTACAATCCTCAATTAAAAAAGGTATTAAATACTTTCTCAAATTTATGTTAGCAAATACTTAATTTTAAATTATAGAACAATCTTGTTCATGCATAACACAACATTAGTTTCTTGTGATCAAGAATTTAATAAAAGCAAATTTCATTCAAATAAATATTTTTTTAAAATTCAACACGAAATAGGAGTGTTTATGCATTTTTTTTACTTTGGAATAAAAACAGTTTGGGTGAGAAATTACGTTTTTGGAATAAATAGTTTTCAACATAAATATCATCTAAATGACCAAAAACTTCTGCAAAGTCGAATAAAAAAAGTTTTATTAGAAAAATATGAAATTATATCAAATTGGTGATATTTATATCAAATCAAACATTGATGATATTAAATATCAATACATCACTTTTTATTTAACAATTAAATTGACGATCTTTAATATTTATAAATAATTACTTAGAAAATAAATTTTTGTTAAAATTATTTTTAGAATAATTTGATTGTCCTGTATATATAAGATATTCCGAGAATTAACAATATTTCTTTTCTTTTTGAATTATACACATTATTCCAAAACAGGGGGATAATCAGGGCTGAATTTGTTCGTAACTTTATATAAGATTTTAAAATAAATTTGAGATTCTATGCTGTTAAGCAAGGTATAATGTACAAAATAAGTGGTATTCTTTAAAGGTTTTAATTTTTTTCAGATTCTTTTCTTTTTATTCTCTCTCTCTCTCTCTCTCTCTCTCTCTCTCTCTCTCTTATTACTTATCTCACTTTATCTGCATTTCTTTTTTCTTTTCTTAATGTTTTTCCCTTCCTTCTACCCAACCTGCACTTTTAAGAGATGGGAGAAAGAACACTATTCCTAAAAGTAACATCCCTTTTTTAAACGATAAATGAATGCAGAACAATCATATGCAAAACTTTATGCAAAATCTTGTGACATTTCTTAGAATAAATAAACTGAACTGAAATATTCCAAAAATATATTTAAAAAAAGTTTACCTTTTTAAATTAGGAGGTTCGTTTTAGATAAAATAAGAATTTTATAATTAATGTTCTTAAAATATTGATTAATAAATAATAAACTCTTATTAAAACTTATAGTAAAGTGTAATGAAAATCACAATAAAAGACAATTAACAACTTTTATTTTTAATGTTTTAATTAGAGTGAATAAATTCATTAAAATTAATTTCCTAAGACAGAAAGAGGGGGGTTGCATATCATAATGCTTCCTCTTTCGGATATCAAATCAAATCGAGGTTTCATAAAATAAAGCATAATGTTTAAACAAAATGAGGTGGTGGTGATTAGATTAAATCAGTTAGAAAATAGTTTTAGTTTAATTGATGGGAATTTTTGTGTTAAATAATTATAAGTATACAGTGATGAGTGAACTTTGATCCAGAAAACAAGGAATAGTGAAAAGCGAAGCATTGGAATGAGAATAAATCGCAAAAGGGCCCATGCGTCCTTACATGTCAAAAAAGAATACAGAATAATTAATGAAAGAATATATATACATATGAGAGAGAGAGAGAGAGAGAGAGAGAGAGAATCTAGATATAAAAATTATTAAATAATATTCAAAATGGCATTTTTCATTTTCAATGTAAAATAAACGTCTTTCTAAAAAAGCCTACGTCAGAATATTCAAAATTTAAATTATGACTCTTAAAGAATACAAGAGTTGCTATTTCTGAAACCACTTGAAATAGATATTCTTATACATATCGTTAATGTTCACCACTCAGAGCAAGCCAATACAATATTTATTACATGTAAAATCAGTCGTGATTTTTTTTTTATAATTAATTTAAGCTTTTAGGAGAATTCTTTCAAATGGAATAAAATCCAATCAATGAACAAATAATTTAATATTTTATATTTTATAACTTTATTTTAATATATAAGGTAAATATATCTGCACATAATTTGTTTTAAATTTTAAAAAATCTTATGTAAAAGGATATAGAGTATAAAAAAAACTCATATAATAATAATAATAATAATAATTGTTTATATCAACATTATAATACTAACATTTGATTAGATTGTTATCGAAAATTGACATATGCAATTGGTATATTATACAAATTTTAATAGTACTATGCATCAATTTCAAATATAAGCTGAAGATATTTATTTTAACAATTTAATTTTCATTGAATAAATGTTGAATTTAATTTTATTATTATATTAGTTTAAATATTTTCATATTATTAATAATTGAATTCATAAATGTTATAGCAATACAAGTTTTTATAATGCCTAATAATTTGTTTACGTAAGTATATATGAGAATTCTTTTTTAGAGTTATAAGAAATGACAATACCACTCTTATTAAGTGAAATTCACGAACAATTTATTAAAATGGAGAGTAAAATTTGAATGATTCAGTAAATCTAACATAAAATTATTTTAATAATAAAAATATATTAGTAATATTTCTCGAAGAAAGATTAAAAAAGAAAAAGAATTTTTACCAATTTAAATCAACTAACAACATCCTATTAAACTTTCCCTAAATTCTGTCGGGAGCATAGCAAATATTGAACACCTTTTATGTATAATTCTCACCATTTTTCTAAGATTAAATGGTCAAGACTAACATCCTATTAAAATTTAAGTAATATATATGTTCTATAAAAATAAAAACTCACTATTCCTGTGTGATTAAATTTAGCCCTAAAAATTCAAGTTCACAAAATTATTTCCTAAGTATGATATATACATTTTACATGTTTTGTTAATATTACATATACTCTCCACACATGAAGTATTATATACAATTTTAAATTTGATAAATGGTATAACATAATTATTTTACAATAAAAATTAGACAAAATAAATGTGAAAGTACAACGATTAATTTATAATAATATAACGAGTATCATAAATAGATGAATGAGAAAATAAAATTGGAAGAGTGGTAACTGACCTTCTTCTCCCTGCCAATATTGAGAACGATGAGTTCCACCAACCCTTTTGTATTCATCAAAAATCCAAGCGTCAACGATTCCCTCACCGGCATCGTACCCATAACAGCCACCGCGAACGTTCCCAAAATCTTGCCCACACACGCCGTCGATATAACCGCCAAAAGAATTCCCCAATCCACCACACTCTGCAACTTAGTCACATCAGTTTTCAACCCACTGCACGCGAAGTACAAAGGAAGCAACAGTGTCGACACGAAGTCCTCAATTCTTCTCGTTAATTTGCTCGCAAACTCACTCCCTTTGGGGACCGTTAGCCCAAAAATAAACCCTCCAAAAATGGAATGAATCCCTATCATATCTGTTGCCAAACCTGATAACATCACCCCCGCAAGTGTTATACTCAGATAGGTTTCGTGCAACGGGTCATGCTCGCCGCGATACTTCCCGGCAACTCGGTTCATCGCCGGTCTAATCAGGATCATCATCAAGGCAACAAACGCCACTCCTGAAACGATAATACACTTAATTAATCAATTAAATCACATACGTTAATTAGTTTAGCTTCTGAATATAAATGTGTTATTTAATCCTTCTTAAACAACGTGTGTTATAATCTCCAATTTCATTAAATTACAGTCACAAAATTGGGTAATAACTTGATAAAACCTATAAGAAACAACTTTAAAATTGTAGTAATTGATTGACTTTAAAATAAATTAAAAATATATTTTCTTAATGTACTTTTTATAATTAATTTTTTTAAAAATTATTAATTATTTAATAAATTAATCTCTATTAAAGAATTATTTTAATATGGAAGTTATCAATTTGAAAATGTATGTGGTGTCACTATCATAAAATGGTTTTTTGTTAGGCACCTGAAAGGAGCACCCAAATGGATGTCAAGAAGCTGCTTTTGTGTCCTCCACCAGTCAAAGCCACAGCCAAGGCCAACAAAACCCACGCAGCGACGTCGTTGAAGGCCGCAGCAGCCATGGCGGTTTCTCCCACACGTGTGGTCAACAATTTCAGCTCCGCTAAGATACGTGCGAGCACAGGGAAGGCAGTGATGGAGAGAGAAACCCCCAAGAAGACGAAGTGCTGAACGTAGCCAGTGGCGTGGTTTGGGAAGTGAATGGCTCTTTGAATTAGGAAGGTGACTCCAACGGCGAAGAGGAAGGGGAGGGTAATTCCGGCCGCCGCGATGTTGAAGGCTGGCTTGCCGCTCCGGCGAATGGTGTGAATGTCGAGTTCCAATCCCACTAGAAAGAGATAGAATAAGAGGCCAAGACTCGCCACTGATTCAAGGATTGGAGTGCTCCATGAAGGGAACACTATCTCCATCAATTTTTTGTTGCGTCCAATAGCTGAAGGTCCAAGTAAAATGCCGCCCTGGCATACCAGTGTAACAAAAATCAATGCTAATCGTTGGCCCTCATAGATAAACAGTTTTTTATTTAACCAACCTTTTATTTCCTTTTTTAGCCTAGACTCTTTAGGTGTGTTTGTAACTTTAGATTAGGTAATTAGTTATATTTATTTTTGAACTTTAAGTCCCTTTAAATAGTAAAAAATAATTATATATAATAAATTTATACTATGTTTAAATTTTTTATATTATTTAAAATGTAATATTGATTTCTATTTTTAATGTGTTACACATTAAAATAATATAATATAATATAATATTTATTTATTTTTTAAATAAAATTTATAAATTTAATATATTATAATTGATAAAATTCTTTAAATTTATTAATATTTTGACATTTTCTTTAATGATTGGTTATAATTTATTAAAAATTATAAAAATTACGTGATTAAAAATATATTAAAAAATGGATTTGAGAGCGGGTGGATAGAATTGCTCAAAGTTTTGTTTTATTGTGTATAAGATTGAGCAGCTTTGAAGATGTTAACTTACAATAATCTCAGCGACAACTTTGGGTTGACGAAGGGGTCTTAGGAGGAAGGCGAGTGTTCTACTGACAGAGACTACTAAGATGGTTTGAACGATCAATAACGGAAGGGCGTGGTTCAGAGGATTATCGCCCTGCCAGGCTCCATCTGACGACGTTCTGATGGCGCTCGTGTTCAATCTCATCCTCAAATTCTTTTTATGAAGATAACTGAAACTAGTAATGTGTGATGATCAACTCTTAAGTTTTCAAGCCCACTTTATAGAGGAACAACACTTGGGTGCGGGAATAAAATGGTGCACCATAAACCTTTTCTTTTTTCTTTTTTTTTCTTCTTCCATCACAAATTTTAAAAATCATTCTTATCACTCAATAATGATAATCGAATATGTATCTAACTATATCACATTGATTAGTATATTAAAGTAATATATGACATAACATAACAACTGTAGATATTTATCATGTCATGGGTAGTAATTGGTAATAAAGATTTGACAAAAACTAAAACTTATAACGACTATCAAAGAAAAAAATTATATCTTATGATATTTATAGAATTTTGAAAATATACTTTATTGGCATATTAAATAATATTTTATATATAACAATATTATTAATATTGGTATAAATTTAACACATCATTACAATTAAATTAATAAAATTATTTATGTTCTACTTAAGGTTTACATAAAAGATAATTTTTTTTTTAACATACTCAGTTATGTACATTTTCATGTCTTTTAAAATTTTGTTTGAGAGTTTAAAAGAAAAGAGTTTAAAAAAAAGAGAAGAAAAAAAAAGAATAAAAGAATAAAATTTAAATAGTTAATATTAAGAGAAAAAGATGATAAAATGTTTAATTATATTTATGATATTACTATATTTTACATCTAATTGTAAAATAGCACGAAAGTAGAAGAGGAAAAACTTTCTAAAATAAAAAACTAAAAAAACTAGCATTCAAAAAATTTTGTATAGTTTAAAAAAATTCTCTAAATCTTTATTTTCTATTTAAGTAATTCTTAAACAAGATTTAACATATACACATTTATTTATTAAAACATTTATCATGAATAGATATTTATTCTAAATTTCTCTTAATCTCTCTTCTCTTTTTAAATATAGCTTCTAAATATAACCTTAATAATTATGTGCGCTTATTATGAATAGTAATTTATCTAGATTGAAATATATCTCAACTTTAATTAAGATGACTTAATTGTTACGTATGCACATTTATGTTCTATAACTTTTTGATAAGTGATAGTTTTATTCAACAAATCATGATTCAATGTACAGACATATAAAATATATTTTTACCTAATAATTACAATGTCAATGTCAATGATAAATTCATCAATACTTATATAATGAAAAAAATCATTTGGTCCAGGTATAATCGATCACAACCTTTTACTCTTACTCTAAACAAAATTTCTCAATATCTTCTGACTTAAATGTTTGAGTTTTTTTTCAAAAGAAAAAAAAAACTATTTTTTAAGATTACTGGAGCACTATAAATCGCTATATATCACATGTTTATATTATCTTCATTTCCTGATATGCATTAAATATATTTTTAATATTTTATATTTTAAATTTATTTTTATAGCATTAAATTAAATATCTTGTAAACTCGAAAGATTATCACAGTAGTGTTAGAATATGTTATATTTATAAATGTGAGTGGATCTCTTTACTAGAAGGTTATGTTCGAATCCAGTCACCACTTAAGTGGTTGGCATCAACCACAAACGAGAATTAGTTTAAAGTCTTTCGGAATTAGAAAGTGGCCCCAGACATAAAACAAAACACATTTCATAAATAAATATTTGAAAAATAATTATAAAAAAAAAACACATGGCAATAATAAAAACAATTTTTTTATTTTGTGAAAAGGTACGCAATTATAATTTAATTCTCTCAATACATTAAATCAGGTAATTATTAATAAAAATTTATTATTATTTGTTTGTTTTATACTCTTAAATGCACATTAAAAAATTTAACAAAAATATACTGTCATAGAAAAAGATAAATATTTTATATTCCATTAGAAGAAAAATACCTTTAAGTATCTCTTTGTATTTTAGAGTATATATATATAATAGTATATAGTAATATATGCAGTATTATTTTTTAATTATTCAAATGAAACTGGTTGGAAAAGTTGATGTCAACGTTGCTACTTTTAAAAACAAGAAAAACAAAGAAAAAAAACAATTGTACTGGCGAATGGTGACAGAGGAAGCCCAGAAACTCCACTCTCGTATTCTCCCAAACAATTGGGCCAATATCAACATCAAAGGAAAAAGTATGCACTAATCAACTTGGAGGAGAGGTGTGGACAGATCATAACAGAGAATTGAATGCATCCCATTTTAGTGCAGAGTGGAGACTAATCTAACAAAGCCACACACACACTAAGGATGACGGCGTAATAAAGGACCAATCAACTTTCAAGGGAGAGATTGTGCTTCCATAGATTAAATAGATATGATTGCAATTAACATTAGACTAATAAAGTTCATGTTAATGTTGTACCGTTCCACCCAAATATACAATAGTTACCCGACATTATTATTGTCTCAATCAATCAGAAAAACCATGATTACCCCCGATTCTGACAACCATAAATCTTACCATTTAAACACCCTCCTATAAATCCACATGAAATTGATTAAAAAAAGGCTATCTTTGCCATTATTTGAAGAGGGGTGGGGAAATTTATGAATTGATCGCCACTACAAAAGCATATATACTCACTCTTATTGATGGATATAGATATGTCAATGTCAACATTCACAAAAACCGCTTGATTCATGCCACTATGCCAGCCAAGAAGGATGCATTATCGGTAAATGGCACTGTGCTGTTAACCATAACACTGTGTAAGCCCTTAAAGAGGTTGATTTACTGCTCAAAGATCACTGACTATGTTAATGGGAAGATTCAAAAGGTTATGATAGCAGTTTCTAATTATGGCAACGGAGTGCTAATATTGTTTTTGAAACACATGTTTTTGTTTTTTGATATGCTTTTTTTTAAAAGTAAGATATCCTTAACTACATGTTCTTCTTCCAACATAATTTTAAGGTTCATTTGATGGTTAAGATACAAAAAAGTATTTTATAGCAGGCAGTGGCTTAATAATTATCTCAAATGAGGTGGTTCTTTAAAAATTATCTGGATGAAATAACCTTTTTTTTTTAGTTGTATCTCATTCCCTCCTATCTATTTTATTTAAAAAAAAAAATATTTTAAGAATATTTTTTTAAAAAAATATCAATTTTAATTATAGATATCTTTTATTTTTATTTTAACTACAATCTGTTATTAAAATGTTAAATTTTAATTGTAAAAGTAATTTGAAAAACATTATAATTTAATATCGAATTTCCAACATTATTTATACACAAAAGTATTTTAATTTTTTTATAATTTTTAATATTTATATGCATTATGTTAAAATTTGAGAAAATTAACCCAAAAATTAAATTTTTAAAATATTAATTTATTATCATTTTTCATTTATCTCAATCATCAAGTAATATAACACAAAATATCTATTTAATTAATTAGATAAAAAATAATTATCCTATTCATATAATATTTTTATTTAAAACTAATATTCTATGTTTTTTATTCTATGGCATTCGCTAAACAGTTACCTACTGATTTGTGTCGTGTAGGTGAAAGTTTCCTAACGCAAAGAGCGACTAATTGCGTTATGTTTTCTTCTATAAAAATTGCAAATAAGTATTTTATATTACAGCTTAAAAAATATATTTTTTAATTTAAAAATATTAATTATATTAAATATCTAAAATATTGTTCTTTAAAAAATAAGAGAAGTGATTTTATTTTATATAATTGTAATTTTAATTGTGGGATGTAGTTGAATTAAGGTAGAATGGAAGGTTAATCTCTGAACCCGCGTCTACTTTTACAAATCGAAGAAAAACTCTAATCAGATAAATTTGAATATTTTTGTTTAAATTATATCAAAGTGGAATGCGCATTCATAAATTAAGATTTAATTTGTCACACCCACTCATGACTACAGCACTCCAATCGGCTAGCATTATAAGTAAAATTAGAAATGAGAAAAAAATTAATATTATATTTTAACCCATTTTAGTGTATTTTATATTTTAATTATTGAGTGATATTTTTTATAAAATTTATTGAATAATATGTATCTCAGTTTTAATTTAATAATTTTATATAAACTTTATTTAAAAACAAAAAAAAATTAAAAATACATTAAAAAATATGTTATTAGTATTTTTCTTAATTACATGCTACTTCACAGGATTGTAAATATATTAAATAAATTTAATATTACTTATGATGATAAATAAAGTATTAATATATTAAATTTATGTAAATATATTTATTTAAAATATAAAATTTATCTTCTACTTTCTTATTCTCTAAATTCTTTTTTAAAAAAAAATTGTTAAAAAAAATACAAAATTCTTAAGAAAAAGAAGATTAAATTAAACAGAAAATAAATGTATTTTTTTTTTATTTTCTATTTAGTTTAAACAGAAAATTCTGACACGAGTCGCGCATCTACATCTCTGGTAAGTAAATTTATCATTAAAAAATTTTTACATACATAAAATTTAAACCTAAAACTTTACTTAAATAATATTAAGTTACTTATCACTTAAACTAAATTTCATTGATGAAAATAGGTGTATTTAATTACTAGTTGGCAACGAGAATGAATGATATACAAGATATATTTAATTGAAGTAATTAAAACTAGTGGTTCTTAGCTATCTAATTAAAAAAATAAAAAGGAAGAGTCACGATTGGAAACAAATGATCAAAAATAACCTACGCAAGCTTTGCACATTACTAGTGGGATTTTTCCATATACAAAAGAAACGATTTTAAAAATAGTTGAGACAACCGCTAAGAACATATTTCTCTGGCACTTTCTTTTAAACAATTATTTGGTAAGATCTTATCTTAACCCACTTTTGAAGTGGGCCAAAGTTATTTTTGGAACCTGCTTGAGATTTCACCCCTTTCTGTTAATTAATAATTATTGAAGTAAACAAATTTTTTTATGTTAGTTGAGACGTGTCACCATAGCATTCATTTTTTAATTTTTGTTATTATTGTTTTGTAACTTAGATAATTTTTTAGTCTTTATAAGTAATCCTTAAATTGCTTTAGTCTTTATGAAAAAGAAAACGATGGTTCCTATTCTAAAACGTTATAACTGTTGATCCTAAAAGTTCTATTAAGTAGTAATAGTTAATTGTATAAAGAAGATTAATGTTGCAGGACCTCTTCATGTTTAGCATTCCAGTAGTCAACGTGGACAATATTTAAATTGACAGTGAATAATTCATTTTTATTTGTTGGATAATTTCATTATAAATTAAACAGAATTATAACGTTGAGCCGTTAACTAATAATTTTTAAAAATATAAATGGCATAATTTCAATATGTGGTGTCTTTCGTGTACTTAATAAAACATTCACATTTTTAACTTATTATATTTTAAAAGTTAAAAGAATAAAATAAAATAAATTCAATTTTAAAGATTACTGAACATCACCTTTAATAAAGTTAAATAAAACTAATAAAAATGATTAGTTTTTTATACGCAAAGAAAAAAAAGAGAGTGATTAAAATAAAACAAATAAAAAAATTTAAAAAATGAAATACATTTTATCAGTATATATTTTACGATTCTATTCATTTCAAATCTTAAACTAATTTTAAATATTAAGAATTATAGACTTTATTTAAAAAGTATAAATATTTTATATCTTAATAAAAATATTATTTATAATTACTTAACCTTAATCTAAAAAAATTACATGTTCTAAATTGTTATTCAGAATAAGTAAATGGAAACAAAATGATCAACCCCATCACAAACAATAAACGGTGGACAGTAGATATTCTGGGAACTAAATCGCTCCGCAATGCACTAATTGACTGTATGAGCTGCATTGAAAAATAATAATAAAATATGAACATACAATTGAAAAGAAAAGATGAATGAGCGCACATAACTCATATAACACATGCACCCAAAATATCAAAAAAATATTTTTAAATCCTCACTTTGATCTATGTACGACTCATGTTTATTTGTAATCTTTTCTCTCCAATTTTAATCATATATTCGTCTCCACATTCTATCTCACAATAAAAGAATGATCATCTTTTTCTTTCAACCCTACACACGAGAGATGTCCTATGTTCTTTTTTAAAAAGTGGAACAATTTTATTGAAATCAATGGCAACGAGGAATACATCCTAGGCCAATAGGAAACAAGAATGAGGTGGCACTTTCTCCACCCAACAAACATCATGAAAAGAAAACGCACTTTTTTCTCTTTTTTTTTGTTCGCCAACAATTAATTTGAAAACATCAAAAGCTTGACAATACATTATAATGCATTTGTGCACATACATATAATAATATATTAGTAAGGTGCCCAGTGCCCACAAATTCTTTTGTCAGTATATATTTATTTACTAAATAAAAAAAATTGATTTTTTCATCATATCACATCTTAATATCTTATATGAACAAATTACTTTTACTTTTTAAAAAATAAACAACATAATTTAACAAACAATGGGCACTGAGAATTGATAAAACTATAATATTGGTTTAAAATTTGGAAAGATGAATTTAAGCCATCAAGACATCGATGAATAGCGGTTTTGAGCAAATGAGATGCATTAATTAATGTGGTTCATAGAAAATCAGGCTACACTTTATTTTGGAAACTAACCAATACGTACTTGATTTCTTAAAGAAAAATGTACTCTTACAACTCTAGTTGAATATGAATTATCGTTGACTTCTAGGTGGCAAAAGCTGCATGTGAACAATTAGCAACAGCATATTTAGGACCAGGGACATTTTTTTTTCCTAGTCAGTGCTTCTGTTTGGATTTCATATGCTAATAGACCTTTGTTATGTTAGTGTAGAGAAAAGAAATGTCAATTCAAAATAAGTTGTTCTTCATGTGAATAATTAAAGATGTAATCACACTTCATTTGTTTTAAAACATTTTGCAATTTGAACTTATTAAATTTAGGAGTGATTACATCTTTATTTATTTCAAAAATAATTATCTTTGGAATATATTTCGCTTCGGTGGAGTGTGTGCACAAGTTATTGTTTAGGGGTTGCCCACTTGCCCTTTCACCCTAGTTTCCAAAATAATACCCTATTACACAATATTGTCATTGGCTATCGAAACCCCTTCCTCCCTAAGAGATGAATCATCATTAGTTTCGTGGTGCTTGTACTCATCACGATGCTCCTTGCACACGGGAGCTTCATCTACCAAAGCAAAGTCATGTTGTTGAACAACAAGCACTGATGACACCACATCGTGTTCCGACGAGGTTAGAATGTCTCCAATAGGGCCTAATTCCGCGTGCTCCGCTTCCCTCCTTGCCACTCCAGCCACCATATTCGACGGAAATCGACCCTTCCCAACAATTATGAGATCGTAATTCCCACTTTTCCCTATTTCTAACACATCCTCCACAACGTTATCGCTAACTCTCTCAATAAACTCTACCCTCTCATCCCATATGCTTCGAAACTCTCCTATTGCCTTCTCATCCAACTCCTGCAATTAATCAATTTAAGTAATAAAACGACAAGTACATCAAATTATTCATATTGTATAAATAACAAGTAGCATAAGCATGCACGTTAACTACTAGAGTAAGTTATTTGAAATAAACCTATTAATTTCTGCTATTAAATTTTAACGAATGAAAACTATAATACATTTAAAATCAAGTAAATTATGAATGTAATTACTTGCGACTCATAATTTTTAGAGTTTTACCTTTTCTTTGTGGCGGTTGAATGTAGCAGTGGAGAAGCTGTAACTTTCATCGCAGCTATCATTGGGTGAGAGGTTTAACACAAGGTTATTTCCATTGAATCCATCATTCTCAATTTCAACAAACCTTAGAACGGTCATTCTCACTGTCGGGTGCTGAGACATTTTCTTCCCTAGTTCTAGAGCTTCACGATCATCGGGGCCACCAAAAAAGACAATGCACACGCGTTGGGCCACAGTGGTGTTTGGGCTTGGAGTCAGAGACGAATTCCCATATCCACGGTCCACAAGAATAGCGACAGAGCAAGGTGCATTCTGAAGAACCTTTTGGTTCACCCCTCTCCATTCGTGGCCTGCATTCTCCAACACGTGATGAATCACATTGTCATCACCCACGTCCACCCTCCACTGTTTATGAAAGGGTAAGATGATCATGGTCACCCACTTTTCCTCTGCCACGTGGCATATATCCTCATGCATTGTGGAGAGAGAAGAGATAGCTGTAGTTGACCGGACTGTGACTTGGCCCAATTGACTGTAGCCTTGAAAGGCTCCAGCGAGCCGGTCATGCCACTCGTCGCGGTGGAAGCGGCTGAAGAAAGGGAAACCGTTTCTGCGAGCGCGTTGAACTAAGATAATGGAAGATGAACGTTCCGTTAGCTCAACAAGGTGCATCATGAAAAGCTTTAGGAAAGACTTTTTGGTGCTACGAATTGATTCAATGAAATTAATGATGGAAGGGATATTGCTTGGGCCATGGATGCAGGCCAAGACTCGGAACTTGTCCAACGCTTCATCTTTGGACCTAAAGGAGAGATTGCCTAGCCTGCGCCGACTCTTCCCTGAGGTGCCACGTGCCGGTTTATAGATGGCCATCACTATTGGAGTTGTGATGAAGGTGGTCACCAGAGCCATTAGCACCAAGATTGCAAACATTTCGTTGTTCAAAACCTGTGAATTAAGAACATGCATGTTATTATCATTATGAATGAAAATATGTAACGTCCACATTCTGTAAATATTTCGCAAAAAATGTCATCACCAAGTGGATATAATTATTTATATGGTTGCATCTTCAATTCTACATTAAAATATAAATTGCATGACTTCTTTCCAAACAAAATGTCATATACTGAAAATCCTTCGCAAAATTTTACAATTTTTAGTTATCTGACAACCAAATAATATTTATATTGTTAGGTTGGGAAGACGTATAAAAAATAAAATAAAAATTCAATTAATATTAGCGTGCTGTTTTGTTTTAAAAGAATTTTTATACTATTTTATTTCATTTTGAAAAAATAATTGTCAATGTTAAATCAAGGTTATCGAATCATGATGGTCCTGACTCGCATAAAACAAGGTCCACGAAGTTTAGAACACTGATTGACATTTCACCCAACAAGTTAAATATTTACGATCAACATACTTTTTGAAACGTGCTTGTTCAAATAACTCTTTAATAACTTTTTATGATTAATTTATTTTTTAATTCATTAATTAAATACTTCTTTAATTTTAAAAAACCCATTCACATGAAACTTTTTTAAAATGTGGTTCTAATATTTCCCTAGATTCTAATAATGACAGGGAGGAAAGTGGAGGGAAAGAGCTCATGCTTGTCTTTAGGTGTACATGAGTGAAGGCAAAGTCAACATTAGTCTGCGTTCACTTCACATTACTATTTCTGGTACATAAAATAAGACTTTTACGCACTTAATTGTGTGTAACTTCGGAAGGAAAAAACGAAACAAGGAAAGAGAAAATAAAGTAATAAATATGATAAATAATATAAGAGCAGAGGAGAAGAGTAAATAAAAAGGATTTGGCTTTTTAAATCCAAGTAAAATACTATTTATTTAAATCCAAGTAAAAATAAAGTAAACATAAAATAAAACATATAAAGTTTAGATGGATTAAAATAAAAAAATAATAATAAATTTCCTTTATTTATTTAAATGAGTACAAAATTTAAAAATAATTATTACATTATATTAAAAATATTTATAAATTAATAATAATTAATAACTGAATTAATTTAAAATTTTAATAATTTATTATAATATTTGTCCTTAATATAATTTTTATAATTTTTAATATTATATTAATATTTAAAAACATAAAAAGACCACTTAGCCCTCGTTCTCTCTCTCTCACTTCCCCCATTTAGCGGGATTCTTTTTACTAGAGAGCGCCACGTAAAAACAACTTCTTCTCCTTAATTCTTGAAGATCCAAACCCATCATTTTTCCTTATTTCCTTCTCTTTCCTCACTCTTTCTTTCCATGCAAACAGAGTGTTAGCTTCCTAATTTATCGCAGAATCATCTCGCTTTTGGAAAGCAAAAGGTGGTAATGCTATATGCATTTGATGCAGTAATTGGATGGAATCGCAGGGGAGAAAAGAACAGGTACAGCATGCGAAAAAGTTGGGTGAGAAAAATAGAGATATTCGCGTCGTACATGGAAAAAGAAATGCTTTTTGGAAATTATGTTATGCTGGTTTTAGCCTTTTGGGGTGGTGGGGTGTTTAAACACAAGTGATGGATGAATACGGTATTTCCAAGATCCAATTTTCTAGGACGATGGGGAAATCAATAAAGTCTTCCTTCCTTCACAAGACTTTGTTTGTTTTCAGGACCAAGAATAATGAAGCACCACACTAGCCCCAAAAGGCAAGTAAAGATGTTTGAACGGAAATGACATTCAATTCAACAGGACTAGTCAGCATCTTGATCAAACTTTATATCTCACACGGCATCTACGTGCTGAACCAGAACTGCGACCAATTGCAAATGACATGCAACTCAATTGGACTAATCAGCATTCTCATCTCATACGCTATATATATATACACTCAACCAGAACTATCCAGCAAAACCGTGACCAAACCCTTGATAATTACTACATATTTCCCTCATTTATCATCATAACCAAGTCAGAACAAATTACTGGTAGAGGGGGGGTTAGGAGTGACTAAAATCAATTTGAACTTTAGCAGGCACGTTCACTTTTGCGACGCTTTTATTTAAGTAAAATGAAACTGTCATGTAGTGACGTCGGTGCAATGCATTTAACAAATTAAATAAATTAAACAGCAACCACGCGTGACAAAGACCAAAAAGTTGAAGTTGGAAAATGGATTTGATTTGTTTGCTATCTTCCAGAACTAGAAAACCTTCGCATATATGAATTTGTAAAAAAAGAAATACCTTTTTCTCCTTTCCAATGTTGAGTACAATAAGCTCGACGAGGCCTTTGGTATTCATGAGGACGCCAAGTGTCAACGACTCCCTCGCGGGGATCATGCAAAACACTGCTACAATGAAGGTCCCAAGAATCTTCCCAGCACATGCAGTGAATATGACAAGACACAAAAGCCCCCACGCTTCAGCGCCTCGAATAGTAGTGATATCAGTCTTTAACCCACTAGAAGCAAAGTAAAGTGGTAATAACAATCCCAAAACAAAATCCTCTATTCTCTCTATTAACCTCTTTACCAAGTTCCCATCCTTCGGAACGGTTAACCCGAAAACGAACGCCCCGAATATCGAATGGATTCCAATAAAGTCCGTTACGAACCCACTCACCATAACCCCTCCCAATATCAAACAAATATAAGCCTCGTCAACGGCGTCGTTTTCCATCGAAAACCACCGTGCGACCCGTTTCATCGCGGGTCGGATAACAACAAACATGAATACCACGAAGCCCAGACCCGAGAGCAGAACCCAAACGGAAATCAGAGGGCTCTTGTGATTCCCGCCGTTACCGTCCCCCGATATGGCCACGGCGAGCGCGAGTAAAATCCACGCAGCGACGTCGTTGAATGCGGCGGCGGCCATGGCGGTCTCTCCAACGCGCGTGGTGAAGAGCTTGAGCTCCGCTAGGATGCGAGCCAGCACGGGGAATGCGGTGATAGAAAGTGCGACCCCCATGAAGACGAGGAACTGAGCGAAACCGACCTTGTCGGCGCCGTCGACGGTCTTGCGGAGGACGATGGCGACGCCGATGCCGCAGACGAAGGGGAGAGAAATTCCGACGGCGGCGATGCTGAACGCTCTCCGACCACTCCGGCGAATGGAGTTGAGATCGAGCTCCAACCCCACGAGAAAGAGGAAGAAAAGAAGACCTATGCTGGCAACAGATTCAAGCGTTGGCGTGCTCCATGAAGGAAATATGCGATTCATATAGCTTTTGTTTTTTCCCAATGCCGATGGCCCTAGCAGAATTCCTCCCTGCAGTAATTAATTAATTAATTAATTACTTCTATCACTTCACTCACTTCTTTATTCTAATTATAGTATTAATCAAGTTTCGGATGCCAATGATCCTTAATTTTTAATTGTATATTAACATTGTCAATACTATTGATTCTGGTCATTTCAAAAGTCAGAAATTCTAATTTTACTATCACATGCGTAAATTGAATCGTATAAATGGAAATAATACATACAACAATTTCGGCAATGACTTTGGGTTGGCGGAGAGGTTTGAGGAGGAAAGAGAGGGAGCGGCTGACGAGTAAAACCAAGGTGGTTTGAACTATTAGGAGTGGAAAGGCAAAGTTCAAAGGATTGTCACCTTGCCATATTCCGTTAGAGGAGGTTTTGATGGAGGTTATGTTCAACGGCATCGTTGAAGTTGGAATGAATATGAAGAGAGAAAAGATTGTTTATTGCTATGGCTGTAGTAAGTAAGTATGACAAGGTATTTATAGAGGAGAACGAGAAAGCGCACCATTCAGCTTTCTTCATAACTCTCTTTGTGGCTCAAAAGATGCAATCAGGGAGGGTGCGTGTCGCTTTATCCATCTGTGTCATCTTTTTTATCATTATTCCTTGTCTGGCGGCAATTCAATAAACTCTCTTTTCATTATATTTCAAATTTTATTTTTCTTAGCATTTTTATTATGTTACCAACATCATCTCTCACAGATTAACTTCTTATCATGACAATGCTATCGCGTATTCGTACCATTTCCTTAACAATATTCATCGCACTTTCTACGCTTCAAATTTAAAAACAAAGTCAACGACAATTATTGCCCTTTTTTTTATTGTTTATAATAGAGTGACTCGTATTAACTAAGCTTGCTGTACCCAGAAAAAATTAAGCACGTCCACCATAGGATGCATTATTCTTCTATTTTAACAAATTAAGACTAGTTCACACAATATAGGATTCCAGATGCAATAAAACTTGCGTGCCTGTTAAGTTAACCACTTTAATTTGATATATTATTTGTATAAAAATATTTGCATTTTATCCAATTAAAATGTACCCTACATTAAATTTTTATATTAACTATTACATCAATCATTTACAAATCGAGGATCCCTAATAAGATTCAATATCCTCGTACTACACCCAGAAGAAGAACGTGAGAATAAATAATAAGGGAACCCACTTTTTCTTTATCACATTACTCCAACTTGAGTTTCAAAAATATTAACAGAAAACCTCACAAAGTAAAACTAGCCTTTCCTCTTCCCACCATATACGTATGCTAGCTAGCTTATTCAACAACATAAACGTGTACGGCAATACACTATACTTCAAAAATAACATCACAAAACTAATATCTTTGGTTTGCTCGAGAAAAGAAAAATAATTATGAAAACCATATTTCTTTTATTATATTTATCATGTTACAAAGATAAAAGAGTACAAGTAATTGAATAATACCGCATCATGTGAGCAGAATAGAATGCGTGATAGACCCATGAAAATTTTAACAGTTTTTTAAATTTTAGTTATCAAGGTTAACTTTAAATATTTAAAAGCAATTTTTTTTATTAAAAATATAAGTATTTATTATATTAGATATACAATAATAAATAATTTTTAATAAAAATTATTACTTTCAAATAATTTTTAGCCCTAAAAACTAAGGATAATAAAACTAAAAATTTATAAAAATGCACCTATTCTCCGTCTTTTCGCCCAATTCATAATGAACATCTATTTTGGGTGGATCCACCAAAAATCCACCTTCTTTCACCTCTAAGAGATTTGAAATAAACAATAAAGTGGTAAATTTTATTTTCTTTTTCCTCAAACTCAATTTTTTTTCAGTAATGCGTAGCATATGCAATCTACATATATTATATTTTTAAATAAGTGTATACAAAATTTATTAAGTATAAATAATTCTTCTAAAGTCCAAAATTAAAAATAAGAATTAAAAAAAATTATCATGAATAATTATACAATGATTTTTCTTTAAAAAATTTACATAATAAATTAATAAGAATATTATTATTATTATTACAATTTTAAAAAAATTTGTAATCTATAAGATATATATTTAGCATACTATATTAGTAGGTTTAACTATGTGTACCAAGTATATATTGTGTGTTTGGCAAAATTAGCTAATAAGTTAATTAAGAGTTGAAAAATTAGTTATTAAATTAAAAATATTTTAAAAATTAATTGTTAGACTAACTGACAAATGTGAAATAATGAACAAATACATTACTATTAAGTAGACCAAAATTAAATTAAGTAATTATATATTTTTTTAAAAACTATAATTTTTATATTTAATTTATTTAAAATTATTTACTATCTTCCAATTAAGAAAAAAATTAATTGTACTTTTTAATTAACGTTTTATTATAAATAATAAGATTGAATGACTTTTCTAAAATTTTTAACACATTAACTATTTATTATTTTTTTAAATTAATGAATATTGTAACTTTTTTTTTACATATTGTCTTCTTTTTCATGTAACAAACGTAAAGAAAGTAGAGTTTAAGAAATTTAATAGATATAAAAAGAATTATTTAAAATAAAAAAATGAAAAAATTACTTCGAGCGAGTAACTGAAAATTTTTTTAAAAAAATTGATATTACAGTGCACACATTAACAGGAACAAAGATATTAATAGCTGCATATTTGAACTATTTTACTAAATAGTGTTATTTTTTTAAATAAAACAAACTTTTCAACTAATAAAGTAATCTTTCAGTTAGTTGAAATACATCGTTAAATACAGTTATTATTAATTTAAATAAATTTTTTAAACAAAAAAGTTAAAATTATAGTACAAAATTTTTAAATTTTAAAAAGAATAAATAATCTTACCATCAATAATAAGTATTTTTTAAAATTAAATATAAATAAACTATAAAGATAATTTTTATATTAAAAAAGAGACAACATATTTTCACTAAAAAAATTATACATCATGTAAAAAAAATAATTGTACAAAGTACTAAATTATTTTCAAGAGCTAAATGTTCACATACTTACAATAAAGGAATATTTATCAGCAAAACAAACTTAGCAAAAATGTAAGCTGTTAGGCACACCCAAATGCATCATGATAGCATATTAACATATTTTTAGAAAATAAATAGCACATTTTCACCCCCACCACCACCGTTGTCCTTTCCTCGGTGAGTCCCTGACACACTATAGCTACACGCCTCCATGCATCATCAACCTTAGAGCCACTTCAGAACAAGCTTTATGCTTAACAATAGTCCTTCACCACCACCCTTCTCATTGGTGAGTATAATGTTGGTGTGGGATACGATGCCATGGTCTCAATTACATCATAGTTTTCAAGCAGTCTTGTAGAACCAAAGAATCAAACTATAAAGAATGGGATAAGATCCCATGGGTCAGTTGTTTGAAATAATTAATTTTCCACCATTCACTAGATGTTTGCAATTATCTACTTTTCTCATATTGTCAAACTCAGAAAGGAAAAATCAATGTCACAACCGACTGCTTTCAAAGAAAAAGTGGAGGACAGAATGTTTGAAATTTTGAATGACTCAAATATGAGTAGTAGTTATAGCTACCTTTGAGTTCCTCTAATTTTCTGCCCAGGTGCTTATGGCATTTTCCGGATTCTATAATTTGCATAGTCGTAGTTTGGAAGTGTACGAAGTGCAACGTGGTTGTGCAGTTGATGGTTCACATTCAGTTTGCAATACCAACAAGGGACAATGAACATGGAAGAACTGGTTCACATATAAAATTAAATACAGTTATTATTTCTTTAGATGTATAAAATTAATAATTAGTAGTGCTAAAAGTTTAAAAAGATTTTAAGAGGCTGATTGTTCTCAACTATTGAAAATATCATTCATCACTTTCGAAAAAAATCGTTCATCAGATTAAGAATAAAAAAAAACTTGCTAGTTGATAAATACATGTGAGGAAGGGATAGGTTCTCACTGAAAAGCTATATGATTTCGTATAACCTTTATCATATTAGCTGGATGCGACATAGAAGCTCATACAATATCGACTTTGATATTATATCCACGAGTAAAAGATTGGAATCATTTATAATTTTGGATTTATAAAAAGGCTTTCTATAGAGCATAAAAAAAAAATTAATGTGACCGGTGATTTTTTAATACAACATCTTGCTTTCTATGTTATATATAATTGTTTATAAAAATACAAATTTGTGTTATTTATTTATTAAATTATATATTTTTATTATATAATAAAATATTTATACATTTCTTAATTTTAGCCCTAATACATCTGACGATGCCTAAAATGCGTGGCAGGGTGACTTATAAATTTTGACTTTAACGTATTGTTTATATTTATATATATAATTTAACATTTAATGAATTAAAATATCAATTTAATTTAAATATAGTAATAGTGTAAACAGTTTTTACATTTTTATTTAATTATATCATATATTTCTGCAATAATTAATGTTAAAATTATATTAATATATTCTAATTAATTGACCATATAAAATTTTTATACTAATAATTATTAAAATTAAAATCTTAAAACATACAATAAATATGAATTTATATTGATAATAATAAAAGTAAAAAAAATTCATTTATATACCAATTTATAATTATATAAGAGCATACATATATTATTAATATATTTTAATTAAAATTTAACTTATAATAATAACTTACTCTGGGCATATGGAAAACAAAAGCATTTAATAATAATTATGCCACCGTCATGATATTTACAGAACATTGATCTTCCTCTAAAGTTTTAGTCAAATTCATTGACATTAAAATAAGACAATATAATTAGTCTATGCATTGCTAATTAATCACTTGATAATTAAAATAAGACATGTCTGATGAATTTTATTAAGTGTAAAGGTGTCAAATATTGATACGTATAGTGTAGGAATACAACGATGCTAAAATATGGTAAGAAAATAAAATTTTTCGTAAATATTATACGTCTGTTAGTTATTGTATTATTTATTTGGTTATAAATCATGAATTATCTACCTTTAAATATGAAAATAATCTACAAATACATCCTTTTTTCTCACAAATATCTTTTGTAGAAAACAACCTTATTTAAGATAATTTTGGTTAAGAATTAGTCAAGCGCTAAATGTAATTCCAACTGTTGTTTGTCTCTTCAGGGTGGACTACAACCAACCCTTGTTAATTTCACATCTTAAATTGAAATAGCATTACTCATTCTTTATTTTACTCAATTAAAGTTCGAGTTTAGAACAGGACGTGTTATAAGAGCACCTATGAGGACCACCCTTATTCTCTCCCACATCACACCCTCCAACAGACAAGGAACTCCCTGCTCAAAGTCGGTTCTTTGACACAATAACTATAAAGACTTCGGTTTTCTTTCGTTATATTACCTTCTATAATAATACAATGTATCAGCTCTAAAACACCATTTTTTATCCTTGGCATCTAATTTATCAACTTCAAATCACTCGGCCACTCAACCTTGAAAGTTGGAGCGCAAACTGGTGATTGAAATTATCCTAGTTAAATAAGGTCCCAAAACGTGAGCATTACAAGGAAACTTTTAAGTCAGCAGGTTTGTGAAATTTGTGACCTGAAAACGAAATTAAGTTGGATTATTATGAATCATGATAGATACGAAAGATTAAGGATAGTCATCAAATTTAGGAACCACCTATTGTCATGCAGAGCATGATGTCTTTTTTAATGAGACCGCTACTAAGAGAAATATACTAATGGAGCCAATGAAAACTGAGATTGTTGGACGGAAGAGTCCTCTGTACTTCTAAATTGCACGTCTTCTAGTTCCCAAAGCTATTAATGGTACAGCTGGTGGTCGTAGAAACTTGTCACTGAATGCTCATTCATTCTCAAAAGCTTCGGGGATATTCATAAAACCTCTGGATTAGCAATCGCGTCGAGTTCAACATAAAAGGATATCAATAAATGTTGTGTTGACTACAAATTAGGATGAGTAATGAATGTAGTCGGGCATTAGAGGTCAAAGCAAAACATCTTATCTACAAAATTATATAATAATGGCAACGAACAATGTTGGAAGCCAGGAATCTTGAGGATGTGTATTAGAGAACAGGAATACATCTTTCTGCAAAACAGACGCTGGTTTGGAAAAACGCCTTGGCACCAGCAGTGGAACAAATTAAAGACATGGCCATTCCTCGAATCTATTAAAATCACTGATTAAGTAATAAACCAGAATCTAGCGACAATGAATCCCGGGTAATTCTAACATAGTGATGCTTCATTTAAAACCTATAGATAACAAGTAGACAATTCTAATATGTGAAAACCCAAATGCGTATGAGATTGCATTGCATTGATTTTAATTTATAATCTAAAGGCTACAGTATAGATCATATACAAGTTACCTCTCGCAATTAAACAAACAGGTCATCGACAGATAACAACAAATTGCAGAATCACAATTTGTCAATTCCTAAGATTAAAATCACAAAGAAAAAACAAAATACCAATAATGACATTTTAATTCAAACGGATATAAAAAGTACACCTAACAAAAGGCTTAACACAAGAACACAAAATCAATACTCCCAATTAAACCACCATTTACAACAATGACCATCTAAAGGCCAATCAAAACCCTAATAATAAAAAAAACCAGAATCAACCACCAAAACCGTATAGAGTCCTGCCTTGCCTTTTGAGGGCATAAACAACGTCCATAGCAGTCACGGTTTTCCTCCTAGCGTGCTCCGTGTAGGTAACAGCATCGCGAATAACATTCTCAAGGAAGATCTTGAGAACACCACGAGTTTCTTCGTAGATGAGGCCACTAATTCTCTTAACGCCACCTCTTCTGGCCAATCGGCGAATTGCGGGCTTGGTTATGCCCTGAATGTTATCACGAAGTACCTTCCTGTGCCTCTTCGCTCCTCCCTTTCCCAAACCCTTTCCACCTTTTCCACGGCCAGACATCTTCGAACGTTGCTTCTAATTTCGAATGTGAAAGTTTTGAGGATTGTTATGAATTGAGAGACGACAGTGTGAGGTGGAGTTTATATAGAGCGAAGTCTTCACAGGTGCGATTTGTGTTTTTCGTCTACCGAATCGGAAGCGCGACCTTGGTCGTTGATTGTAATCTTATCGACGGATGACGATTGCGATCCGCGTTTTTCTAAGTGAACCATGTGGAACCGCTGATCGTTAGCGATGGACGGTGTCCATTCTATCATGATTTGAACTTCGAATGGGTCGCTACTTTGCGGATTAGTGACGTGGCAAGTTATTTGGACTATGGAGATCAGCGCTGTCTATTGATTAATGATTGGGTTGGTTTAAATACGAAAGTCCAATAAGCATAAACATGCGTCACATGTAGGGATGCCGAATTTAACTCTTTAAAATTGAATTTAATTTGTAAAAAGAAAAACTAAGCTTAATTTATTTATTTAGACGAGGGAAATTTAAAGCTCTAATTTTTTAAATTATTAAACTTATAAAAATATTTTAAATAAGTATATTTTTGTTAAAAAATGTAACTAATAAAAAAATTATTTTTAACAAAAATATAGCATATTTTAAGAGAAAAAATTAGCAACAAATTAGTTTCTTTCTTTCTTTTTTTTCTTTCTTTTACTTATGATCCATGTTTTCATTTTTTTTTCTTTTTGTAATCTTTAATAAAAATATTAAGTTTCTTCTTTTAGTACCTCTTCTTAACACATTCATATGCAATTCTTCCGTCGTTTAAATTTCAATTAAAATCTTTACTTTTTTATTTATTTATTTTTTATTGTTTTATCAAATTTTAATTAAAATATTTTGTCTTTTTTTTTTCTTTATCTTCACTTTTACTATCTATTTTTTTTCTTTCCCTTCCTTTCAAGTTCAACTAAAATCTTTAATTTTAATTTTTTTCACTTTTTTACTCATCTTACCTGTTATCAATGCTCAAATGACGAGAATCAAAATAAGAAAACAATGTAGTTAAAAATTAATTAAAATATATTACATTTTACCAAAATTTATTAGTGCTAATAAGTCAAGAATAAAATTTTAATAGGGAAATATTTTCTATGAAAAAGCTATACATAAAATATATTTTTATAAATTAATTAATTAAAATAGAAAATAAATAATCAAACTAAAAAAAAATTAAAAGTTGAGAGATAAAATACTAATCTACTCTGATAACAAATTCATATTTTTTATTGATGATTATAATTACTTATATAAACTAAAATCTTATTAAAGATCTTCCTTCTTTATGTTTAGTTTGACATGAAAATTAATAAACATTCTTTTATAAATTAAAAGTAATTTACATCATTTAAATTTTAAAGGAGACCATGGCTTAATTTAGATAATTTTTTTAAGAAATATTTACAAAAAATACAACAAATAAAGAAATTTCCATTATTAGAAATAACTCGTCTTTTAAAAGTTTTAAAAAGTCAAGTAACATAGTTTAAAAAATATATATATAATGTAATTTTAATTTGTGAAATAAATTTATTTTATTTTATTTTTAACTCTTATAAATACTTATAAGTTTATCCAAAACTAAATCTACCTCAAATCTAATGAAAAAATATTTAAACAGATTATAAAAATATAAATAAAGTTAAAATTAAACTTAAATTAGATCAATTAGACCAATTATTTAACTAAAATTAAATAAAATTATTTTTTTATACTTTCCATTAATATCTTGGTCCAAAATAGTAATTATGTTAACTGCAGAATTATAATCAGACATAGTAGATTAGTGCTAATATGATTCGATTAATTTCTTTATTGTTTGCAGTACTAGCATCTATCTTTTGGAAGGGATGAGAAAAGACGTGTGTGTCCTGTTGAGTTGTTAGCGTTGTTACTTTTTAGTTTTGATTAGTTGAATTTTAAATAAAGAAAAAAGTTTAAAACATTTTATCATTCTTGCTTGTGAGCTTTTTGGTTAAATTAGAGTACGGGAATTTTATTTTTAATTTTTTTTGCTATTGAATTTTATTTTTTTATTTTTTTATTGTTTTAAAGGGCCTAAATAAAATGATTTTTCCAAAATGACGTGATCGTTGCAATTAAACCCTAAATTTAAGTAAAATTATTATGAAGACATGTAAAATAAGCATTAGTCTAAATAAAAAAACACGCTATTAGTTCTCATTGTCTTTGAAAATTTTAAGACGTTACACTTTAATTTTGGATCATACAGAAGATTTATATTGATTTTAAAAAATATATAAAAAATTATAAATAGATTATAAAAAATATATCTCACATAATATTTTTTATTTTAATAGTTTTTATGTTTTATTAAAATTAATTTTTCAGTTTATCTTAATAAATTTTTCAAATAAATTTATATATAAATTATCATTTAAAGATAAATTATTAAATAAATATTTTTAAAATTATAAACCTAAATACATTTAAAATTAAGATTTAAGAATGCAAAGTAAAAGAAAATAAAAAAAGAGAAATAAATAATGAAAATTGTTTAATTTACTAATTGAACAACAATTGTGACATTAATTAATTCAGTCATTTTAATCTCTCACATTGAAGATTAAATTGATTGATGCATAACATAAAATTAAAAATTAAATTGATTATCGTCATCAAAATTTACGATTAATTAAATTAAATCATCATTTGTAAGCTTAACAGTTATTTCCTTTAATGATGTCCTTAAACTGATTGAAATCGTGAAATTTAATGACTAAATTTAAATTTTTATAATGTTATAAAGATTAAATAAAGTTTTTCTCATATATTTACTCATTTTTTTCTGTGTGGAGGTTTTGGCAACTGCGATGGGCAAAATGGTCAATCAAGGGAACACTCTTCGTCTTCTTATTTGCGTTTGAAAGACAGTAGGGGAACACCGAAGGGAAACCTTAGAAGCGCGACAACACTCGACCCAGGGAAAAGTGACACAGCGTAAAAAGGTATTCTTCCCCTCTCAATTTCGCTTCTGAATGCTTTCCTTATTCTCATGGACGAGATCGTTCACCGATTTCTGCTTTCCATTTGTAAATTTTTAATTTTGTTTCGTTCAACATCCCAAATTTACAATGCCAATACCGATTATGCTTTTTCGCCGATTATCACTTTTTTCCTTGATATGCCTCTGTATCAGTTCTCAGATCGGGTCTTATTGTTTCTGTTGATGTATAAATATATAATATCGGCATGATTTGGATTAATTGGTCCAAAATGAGGGTTTTGAACAATAAATAAATTAATTCCTTTAACCTTCTTGTTGTGGAATAAAATAAATCGAAGCATCTATTATGATTTTTGTTTTGTTTGGAATTTGTGTTTTTGACTGTATACTGATATGTCATGACAGAATCGAAATTTGTTTTTGGGGGGGAGTGGTTAATTGGATAAATTTTAGATTTGATGTGCATGTTGTGAATCGGTTTGTGAGATCTGAAACCAGGTACTGACATCGATTTTGTTGACTATGATGTTGTAGATGATTGATGATCAAGATCTGGGTTTCTTTGCCAATTTTCTTGGCGTCTTCATCTTTGTACTGGTGATAGCATACCACTTTGTCATGGCTGACCCAAAGTTTGAAGGAAACTAGGAACGCTTTTAAATTTGAAGATGTAATTTTCATGTTGTAGACAGAGATGCTTTGCAAATGGAAAATCAATTTGATGTAGTCAAGAGTTTCAATTTGAGAATTTGAATTATAGGTCTCTACTAAAACTTTCATAAGCATCAAAGGAGCTTAACCCTTCATTTTTTGCTATACTTATCTGTGCTTCCATAAGCTATGTGTTGCAGTGAAGGAACTTTAATTAAAAAGTAAATGATAAAACTAAATTTAAAGCTTGGGGGATTTGGCTAGATGATGTGCTACTATATTTTGTGCAATTATTGCTAGAATTTAAACTAATAAGCAATTTAGTATTGTATTTTTTTATTTTTTATTTTTTTGCTTCCAGGAGTTTCAAAGTGACCTTTGTTGACTTTCTATATTGCATTCTTAGCATAAGTAATTCAGGCTAAGGTGTCACTGATATGTTTGCCATGGATGCTAGTATGCTATCCAATTTGCCTTGAAGAATTAGGTAATTTCTTTCTTCAAGAGTTTATTGATGTTACATCAAGTTTTGATTTTTCTTTTTGGGTAATTCAAACATTAGTTGTTGTAGTTCGACCATTTTGTTCAATTGGATGATTTGTATAAGATACCAGCAACATGTTATTGGTTCATTCATAGGGCTAAACCTCTTCTAAGAGTCACCCTAAATCACGGTGCTAGATTTACTGTGAACACAGCATTGATCTTAGTATAAAATTCTTTGAAGTTTATTTGACTTGAGGGATTCTCCCACATAAGTAGTTCTTTTAGTTCGCTCTGAATCTTTACTGTTTCTTTCATCAAGCTACTGGCGCAGAATCCCAAGCAACTGTAATGAAAAAGCATCTGACCTTTAAACATGTCCTCATCTTTGTTGGTATCGGTTTTGTTAGCCATCTCCTCTACATGTTGGAGGAAAGCGCTTGTAATGTTTTCGACCTCTTCATCTCCATTCAATATCCTAAATGCATTTGCATTTAGATACTCTTGTGACTCAATATCGCAAGGAAGATTTATTTTCTTCAATTCATTTTCAAGTTTCCTGAGAGACTTGATCCTTGTTATCTCCTCAAGGAATTTCAGTGTGCGGCCAATGTTGTCCTTAAAAATCCGCACATTCTCATTCACTCGATCTTGGAGATCTGTCCAGAATGCTTCATCCTTCTGTGACAATCGTGTGACATTTTCCATTGAGTATGCAATAAAAAGCAAGAGATCTACCATCCTTGATAGGGATTCCAGCATCTTACTGTAGCAGGCACTATGAAATGGAATGAACCAGAAATTTGGCTCCAACTCAGCCCCTACAGTGAACTCTTCTAGTTGACACACAATAGATTTCAGCTTCTTCTGTCCTTCTCGCAATGCTTGATAGCTTGAAGATAGCATGTCCCTTTCCCTAGGAGTAATATGGGTGATCCAGTCAATGCAATCTTGAAGTGTCCTCAAACTTTGAGAGAGTTCAGATTTTGCTAAAGTTGCAGCTCTTGAGGGATTAAAAAGAATCTCTACGACAACGAAGCAAAGGAGTCCTATCGCAACCTCGACGAGTCTAGCAAGTGCAAATTGTATAGGTGTGTCACTGTGCCTCATACCAACGACTAATAAGGCCCCAGTAACTGCCGAAACCGCACCAGCTTGACCATACATTCTACTGTACCTAAGAAAAGAAGAGAAAACTACCCATGGTAGAAGAGATATGAACCTTAAATGCACAAACCTTTGGAGAATGAAGCAACAAATTATCCCGTATACTGATCCCATTGCAGTTCCTTGTCCTCGGGCATTTGCAACTGAGAATGTTGGATGTCGTCCAGTCATGAAACAGAGGGCGATTAAGAGTCCAGACCAATATCCATTTTCCTTGTTATATGTCAAACCGAAAAACACAGCAAGGCCTAATGAAAAAGAGCACTTGAATGCAAAGGTCAAGTTGTGACTGCTAGGGATCAAGTTCATCACAATCTCTTTGATCTTTCTAGAGTTCCATTGGCAATCCACACTTTTTTGAGTTTTTCCGAGCATGTGATCATTTATCTTTGCAATGGGCGAGTTATCTAGGAGAAGATGTACACAGTATAAAAAGAACGAGGTGGGCAGATTTTTATAGGCTATGGAAAGGTTTTTGGTCAAAATAATTTCTTTCATCTTTGAAGTTGTGGTTGCATCAAAATCAGCGAAGCAATTAGCTTGCTGATCTAATTTTTGGTTCAACTGTCCTCTGCAGTTGTGCAAGACCCCTCTGAGCTCCTCATCAATGACGCCAACAGGAAAAGAAGTACAACTAGATAGAGCAATCTCCATTCCTCTAATTGGTATCTCCAAGGCTTGCAGTTTTTCTTCTAGGTCAATCCAATCGGGGTTGAAAATTCTTGTTTGAGGCTGTTCCCAGCGCAGGCCATCCTGTTTGTTGAAAAAACCAATATAAAATATTTTAGCTCATTTGCAACTCCTAGAAAATTAGTTGCTTGAAGCCGTAAGTTCAGCGTTGATTGCCATGATTTAGTCTTACGCACCAGCTTAGTTCTGATACTCTCTTGTAGCTTGGCTCCTGTGGTAAAGAGAAACTTAGCTTGATTGGAGAAACCAACGGCAGTTGAGTTGTCTGAGGCAGAGATGGCCTCTATGTTGCAATTTAACCTTTCAAGAGTATTCTCAGCGTATAATCGATAGAACTTCCTTGTCTGAAAGCAAGGCAAATTGAAAGTGTCTTTTTTTTTTCTCTTATTATATTGAATAAAATCAATAACAATTTGCACTTTTTAGCAAAATAGGGCATCCTCCAATATAAAATGTTGAGCTCTTAGCATTTGTCGACAGGGATACATGCAGAACTTAGGGCTCATCCAAGTCGTTAGCCTAGGGTTGTCCATTAATTCCTTTTTTATTTTCTATGAAGTTCTGCCTTTCCAATAATTTCCTTTTCCTAATAAACAACGCAGTTTCTACTCTTTCATTTTGTTACTTCTTATTCCGTGACTCTGTTGAATGCTAAGCATGTGCACAGGGATGCAAGATATTTTCCTTTAGCATTGTGTTGCAAGATATTTCTGATTTTAAATTTTTAAAGAAAGAGTTGTGAAAAACTGCTACTGATTTCTGAAAGAATCGTAAATATACTTGTAATATTAAAAGATGGTTCTCAATAATGTTAAATTTGCTTCTAAAATATACAATACTTCGTCAATGTCAAAAGCAATTGAAAAAAACAAAAAGTAGAAAAAGGTTATCTAAAACAAGCATTGACTTATTTATTATTAGTTCAGTTTTTCATATCGTTTGCTCGACCTGTCAAAATGCTGGGGGTATATTCAGCCAAATTCGTTTTTCTCTCTTTGTCCCTAACGATTATAAACATGCACATGGAAACAGGATTGTAGCTATCTTGAGGGAAATCGCTTTTAAGAATTTACTTAAAAGAACTTTTTGCGGTACGTCAGATAATTCTCCGTTTATCAAGTTATAATAAGAATTTGATTGTGATCGTGGTGACATGTTAAGATTCATCTTACTACTTACTAGTATCAAATAGAATAATACCCTTTTTAATTACAGTAATCTTTTATAATATTTTTTTACAACACCTTTTTCTTTTATCTCTTTCCGTTGCCTCATTCACCTTATCCTGCATATATTTTTCTTATTTTCTTGTTTCTTTTCCTAATGTAAGTATTGCTGTCAGAAACTCGCATGTAAATAGTATTACGCATCAAATTAATTCTAGAATACTGTAAAGTGAAGGTGTCAAACGTATACTGATGCTCATAAGCTATCTAGAAAAACAAATTTATTAGGAGAAATGATTTTTGGATAACTTTGGATCTTTCCCTTTATTTTTTAATATATTTTTGAGATGAATGTGTACATAAATAAAAAAAATGCATATTATTATATAAGATAATAAATTTTAGTTACCTGGATATTGAAATTTAATTAACTAACATACTCGGCTTGTTTTCTATCCGTTCATGTGTTTCATGTGATGCTAAATGCTGGAAAGAACAAACCATATGTCTCTCTCTTTACGCACGTCCACAGACACTTGGAGACACAACGTTAGACGTTTGCGAAAATATTTGAAAACTGGAATTTTAATTCCGGAAGAAAATTAAAATCTGGTTATAACTCTCTTCTAATGAATACACGACATGACACTTCGAAGAAAAAGTTAAAAAGTGTCATAAAGATTTATCACAAAGATAAAAGAGAAGTTAGTAAAACGGACTAGTTTATACAACCAACCTAAAAAAGGTAATAAGAAATTTGTAAAAAGAATAATCAATTAATATGATGATCACTTGTTTGTTTCAGCTGTATTAACATAACAGTTCATAACATTTTTCAAATTCTACATAAGAATAGTATAAATAACTCCATTCTAGCTAGATGAAAACGAAAACTGATACAATTTTGGTTACAATTACTTAATTTCATTAGTTGATTTAAAATAAAGTTATTTGGCATGTATAGTATCTTAGACAAACCCTTTTTGGAGACATAACAAGTTACCTGATTGTGGGCAAGGCGAGGATAAGGGAACAACATGGCGAGGACAGAAGCCACAGCTCCAAGGGCAGTAGAGCAAACCACGGAAATTGGGTGCACAAACACCCCTTCTTGTCCACCATCAATCACTGTGCTTACATAAACATTCACTAGCTGTCCAAATGCTAGTTGCTTACTCACCAAGTGGGTTGATTCTGGCAGCGCAATTACAAACGTACTTGCCATCATCGCCAACGCAGCCACGCTGTTGGTGAAGTTGTGAGGTCCTATTACCTGCAGGCTAAGAATGGAGATAATCATAATCTGAACGCTTGCACAAATAACATGCCAACAACCTCTTAACGCGTCACCCAGTGTTGCATCCGACACTATGAGCACTGTTGTTGAATAAGTGTAAGATGGGAATTCCAAGTAGCGTCTGAGAGGTGCAGGACTATAGTATGAGATGCAACCTGCTATGCTGCATGCTAAGGTTGTTCGTAGAGCAGAACCTAGACGAGTTCGCCATACCTCTGCCCTTGTGTTAGAAATTGAGGATGTTTTTGACATAACGAAGAAAGTAGAGTATGTGATGAACTAGAAGAAAAATTGAGTTAATTTGGTGTAATTTGAAGAGTGTGTGTGTGTTTCCTAATAAATGGCAAAAATCGATGGCAACAACTTCACAATAGTCCAAGGGGAGAAAGACGACCGCAATGCTTTCACTAGCACCCACTTGATTTATCTTGCATGGCCTCGTGGGTTAACCTTTTATAATGTTCTTAAAGCAAAGTAGTAGTAATAATAATAATAATAATAATAATAATCCATTTGGACTTTCCGATGTACTTTGAAAAAACAAAATGTTTTGTTGACAATCATTTCAGTGTGAAATAAATGGAATGAGGGCGGGGAGGACACTATTAATTTAAAATTTGAATTTTATTATTTGGATGGATTTTTAAAACATTAATATTATATTTTTATACTTTGTTGTATTTATTTTTCTTAATTTTACATCAAAGGTTCAAAATATCGTGAGAGATGTAACATTTCCCATTCAGACTAGCAGAAACGCTTGGTTGTCTTAATGAATCTGCAACAAATACAAATATAATTGTCCAAAATAATATATAATAAAACCTTGCTTAATTTTCAATTTACGGTAAATAATATAACATTTCAGAGACAGACCAAGCAAGCAAAGTCTACTGTGCTTGTATTCTCTCTCACACTCACTCTTTTTTTCTATATATGGACATTGAGAGAAAGTAGGATTTTATCTTCTTTTTACAATTAAAACATTAATTCTCAATTTTAATTATTATTTTATTAATTTTCTTTAATTATAATATGTATTATTTAATTAACATATGTTTAGATAAATATAATTATAATAACATAGAATTGCATATTTTTCGCACTAAAGGATGTATCTCTAATAAAAAATTCATAGATTAAACTTTTATCTGTTTTATCATTAAAAATAAATTCTTATACTTCTACACGCGCATTAAAAAAACACATTTTTTAATGTAATTAAAATTTTCAAAATTATTTCTATTTAACTATATTCTAACGCTATTTACCTGTCTTGCTTGTAGGTTATACTCTTTTGTAATTTACTTTTTGGATTACGTTACTTAATTAACTATTCTTGACAGTGCACCATCAACCTCTCGCTTGTCCTTCCGTAAAATGTAAAACCTCACTCTCCCAGCGCATAAAAAAATGAGAAGACCTTGCCCTCAGCCCCAAGGTGAACGTGATATTTTGTTCTAAATTTTAGTTACATAAATAAAAATGGAATCAGTCATAGTCCCCTTTGCCTTGTGCGTAGAATACAAGCCGAACAATTTGATGACATTAAGATTCTAATGTACAACTACCAATTAACTAGTGTTCACGCAAAGCTCTAAGAAGTCAGCTTAGCACAAATAAAAATTACTTGAATTCTTAACTTAACAGTCATGTTCCTGTGGGACTCTCCCACAACAAAAACTCAGTGTTTAAGCTTAATAAATAGCTTTCATGGGGCTCTGCTATAAGGAAAGTATATAGGGAATTGAAAATTATTACAATAAAGAAATTTTAATTGAACATCTATTATTAAAAGTATTATTTGAATTTGACATGCATGCATAAAGCCGAGACGAAGTGCAACTGAATATTTATTAAAACTCCCGCTACAAAAGAAATCTTAATTATTAATAAATGAACATTGTCTTAAGATAGTTTTTATTGATATAGTTTTTGTCAATTTGAAAGTTAAGAAGAATTATAAACCTCTATATAATAGACGTTTTGGATGAAAAATTCACATAAATCAACAAAAATAATGTACAAATAAAGGTTATTCACAATCACTGTTCCTTTTTATTTCTGGAAAAATTAGAACATAAACTTTAAATAAAATGCTATTTAACGGCTTTAACAAAAGAAACTTTAACATTGGTTAGAAATATAAATTACAAATTCCGTTTGTTATTGCATTGGCCAACAACAATCACAATTTGTAACCATAAACAATATATAAAACATAATGAGATTTACGGAAAATAAGAATTGTAAAACATTTATTTTAAAAACTAAATCTGCCAACTGATAACTATTATTAGCTTTTACAGAAATGCGTACTTTGAAACTTTTTATTGCATTCAAATGTACAAAGTAAGAATCACCCATCAAATCTAAAATTTTCGTTTTCTTAAATAAATAATTGTTTTTAAAGTCATTATACATTCAAACAATCAAATCGGCACAGCTATTTAAAAGACAACAGACATAGTGAACACCTTTTTATTTATAGTGGACTCCGGAATTAAATTCTCGTTACAATTTTTTGTTATAAAAGTGCCATTAATAAAATGTCATTCGTCATATTGTGACCTTCAAAACAAAATACTATTTTTAGCAACATTCAGTGGTTTTTTCTTTGTTTGAAAAATAGTTTAAATTTTTTTAAATAAAATGACATATATCAAAATAAATAGTTTCAAAACTATTTTAAAGAGTAATAGGCAAACAAAACCTTAATTAAGGAGACTTTCTAATGATATTTTAACAAGTTATACTATGATCAAATCATGTTTTAATTACGTAATATTTGAATTGAAAACGTAATCACTTCGCGATATTTGAATTACGTAAGATAAAAAAACAAATCATTATCTAGAGGATGATTTTACTTAATCATCATTTTTTACTGTATAGTTAATATTAATAGTTTTCCTGTATTTTAAAAAGAATTAACTAAATATAATAAATACATTGTTTTTTAGCATCTTTAATTTAATTAGATGTCATTTTTTGGTCTTTCGACTTTTTTGGTTAATTGATATTCTTTTTACGTAAAATCTACAATTTTTGTATTCTATTCAAAATACTTAGAAATTACATTCCTTGTCTTTTCAATTTATCTTCTTCTCAAAACACACTAATCAAAATATTTTATTTATGTAAAATAAAATATATTAATTTTTTCTCTTTTTAAATCCTAATCTGACTGTATACATTTTTTCATATTTTATCAAATGTTTACTATACCTTTAACTTCGAAAAATATTTTATATAACAAATCTATCACAAGCTCCAGATATTAAAATAAAAAAGCGGACATGTGAATATTTTATAAAAAAATTGATATATAATTTTGTTTTATTTAATGTTAAAAATATATGCGTAGTCTAAATTGAATTACCTAAAGTGTAATCAAGTTAAATTTTTAAAATACTACTTCTATTTTTTGTATGTGTTAATTTAAAGTAAAGGCATTGTTATATGCCAATAAAGTTTATACTAACTTATTTGACGTCGTTTATCATGATTTTGAATAATAAATGAGAATTTAAGTAAAAAATAGTGACAAAAGAACTAAATTGCAATAATTTAAAATTGAATTATTATATCAACTGTAAGTGATCTATAATATATTAGTTAAAATATTATAATTACATTGTAGGTATTTTTTTTATTTTTTAATAAAAAATGTCAATGTTTTTTATTTTAATTATGAAAATAAACAATTTTTTAGATTTATTAATTATGAATTTTTATATTTTTATTTACTAATAATTTATATTAAAAAATATTGATTTAATATTTATATAAGTTAATGTATTTATTTATTTAATATATAACTTATTAATTTAAATATTTAATATTAAATTTTTTATGATATAATATAAATTTATTATATATAATTTTTTTATTATCAATAATAAATTACATTATTTCTTAAATACAATTACGTTATGAATATTTTTTAAAATAAAATTATATCTTATATAAAATAAACGTATAATTTAAATAAAAATTTCATTAAAATAAGTAATAGTTTTTTAAAATAAATAATCATTAGAATTTTATTTTTTATTTTTGTGAATAATTGCTTAATTGAACTACTGTCTAAGGAAGGGAGAGGAAAACAACATTAAAATTGAAAGTGAGTTGTTGGGTGACACACAGTACGGCCCACCACGGGCCCACGGTTTCAAAAAATCAACTATGCAAACGTGAAAAGTGTGCATGCTACCCAGATTCAACTGGCAACCACTCCGAGCTTAGACCAAGAGAACATTCTGGAAGGAATTCAAACCTTAACTATATAAGCGAACCATTTCTCTATTTCCTCTCGCTCGCCGCTGTGGTTTCCATAGCCTCTTCTCAGATCTCTCTCTCTTCTTCCCTCACACCCGAACAGTGAAACACAATGGCTGGAAAAGGAGAGGGTCCTGCAATCGGAATCGATCTCGGAACCACTTACTCTTGCGTCGGTGTCTGGCAACATGACCGCGTCGAAATTATCGCCAACGATCAAGGTAACAGAACGACGCCGTCTTACGTCGGTTTCACTGACACCGAACGTCTCATCGGTGACGCCGCTAAGAACCAAGTCGCTATGAACCCTATCAACACCGTCTTCGGTAAGATCTGCTTTCACATGCAGCTTCGCTTAGTCGTTTTTATTTTTCTTCCTCGATCTATAATGTGATTGTGTAAATAGCCTTGTTTGTATGTGTTTATTTATATATTTTTAAATATAGTCATGTTTATAAGTTTGTTTCAAGTACAAACGGTTGCATGTTTTTAGATCTAGCTTGTTATAGAAGGTTTCACTGATTATTTAGCTTGTGACGCATTGTGTTGATATTTTTAACTTATATTTTATATATATTTCAAATTTTTAGAGTTTCTCAGAATAGATCTGAATTTTTTATGATTGTTAGTGTTAAATGCGAGATGGCGTATTGTAAGATGCTTTGTTTGTGTCACAGATGCTAAGAGGTTGATTGGTCGTAGATTCAATGATGCCTCTGTCCAGAGTGATATTAAGTTGTGGCCATTTAAGGTCATTGCTGGTGCTGCTGATAAGCCAATGATTGTGGTTAACTACAAGGGTGAAGAGAAGCAATTTGCAGCAGAAGAAATTTCTTCTATGGTACTCATGAAGATGCGTGAGATTGCTGAGGCTTATCTTGGTTCTACGATTAAGAATGCTGTTGTTACAGTACCTGCTTACTTTAATGATTCTCAGCGTCAAGCTACCAAGGATGCCGGTGTCATTGCGGGTCTTAATGTTATGCGAATTATCAACGAGCCTACTGCAGCTGCCATTGCTTATGGTCTTGACAAGAAGGCTACAAGCGTTGGTGAGAAGAATGTCTTGATTTTTGATCTTGGTGGTGGAACATTTGATGTTTCTTTGCTTACTATTGAGGAGGGTATCTTTGAGGTGAAAGCAACAGCCGGAGACACTCATCTTGGAGGTGAGGATTTTGATAACAGGATGGTGAACCACTTTGTTCAAGAGTTTAAGAGAAAGAACAAGAAGGACATAAGTGGCAACCCCAGAGCTCTTAGAAGGTTGAGAACTTCTTGTGAGAGGGCAAAGAGAACGCTATCATCTACTGCTCAGACTACCATTGAAATTGATTCTCTGTATGAGGGAATTGATTTCTACTCTACCATTACTCGTGCCAGATTTGAGGAGCTCAACATGGATCTCTTTAGGAAATGTATGGAACCGGTTGAGAAATGTTTAAGAGATGCTAAGATGGACAAAAGGAGTGTCCATGATGTTGTCCTTGTTGGTGGTTCTACCAGAATTCCCAAGGTTCAACAACTTTTGCAGGACTTCTTTAATGGAAAGGAGTTATGCAAGAGCATAAATCCTGATGAGGCTGTTGCATATGGTGCTGCTGTTCAGGCTGCAATTTTGAGTGGTGAGGGCAATGAGAAGGTTCAGGATCTTCTCCTCCTCGATGTCACTCCTCTGTCTCTTGGTTTGGAGACTGCTGGTGGTGTGATGACTGTCCTGATCCCTAGGAACACTACAATTCCAACAAAGAAGGAACAGGTTTTCTCAACATATTCTGATAATCAGCCTGGCGTGTTGATCCAAGTCTTTGAAGGTGAGAGAACAAGGACGAGAGATAACAATTTGTTGGGCAAATTTGAACTTTCAGGCATTCCTCCTGCTCCTAGAGGTGTTCCACAGATTACAGTGTGCTTTGACATTGATGCCAATGGTATCTTGAATGTTTCTGCCGAAGATAAAACCACTGGTCAGAAGAATAAGATCACTATCACCAATGACAAGGGTAGACTGTCAAAGGAAGATATTGAAAAGATGGTTCAAGAGGCTGAGAAGTACAAATCAGAGGATGAAGAGCATAAGAAGAAGGTTGAGGCCAAGAATGCTTTGGAAAACTATGCATATAATATGAGGAATACTGTGAAGGATGATAAGATTGGCGGAAAACTTGCTCCAGCTGATAAGAAGAAGATTGAGGACGCTATTGAGCAGGCTATCCAGTGGCTAGACAACAACCAGCTTGCAGAGGCAGACGAGTTTGAGGACAAAATGAAGGAATTGGAAAGCATCTGCAATCCTATCATTGCCAAGATGTATCAGGGTGGTGCTGGTCCAGATGTGGGTGGTGGAGCCGATGATGATTATGCTCCTCCTTCTGGTGGCAGTGGTGCTGGCCCCAAGATTGAGGAAGTCGACTAAATGTACCTGATTTCCTCCTTTTCTACTTATTTGATGACATTTTGGTTGGTTTTTTTTTTTTTTTTTAACTTGCATGGTTTTAGTTAGTTGAAAGGAAGACAATTTCCCCTTAGCGTTTTGTCGCATTTATTATGTTTGCTTTTATTAAATTGGATGTTAGACGATAGTCAATATTTATTTGCAATTTACCTGCAGAAATTATTATGTTTTGTTTTCAGACTTTGAATAACACGATACAGTTATCCTGCTGTCTTTAGCCTACAGATGCGCAGGAGTTCTCTGTTTGTAGTTCGCTCGAATATGTAGTTCTGTAACACCAGTTGTATGTCTCGGATCCCATGATAGGAAATATTTATCACTGAAATATGAAGTTATTTTGTTGGCACTTGGTATCGGCGATTATTCTTCGCCTGTCGAACTTATTGTGCAACTTTTTAGCCTAAATTATATGTCTACAACTCCACTATATGAAAATATCTTCCAAGAGGTACTGGTTTAAATTTTATAAAGATGAAATTAGATTTTGTTATCTCTATCTTTTATTTAGAAATTATAGATTCATACACTGCCTCTCCACGCGTGTGGCATCTTCAGTTTTGTGTTTTGAACTCTTATTTTATAATTGTACGAATTTTTCTCTACCCGTCTTAGCCGTCTAGATTAGGAAATTGGAATATCTGTTATACTGGGGTATCTGTCAAAAAATTATTAAAATGTGCTTATACATTTCAAATTAATATGGATTTTACCTTTTATTATTTTATAATAATTTTGATATGTGCTTAATATTGTGTTATTTTTATTGAAATATATATGATATACTAGTTAAATAATTTTGAGTGACATATTCTTTCTTTTAATTATAATATTATAAATGAGATATTTTATAATTAGTTAATTTTTTAAAAAAATAATTAATATCTACAGATAGATATCTCTAGATACTCTTAATAATAAATTTCTTTAAAATCTGCTTAATGGGTACTGCACTTGTATGAGGTGCGGAAACCTACTATCTATACCCACGTGTTAAAATCTCTGATCAGGACCATCATATTGCTATTAAATTCCAATGGATGAAAATAAAATGGTAATTCAGATAAAATTTGAAATCACACTAGATGGTTGTAGCATCAACTCAACGTTTTATTTGGAGAGTAGGAACACTTTTAACAATGTATCTGAACACTTTTATCTAATTTTTCTTATAAAAAGAAAACTAAAAGCACGACACTCATTAATTTTCCAATTGAAGTGAAGTTGCAAGTTAGTGTTCAATAGTTCATTTTTTAACAAGAATTTTTTAATTTGAACAATTAACTAGCTTATTACACAATTACTATAATGCCACAACTTTCAACATTTGCAATTGAAAAATAAAATTGCGACAATAATTAACCCAAAAGTCGTCCAAATAAACTTGAATCATAAATTTTAGTTTTATCAAACTCCTAATTATTGGGTTGCTTTCGTTACCTTGTTGAATGCTTTAATCAAAGGCAATTTCCAAGAAAAATGAAAATATAAACAAGTAGTTTGACATATTTATCCAATAATTAACTACTTTTTCTTCAGTGGGTGTGTGAAACTGAGTCTCGTAACTGGTGGCAAAAGATAGGCATAACAACTAGACTGGCGGTAACTAACAGAGATCTTACAAGGAGAAGGTATGTTACTTCCTCACGTTAACCAGACTTTTAACCAAAACAGAAACCAAGAAACTTGGATTTATCATCAAGGATAAAACTTTAGAAGAACAAATACCTTTATAATTGCTAATTAGAAAATTAACGGTTTAGATTGTCTGGTCTATGTAATCGTATATTTTGATAAAATATATATATATATATATATATATATATAAAACAAATTATAAATTAGTTAAACCGTTGATTTTCTAATTAACAATTAAAACTGCACTTTATCCTCTAAACCGCACTTCCTCACTTTTGGGGTTAAGTCTGCGAAACACATGCTCAGACAAGTAAATCCAAAACATACCAATAAAGACAAGGTAAGATTTAATAATTTCAATTCAATGATCAGAATTGGATATCAAAAGATAAAGAATGATTACGATCAAAACCTAATAGATGCATGGACCCAAAACAGCGATCGCAATTAGTATGATAAAAAATGGAGACAATTGTGAAATGCACTTTAGTATTGTGGATTACACAAGTAAAATAATGATTTTCAGACCATACTTGCAACCACAATAATTTTTAAATCTAATAAGTTCCTGACTCAAGTCAACATAAGATCATTCCCTCCAAGATGAGAGCGAAGGCAAACACGAACTTCATGCTCTTCTGATCCAGCAATTAGTTTTGGCACCATGATCTCAAGCACCGATCCTGCTCCGTCACAGTATGCTTCTATGTTGGCATCTTCAGGAATTCGAGTTGAGAGAGGGATTTCACGAACAAACTCACCAGGTGGGCCGTGCTCTGGCGAAGAATCAGTAAGCTTGAATGTCCTATCATGTCGCTTGATGAATGGCTTCCCAGATGTGCTCACACAAGAAATCTTTATGATACCATTAGTGAGAGTATTCCTCCAAGAAACTTTCACACTTGAAAGATCCACACATGGCAGACTGATAACAATCATGTAACTTTTTTCATCCTCATAAATTGTTTTTGCAGCAGTAACAGGCCCACAAACATTCTTCATCAACCCACTAAAGTCATTCAACCAGTGATGCTGACTTGGTTGCATCTCTATATCTAGATGGTCAGATGGAGGATTTACGGCCAAGTAACAATCTTCGTCGTTCCCATAAAGAAAAAAATCCTTCCTCTTTTTGCCATTTATAGGAGAAAGATCAATGTCATCACCATTACTATGGTTTGACGGATGTGTTGACAAATTCAAACCAGATCCATGAAGCAGTTTCTTAGGATGAGGATTAGTAGCACTCTTGATAGGGTGAGGCGGTCTGTCAAGCTCAAATTTTCAAATTCCGTGTTGGAAAGATTTCTCCATGAACTGAAATCACTTGCTTCAGGAGGGATTGTGAAATTCAAACCTCGCCCAGTGAGTTCCATCCACCTTATCTGCTCATCCTTATCAAGACCAATTAGATTGGGTAATGGAACAACCTCAATGCCATGCACACATTGGGGGTTTGAAAGCCCTCTATAATGCTTCCGTTGCATCCTGTGGGATCTAACAAAACCCTTCTCGACACTAAATGGAAATGGGCGCTCCCCGTGGCGAGAGTGCCCATTCATGTAACTCCTTAGCTGCATCTTACCCAATGCATTTTCCGGCCTCTCCTTGAAAACCCACATGTACATGTTTTCCATGTCATGTTGGACCATGAAAACATCAAGCTTAATATCAGACTTATCAAACCCTGAAACACCATCACTGTCCTTGTCCCTAGACTTTTCATGCAACACAGGCTTAAAGTAAAACCTGAAGAAAAACCAAGCACCCCATATGCTATCAACTCGCTTAGAACATTTCCTGACAACTTTTGGAAGATTGAGAAAAGTCCCAGTCTCATATCCTTGAGTACCAAGACCAACATCTAAAATCTCACATGAATCTAAGTTCCATGGTTGTGGAGGAGGGCTTTGCTCTGTTGAGAGAGGCAAATTAATATCAGGGGGAAGTGAAAGGATGATTTGCGGGTTCATCCCCAAATTGAGTTCCTCATGTGATGATGCACTTGAATCCATGGACAAGAGCGTGGATGGGTGATGATTCTCCATTGACAGACAAGTGAAAAGAGAAGAATCACCCATTTTACTTCATCTCCTTCATGAGTTCTATTCCTTCTTGGTTCAATGTTGCCATCCCACAAACAATTCAACAAAACAACCTCACACACCTTCATCATATCAATTCCTCACTATCAAAACCCTAGATTTACAAATCAGATGATAATACTATCCTCACACCTTGTAAAAACAAAACTAAATATTTCCAACAAAACTATAAATTTGTTTTCTTAGACTCCATAAATCTTCAAACCAAAAAAGGTATCTCTTTTCACACAAAATTCTAAAAAAAAAAAAAAAAGATTTTTAAGGTAAAAAAAAAAAAAGAGAGGGAGAGAGAGAGAGAGAGAAACAAAATGAGAATCTTAGGGAATGTTAAAGGAATACCTTGAAAAATAATCATTAGAAAATGGAGAAGAAGAAGCTTCAGATGCGAGGATGCAATTCTACATCATATATATTGTATCTACCCTTTTTTAGGCTTTGACCTATTTTTTACCCCCAAAGAAATTAAAATAGAAAACAAATATTTTGATGTGGGATTCAACTCGTGAAAGGAAACAAAGAGGGGAAGAGTTAGATGGATACCGTCTCACTATAGCAAAAGTTTATCCCTACATTCATATTCAACCGGGTCGGATTGACCCGGATCCCTCTCATTTATTCTTCAACAACATTCTGCTTTTAAGTACTTAAAATCAATTTTAATGACTTCTCAAAAATAAAATAAAATTGATTCTTTGAATAGCATATGACTTTGGATTTGTCTTAATTAATTTATTTGCAAAAGTCATTACTTTATTTTATTAAAAAAAAATCAAATTAATGTCTTGCTTATGATCGATTTTGAAACATTAATAAGGATTAGTTCAATACTAACTTACAAAATGGAATGACAACCTTCCTACTAAGTTATTTGTTGGACATTTATGCCAAAGAAAAATAACAAATAAGTGAGATATTTATTAATATAGTAAATGAAAAATATAATAAAAATTAAATAAAATTTATAATATTATTTATTTTATTAATTTTTGTCCATATTTTAAAGGTGTTTTTTATATTTTAAATTAAAATATATATTTTATATGATATATGTAATGAAAGTTAAAGTTAAAATATACTAGTATTATTATGGAAGTAAAAGTTTAAACTTGATTAAAAATAATATAAAAATACTTATAATCTTGTACATTAATTTTATCCAAGCGTGAACTTGTTTGCATACACGATAAATGGAGTTTATGCTCTTTCCTTACAGTTTCTATGAAATGGTAAAAAAAAGAGTTGGACTTTCTTTTGGTCCACAAAATTGAGCAAAGAATTGAGCCCTGTATATTCTGCTGCCTTTGGGCCAGATTTTGGGCCTCTTTGCAAATTATTTTCCACTATAATATTAGAGATTTCACAATATATCAAGCTTCGCTTGAATGAACTTATAAAAGATTGTTCTTGTGTGATTTTTTTTAAAAGATCTTTTAAAAAACTAAAAACTATTTTGTATTTAAACGGAGTGCTCTGCAATTTTTTTAATGCAACTTTTAAGTAACTTGTCTACAATTTTAAAATATTATTATAAGCTTAAAAGGCTGTTTTAAGGTACAAATTATGCTTTTCTTAGAGCTTAATTTTTAGAAAACCCTATCAAACATGTAAAAGATAATTTAAAATGGCACATCAAAATAAGCTCGTTCTCTCCCTGTTAATGCAAAATGCAAAGAATTTCAATTTTTTTTAATCATGCAATGATCGCTAAAGACATTAAATAGTAACCACTAATGTGTCTTGATAGATTTTTAAAACTGCTAAGACAACAATTGAGGTCGTTTTTAAATGTTCAAGACGCGTGGGTAAAATCAAAATGACTAGATAAAATTACCTATTTTACACAGGCTCGAAATTCCCTTCAAATAGTAATAAGTCATTTCTTGGGAAAAATTACATTAAAAGCATTGAGTAACCTCCTTTTAGGATATTTTTTTTAAGTGATTTTTCGGGTAGGCCTTTATTTATTATTTGAGGATCGTAGGCAAATTGTTATTGAAGATACCAAAAGCATTGAAGTAACACATGCTTGTAATTTTTTTTACCTGAAAAAAGACACGCTATTCAGAATAGAGATTAAATTAAAGCCAGAACATTAAAGTCTGTCTAGGGTACCTGCTAATTTTTGTTTTGAACATTTTAAAATAAAAAATATTTTTAGTTAAAGTTGGTGTAGTTTTTAATTTTAATATTAAATTTTAAATCTATATTATATAAACCACTCAATTTTTTGGGTACAAAACGATCAAATATATTTGTATACTTTTTAAATATGATTAAATCTAGTTTTAATATTTAATTTTTTATATTCATAAATTCTATATTATTTATCATCTGTTAAAAGCTTGTTCTCAAATAAGATGATGCACCATATGCTCTCACCTGAAACTTGTGGGAAACCCGTTCATAAATTCTACACAATAGTGCATGGACTAGCGAGTCCTTCCTTCGCCAATACCCAATAGGCATTCTGTTTCTTTTGTAGATTTATATCATATTTGATTAGACCATCGTGGCAGAAAACTGGTTAGTTTAATAGATGCTTCTGAATGGAACTTTAGTTAACTTTTTACACTTTTACCAACTTATAAAGAAGATTTGATCAATTGGGTGACAAAGCAAACTTGTTTGAATATGTAAGGACAATTAAAATGATAAAAATTTCCAAAGCCATGCAAAATATAGAAAACATACAAAGCAAGGTATGATTTGATAATCTTTGTTTTAAGGATTAATTATTCTTACAATTGAACTGCATGTGAGCTAAAATTGCTAGAGAAAAATGTGCAGGCACTCATTTTGTGTTATAGTCTAGAGAGAATGTGAGAAACAGACATTTGTATTGTAGAGATAATATATGGTATAAAATTAGCAAAACAAAGATTTATGTAACATGTTGGCAATCCTAACAATTTTTGTTAAGTGGCTATCTCAACATAAGATCATTACTTTGAAGATGAGGGCGAAGGCAAACGCGGACTTGATGCTCTTCTGGTCCTGTGCGAAGTTTTGGCACCATGATCTCCAGCACTGATCCTGGTCCATCATAGTAAGCTTCTATATTTGCATCTTCAGGAATTCGAGTTGAAAGCGAAATTTCACGGACAAACTCACCAGGAGGAGAGTGCTCAGAGGATGTAGCTGTAAGCTTGAATGTTCTGTCTTGTCTCTTGATTAATGGCTTCCGAGATGTGCACATACAAGAAACCTTAATGATACCGCAAGTAACAGTGTTCCTCCAAGAAACTTTGACACTCGGAAGATCTACACATGGTAGACTGATAATAATTAAGTAACCTAGTTCATCTTCATATATAGTTTTTGCAGCAGTAACAGGTCCATAAACATCCTTCATCACCCCATTAAAGTAATTCAACCAAAGTGGCTCTGCATAAGGTTGCATTTCCATATCTTGATTGGAATCAGATGGAGTATTAACAGTCAAGCAACATTCTTCATCATTCCCATTAGGGAAAAGGTCCTTCCTTTTTTTGCTGCTGACAGGAGATAGGTCCAACCCATCACCATTGCTATGGTTAGACAGATAAGTTGACAAATTCAACCCTGATCCATTAAGTAGTTTCTTAGTGTGTGAATTTGAATTACTCTTGATTGGGGGAATTGGCCTTTCAAGCTCCAGATCCATGATGGGAAGATTTCTCCATGAACTGAAATCGCTTGCTTCAGGCAGGACTGTGAAATTCAAATCTCGGCCAGTGAGTTCCATCCACCTATTCCGTTCATCCTCTTCGAGGCCTATCAGATTGGGGCATGGAACAACCTCAATGCCATGCACACATTGAGGATTTGAAAGTCCCCTATAATGCTTCCGTTGCATCCTATGAGATCTAACAAAACCCTTATCAACACTAAACGGGTAAGGGCGTTCCCCTTGGCGAGAATGCCCATTCATGTAACTCCTCAGCTGCATCTTTCCTAATGCATTATCAGGCCTTTCCTTGAAAACCCACATGTACATGTTTTCCATGTCATGTTGGACCATGAAAACATCAAGCTTAAGATCAGATTTATCGAATTCAAACCCCGTAACACCATTGCTATCCCTGACAACCTTGGCCTTAGATTTATCATTCAGTGCTGGCTTAAAGTAAAAACTGAAAAAGAACCAAGCACCCCATATACTATCAACCCGCTTTGCACACTTTCTTCCAGCTTTTGTCGAGTTGAGATAAGTATCAGTCTCATATCCATGTGTGCCAAGACCAACATCCAAAATATCACACGTGACAGAATTCCATGGCTGTGGAATCAAGCTACCGCGCTCTGATGACAGAGGCAAATTGATATCAGGTGGACCTAAAGGTATAATTTCACTATTCATCTCCAAATCGAGTTGCTCACGAGATGATGCACTTGAATCCATGGACAAGAGAGTGGATGGGTGATGATTCTCCATTAACAAAGCATTGACACGGGAATCCCCCATTTTACCTCATCTTCTTGATGAGTTTTATTGCCATCTCAATAACAATTCAATATAACAACCTCGTAGACACTTTCTTCAGATCAATCCCCACTATATCTTCCCTCCATCAAAGCCCTATATTTATCAGATAATCAGATAAATGAATTCGCACACACCCACGTTTCAAGGAATCAACAATTCAAATCTTTACTATTATTATTATTATTATTATTATTAATAATAAAAGATTTAAAATGATAACTTGTGTATAATTCTATTTAACATGATAAATTGCAAAGTCAAGTACTCAACACACAGGGTCTCAAAAAAAAAAGGAATGAAATACGGGGTAAACCTTTTAGGAGAAGCATCGGAGTGTCGAAAAAAGGAACTTGTGCAAGCAACGAGAATGTTATTGTCATCAATAACCATGTTTTCTACTTAGACCCTTTTACCTATTCTTTCTTCTGAAGGAGACAAAAAAGGCTTTATTTGCTTCTTCTTCGATGACCCGTGAAAAGAACACAGAAGAAGTGCAGTGTGGAGTTTGAGGCAAAAGACAAAATATTAGGGAGAAAACGGGTAATTGAGGAACCGTTATTACAGGGAGACAGGGAGTTTCGTAGGTTAAGATTTTGGTGTTTTTGTTTATGGTCATGTAGGTTAAAGCCTTCACTGGATACGGTATTTTTTGCACAAGAGTAGTAGGGCCCAAAACTCACTTCCTCTTTTTCCTTGACCCAAAATTACTACTGTTCTAGGATTACTTATAGTTATAATTATATGTTAGAAAGTTAAAAAAAACATTTTATTAAGTCAACAATTTATTAATTTAATTTAAATATATTGATAGTAGACAATTCTTAATTTTTTAATTTTGGACAAAAATATATATTAGTTGTATAATTATTTTTATTCTGTCGTCTATAACTTGTCATATGATTAAAGTTAGTGAATTTTCATAATAATCATTTTAAAATTCAAATTTAAGATTATTTTTATTAGATAATAATTAAGAAATTTATATTAATAATAACAAAATTAAACTCTATTTTATTAGACATATACATGTATTTAATTATATATAACTTTCTTATTAATGTTTATGAATATACTTTATTTTTTTAAAAAATATTTAAGAAGCATAAAAAAAATTTAATGTTAAATAATAAGAGGCTATGTTTTCACAGATACTTTTTGGGTCAAGTTGAACAGATTAAATAGTTTAAAACTAATTTCGGCCCAGTCATTGGGCTGTTAGTAGGCCATTAACATTGCTAGATAGTTTTGGTCCATATCTAGTTGTCCCAAATCGATTATGATTGAATAGTTAAACTTTTGACCCAAAAATAAAAAACTTTTGAATCCTGTTTAATTTGTTTGATGTTCGAAGTCCAATTAATATTGTATCATGAAAGCAAAGACATTTTTGTTATGCATATTATTATTGAGATAAAATGTAAATTCATCTTATTTTTAAAAAAATTAATTATTAACTTCAACGTGATTACAGCTCTGCTAATTGGAAACATGTAGATGACTCAACTTAATATTGTATCAGTTGAAGCTTTAGACTTGATCACATTAGCTTATAGAGAAGAGAAGAGACTTCTTGTTGTTTTATCTGACTTTGATAGCTAAAATCTGATTTTATTAAATGAGATCTAATATAAATCTGGACAAAAAAAATAAAGTAAATTTAAATATTTGATTTATTAAAACTCTAAATTTTAAAACTAGTTTAGTTTTAGTGATAAGTTAGACCTCTAAATCTGAATTTTTGTGCTGAGCCCAGCAAATTAAAGTTTGCAGCTCTAGCACTTCTCATAGATGGGAGTTGTTATAGTTTTGAAACGGTGTCATTAGAATTCATATTGTGTTGGTACTGTGTAATTTAGATACAGTTGATTTACTGTTAGTTTTACAAAATAAGTTACAGAAACCTGTGAAATCAAGTAAATGGGTTCCCAAAGATGCTAAAAGTTTGAGAAAAACACTGAAGGAAATGAAGATTGAAACATAAGTTTTGAACCGAAAGATTGAACGCATCCAATTGACTTCAAACCAAATATTGTTTAAGGACATTAGTTAAAATAGTTTCATTGGTTGGTGAGCTGACTATATAAAAGTCACCAACTAGTTTCTTGATCTCACATGATTACATGAATTTACAAACACGAAATAGAATGAAGACCAGTTAACTGCTACACTTAGTAAATAGTCTTCCTTGGCTCCATGTGTCAACCACTTTGATTCAGAACATGCAACCTACAATGTTAGCAAGCATTGACCCATCTGAAACTTGGAACTTGGAGTTCTGCTTTTGAATGGAAAATATCTGTTCATAGGGACAATAAATAACCATGAGAGAATCTAAATTATTCGAAGTTAATATTAAAAATACTTGTGTTGAATGTTTATTATATTTCTAAGATATTAAAAACATTTACCTTTTCATTTCATTTTTTTTCTTATGAAGTATTAGGAATATTAGTAAACAAATACTATAGAAGATTATAGTATTATATACTTGAAACGCCTCTTCATTGGTTTCCATGCATATCAGGCGTCGAGTCCAACATTTATTCTTACTACGATATATTGTGTGTAACTTTTCTGGAAAAAAATTAAATAACAACGGCATGAAACCATAATAATGGTAAAAATACTTGGCTATATTTATAAATGGTGGTAAAGAAATATTAACCATCATGATGTACATATCAATAGCTTTTACTTTTTAGTTCTTAAAAGTGACTTTTTTTTGTTAGTAATTAAAATGTTTTTTTAGTATACAAAAGTTAATGAAGACAGTCATTATATGATCATTTATAATATTTTAGTTGGTTTAACTTCAATGCTTAGGTAACGATTGATTTTTTAATGTCAAAGGTTTAAGTTAAAACTATTAGATCGCGCGTCTTCTAATATTTTAAATTTAAACGTTTTTCTAACTATAAGATGAAAAATAGTTATACAAAAGTATATTTAAAATTCAATCTCTTACATGTTAAATTTTAAATTAACAATCAGTTATTATTTAAAGAATTTTATAGACTCTGTGTAATAATTTAATGATAGTTGTATAGAAGGGTTCATCAAAAGCTTCCTTCTTTTAATACATTAAACAACATCATTTTTTATTCCATTAAATTTTTTAATCCAATTTAAAATATTAAAAACACTGCATTTATTTTTTCTGTTTCTCTTGGAAATTGTGGGACAGTGGGAACAAAAGAGCACAGGTCGATAAATGATTTTGAACAATTATATATAAGCTTCATAATTAATTATAAAATAATATCTCATAATTTAGTAGTTACATATATCAAAATTATATTTTAGTAAAAATTATCAAACAAAATAAGAATCAATACAGTGACAGAGTAACTTTATTGAGTAAATAAAGATATTTAATAATAAACTTAAATATTATTTTATTTCTCAATTTTTTTTTTTGGATTGGTTTTTAATAAAAAAAACATATAATTTTAAATAAAAATATTTTCTAAATTTATGTGATTAATTTTTGTTATAATATAATTAAATATATTTTTTTAATTCTTATACATAACATATTTTTTTTATTATGGCCTTTATATATAACACATTTAAATTATAGAAATATAAATACAAAATTAAAAAAGTTATCATAAAAATCAGTTAAAATGTTAGGATGATTTATGAAAGAGTACAAAATAATAATGTATTAATTTTAAACAATATTATTATTGTTTAATATGATTATTAAGAATATTATGGATAAATAATGTCTGAGATTCAAGTAAAAATATATTATTTTACTCAATATAAAATATTATAAGGAAATAACGTGGAGCAATTTAATTGTTAAATATAATAATAATTATAAATTATTTATTTTATGAAAAAATATATATAAATTTTTTGGTTAAATCAAAAACATAAACTAAAATTATATGACTCAAATTAAAAATATAATTTTTTTACATTGACATTCAAACTTAAATAATAAGAAGAAGACAAATTTTTTAATTTTAGAATAAAAATTAAATCATCAAAATTGTAGTGCTGTAAATATAATATTGGTATTGTTTTGAATATAATGTACTAAATAAAGTAGGAGTATTAGGTATTGTGACTAGAGTATTTAATTCGCGAGCATTTGTTACTTACCACGAGTCCAATTATCGTTTATATTATATCTGGTAGATACTAACCCCATTAGTTATTTTAAGGTATTAATTAAGAAGTTTAAAAAATAAAATTTATATCAACATTTTTTTATTTATAATTTTTAATAAAAAATACCTTTTTTAACTAATATTTTTAAAGCATAGATTGGAAAACCCTTTTGTATTCTTATACAATAATGAGGTAACATTAGCATTATGATTGCAATTTTAGAATTTAAGTGTAATTAATAAAATGAGTTATTTTGATTAAATGTATTAAAATATAAATTTAACTTAACTTTAAAATTTATATTCAAATAAGTTGTGAAAGATTTTTTATCCAACTAATTTGAACTTTCTTTTTAATCAAATTTAGTTTCACTTAATTTATTTAAACATAAATACATGAATTTAACATTCTATGTTACTGTTAAAATAAAAAAAATATTTTGTTCAATTAATTTGAAATTTTTTTAATCAAATTTTGTTTCACTTGATTTATTTAAATATAAAAGATATGAATTTATCCATTTTAATGTTTAAGTAGGAATTTTTGTTTTAGTTTTTGCTGGACTGGATAAAATCTTAAGCTTGAAATGTACTGACTTAAACTAAACAAAGTCTCCATTTTTACATTTTGCTTTAGTTTTCGGATAAAAATAAAAAACTAAATCAAATCGCCTATTTTGCCATTTCTAGAGCAAGGTTGGGTAGTAAAAGGTAGCAGTGAATATTATTCCAATACAACCACGTATTTGCACATTAACTTAGTAATTATTTGTTATTCTCTTTATTTCAGTTTAGACTTATTTTAACACGTTTTATTTTTCACATTATTTATTATTATTATTATTATAAAACATTAATTATTATTTAATAATGTATTTATTTATTAAGAATTATTCTTACTAATAACTTACTATAAAGCAATTTTTATTAACTAACAAATTATAACAATTTTAATAAAAACATATAGATAAAATTAAATTAACTTTTAATGTAAATTTAAGTACACAAAATAAAAACTTGGGTATAATCATTTTTTTATCAAGAATCATAAAATATAATACATTAAAATTAAATAATAATATTAAATATCATAATTTATTTATTAATTTTATTATATTAAAAATATCAAAAAAATTATACTAAATGATATATAAAGTAAGGTAAGTAAGGTAAGGGAGTAATAATTGCAAAAACCATGGGGTCAAATAATTATTTAACAGCTGATTGACCAGATTTGACAGGTTTATACAATTTTTTAAGATTATGGTACAAAAATATTCCACGGTCACTTCTTCGAATCCTAAAAATTAAATATCTGTTAATTTTAACAATCATGTGCAATGTGCATCATGCCCCGCTTTTAATTGGAATTTGATCCTTAATGGCTCTTAATCAGATTCCATATTTAATGTTGATAGGCAAAATTCTTACATTTTTTTATAGACTAGTTTTAAAATTAATGATATTTAAATGACTAAAAAGAGCGAGTTGATACTGCTGAACATAGAAATAATACACGAGTAAAATCTGTATCTTTAAATTTATTGGTAGGGTAGTTTCTTCTCATATGTTCATCACTGTACAATTACACAAAGATAAGCATTAAATGTTACAACAGGATAAATAATAATATATACACACGTGATCTATTAACTTATAAAACTTTTCATTTTATAATTGAAGTTAATTTTCCATTTTAAGATTATTTATTTAATTAAATGAATTAGACTTTAATAAAATATTTAACGAATTAATGTTTTGCACCTTTTAAGTAGATTTTGATTTTCTCACATTTTTATATTATTTTTCATTTTTAAAAATATTTTTATCTCTTTGTATATTCTTTCAAATTTTTTCACTCATTTCACACTTTAATTAATAAATTACCGTTTTTAACGTTGACACCATTTGTGTCCGTAAGTTATCATCAAACTTAAAATTAATATCACCCCTGGTGATTTATACACCCATGAAATACTTAATGTAGTAGAAATTTGCAAGTTTTGGGCCAAGGGTATTTGCGTTTATAGAAAAGTTATATTATTCATATCATAATTTTTTATTTTATTAACATCAGTGTTTAAGATTAATTAAGCATTTTAAAATAATTTTTTTATTAAAGGTCATTTAGTTAATATTTAAAAAATAATTTATTAAAAAATTATAATTTATAAAAAAAATTAATAAATTTCTTGATATATTTTAGTATAATGGTTTTTAAATTTTTAAAATAATTTTTACAATTAAATTTTAATTTTAATTTTTTATATGTAAGATTATACTATATAAATATTTAATTACATTTCTTCTTCAAACATATACTTCTTATATTTTTTATATAATATATATTTTTATAATAAATTACTAACTTAACATAAACTATACTTTTTATAACACAAGTATCTTTTATTAAAAATATTTTTTTCTTTAGCAAAAAAAATATTTTTTTTAAAAAAATTAATGTTGATGACAAAATTATTCTTTTAAAATATTTAATATAATTATATTTGCTATAACATTTAAGCTACAATAATCTTTTTTACTCAACCATAAAAATATAAAAAATATTAACATTTTTTTTCATACATTTTTTATTATTAACTAAAATTTATTGAAAATATAAAAAAATGTAAAAAACATTATTTAATTTAAAAATAATAAAATTCACATAATTTTTATAGTCTGTAACACTGTCAATGATTAAAGAAAATATATCAGTGTTAACATTATTTCATAAACTTTTATAATATTATATATTCCGATTATATCATATCAACTTTGTCTCTGCTCTTTATCTCGTGTGTGTTGCATAAATTTCTGTTTTTCTCAAAAAAAAAGAAAAAAAAGAAAAGGGAAATAACCTAACGGTGGTAACAGAGAGTCATTAATTGGCATAGACATCTAGTTCTCATAATCTTGACCGCATGGCTTCATTGGTCCCGCAGCTGGTTCCTTTAGCCTCGGATCCAAACCTTGGCACTCCATTACATTGACACCTGTGGATCCCATTCATGACTCACCTGTCCCTTTTATTTAGGCACTATACTGTGTTCCCTCCCAAATTATACATACACGTATACGAAAATTAGTCTTAAATTGTATTTGGTACAATGTGTCTGATGACAGCAAGGTTCTGCGCAGTGACATTAAATTCTCATTTACCATCCTCAACTGTCCCTCACCCTCTTAGTTTACTTCTTCCCCTATAAAAAAACACTCTCTCCAAACACTTTGGGGCACGACTCAACTTGAAGAGTAAGAACTCGAAGAGTGCAATATCATCATTACTCACTCGGTGAGAAATGGCTAGGTGGTGTATCACGTTGTTGGTTCTTGCTTTGGCTGTGGCTACAAGTGCCAGAAACGCACCTAACGATGCTGGTTTGAAGGACCAGAAGAACTTCATCACCTATGGTGGGGTTGGTGGTTATTCAGGAATTGGGAACAATGGATTACCCTTTGGAGGAGCTGGTGCTGGAGTAGGTGGTGGTTTTGGCGGTGGAGCTGGTGGTGGTCTTGGTGGTCTTGGTGGTCTTGGTGGTACTACCGGAATAGGTGGACTTGGTGGATTCGGAGGTACTGGTGGTGGAGTTGGTGGTGGTGTTGGAACCGGTGTTGGTGGTGGTGCTGGAACCGGTGTTCTTCCTTTCCCTTGAGATCGTGAACATACATGCATGCATGCATGTGTCATGCACATGCATGGGTGGCTTCCCGCAGTTTCTTTGAATTAGTTACCCTAGTATTTCTTTTTCGTTGAGGAAATAATTGTGGTTTATGTATGTGTCGTTCGTCCAAGCATTTTAGAGTTTCTGGCCCGTTGAAAGTAAAATATATAGTTTATCTTGTAACGTGTTCTTCGTCCGTCTTTGCTTAGGTTTTGTGTCAACATAGTACTCATACGTCGTTCTTTTGTTTTACTTGGAAGTAATGTAATCACTATATGAGCTTCACTTACTTGCTACATGCTCTTTCTATCTCTTTCTCACTCTCTCTTGTGCATTTATTTTGTTCGATTATTTAACAAATAAAATTACTAATTTTATGCGTTCTTTCTGAACTTCAGTAGAATAACTAGTATTTTTAAAAAATAATCAAAATATTTTAAATAAGACAAAGCATAGTTGAAGTTATTTAAGTATTTTTAAAGTCTTATTTTAATAAAAAAAAATTAATTTAACAATACGAAGCAACTTTGAACGATAATTTGTAGTGTACGAATAATGAAAGTAAAAATATAATTTAATTAAAAAATAATATTGACATAGTTAAAGAGTTACAACTAAGTTTTACTTTAAAAATGATTTCAACTTTTGAGGTTTAAAGTTGTTACAGTTTTGAATAAAATCCATCCCACTTTTTGTACTATAAAGTGTGTATAAACATGAACACCAATATATTTATTGTTCATCAATTGCCTTTAATTAATTTCTTTTACATTTATTAAAAATACCTTATTTAATATATTTTTATTAAGTGACGTGATATTTTATAATATATATATATATATATATATATATATATATATATATATATATATGGTTTTACAAAGTATGATATATATTCTTTTTATTGTAAAGAGAGAGGGTTAAAAAAACTAGTTTCAATTGCTTGTGCGCCATAATGTATTAAATGCTATTTACATGTAAATTCTCTTATATGGAATAATCTCAACACATGATATAAGTAGTGCCCGGAGAAGAATGAATTTGGGACAAGATGTCATAGGTTAGGTCTAACTTAAGTTATTACTCCTATATATAGATATGGAATGTATGTTAGAGGTTCAACGGCCTTTATCAATGTAATTACACATGGATTCTCTTATAAGAAAAAACCCAACACACATAAAAGAAGAATGAATTCGGAACAAGATGTTTATATCTATAAACCTAAGTAATTATATAAGCATTTAATGTGTGCTTGCTGCAACCTTCTATATATAATGGATTAACTATCACTATTTGAATTTGTAGGAGAAAATACTCTCCTCATCTCTAGCTATAGGGTGGTCCTCAACAAAATGTAAGTGATATCTCTTTCAGTAGGTGTGGTCTCTTGAGTTCTTAAGTAAGTAAGGAAGAGAATAAACAAGGAAAGTAGTATATCAATGTCAAATTCTATGACATGGATAAATTAAAAACATTATACAAACTATGAAAACATTGTTGGTAGTGAAAGGGCATTTAAGTAGTAATAGCAGAGTTTGGTGAAGTTTTGAATAGAGTAGGAGTAGCTGGCCCAGGCCCAGTTAAAGTCTTCAGATGGCAACAGTCTCCGTGTTACATTTACTTGTTCCAGTACTATGCTACCTTGCAACTGACATGGCAGCTAGCTAGTTGTAGTCACACGTCAATTCAGTGATCCAATTCAACATGGTCATCACATTTTCACCAGAAAATTTATTTCTTTTTTATTATTTCACCTTAGTTTTTTTATTACTTAATATTCTGAGCAGATACAATTTGGGTGTGAGAAAAAATGAGATCAAAATATAAAAAACATAATACGTCATATAATATAACAAATAAAGCCTAAATATAAAACAACAAAATTTAGATAAAGTACAGTAGATACTAATAATGTTGTTTTTAATTAAAATTATTTTTTTATTTTAGTAACGTATATAATAATTTTTTATTAAAGAATGATATATTAATATTAAAAGTCGATATATGTTACTAAAATAAAATTCTAATTTTAATTAAAAATTATATTAATTAACAATATCTATAAATTTTTAAAATGTCTTTATTAAATTGAATAAGAATTGAAGGGGCGTCAACGGTAGTAAATAACTAGCACCTACCATCTATTCTAACCTCTGTAACAAAACCTAACAAGCATGTTCTTATGACAGGTTGTTCACTTGTTCCCGGCAGTGGGCAAAAGAGAACACCGCTCGGCGTCAAATAGTTAATAGAAAATTATGTATAATAAATTTTATTTAAAACAATAGAATAGTATAAAATTTAATGTATTAATAACATTAAATACTGTATTTTTAATAAATAATATTATTTTAAAATTTTTTAACCTATATTGGGAAAATGCAAATTCATTACTCCTAAGTTTAATAAACACTGATTGCAAATTGCTCTGTTATAGAAAGAGGCGACAGAGTCAGCAAAATTTTCCGGTTTTATAATATTTATCATTTCTTTAAGCTATAATGGCTTAAATTCAATTAGCAGAATAGCAAGTTGGTGATTTCTCGGTATTTATGAGTAATTCACATTAAGTTGAGTCAGTTTTATTTATTAAAAATCAGATAATTTTTTTTTAAATGTATTTCATGCATGCTTAGGATATATTATTTTAAAAAAATGTTCATTTGTTTTTGTAATTTAAATTTAAATTAATAAAAAATATTTTGTCTCAGGTTAAATTTTTGTATATGCAAAAAATCTCTAATAATAAATTTACTTACTATATCTAAATATGCAATTCAGACTAGATTCAGATTAAACTAAATGAAACAAAAATTTTAATGTATCTTTTATTAAACATACAACACAATGCCTAGTTAAAGATTATCAATGATTAAGTTATTTAAAAAAAAACATTTTAAATCTTAGCCCAAAGTTTCAAAAAGCCTTTTTTACATAAGTGTAGCTTTTTAATATCAAATTATACATGTGCTTCTTTTTTTTTTTTTTCTTTACATAAATATTCTAAAACATATATGCAAAAGTCGATTACAGACGACTTTTATATTCTATTTTTATCTTTGAAGAAGTTGACTTCAATCAACTTTCATTATTTAAAGAAGTCGACTTTAATTAACTTTACGTTACTGCAAATTAAATTTAAAAAAATTGATTATAATCGACTTTCATAATGCACAAAAAATGACTAAAATTGACTTCTGTTAATGTTTAGATACGATTTTAAATGACTACCATATAGCTCGATACCAAAAAGAGGCAAGAAGAGAGAGAAGTAAGTAGAGAGAATCAAAATTAGAGAGATAAATGAGGTAAGAGAGAGTGATCAAAGAATAGTGGAGATAGTAAAGACAACAGAAGATAGATAACTATTTATATCAACTTAATTTTGTTGATTATGTTGCAAGCAAGCTGCTAACACAGGTAAATTAATTTTTAAATATATTTAGTTAATTTATAATTAGTTATTTTTGTATTTAATTTAATGTATTATTGATTATGTAATTATATGTTTGAAAATTTGTCCAAATGTTAATACTTATTATCTTTTAAATCAATTATAATTGTTATATTGAAGAATGTAAATAAAATTCTATTATATATTTGTAATTATTAGATGATTTAGTTTTGTATTATAGTAATTTATAATTATAATAATTTTGATATAATGTTTTCATTTAAATCTTGTAATATTATTTTGTTATTGTACAGGAAGCTCAAATTTTAAAAAGTAGATATTATAATATGATGGTTCCTTCAGACTCAATAATGGAACAATTTCTTAGGCTGACTAGTTTTTGGCATGTTGCACGGATGATTCTACTATTTGATTATGATGTGACACTTATAAGTATATTTGTAGAACATTAGAGCTGAGATCGATATATTTTATTTTTCATACGGATAATGTACAATCACTTTGAAGAATGTTATGTTTCAGTTAAGTTTACGTGTGGATGAAATCCCTGTGAGTGGTTGTATTGGAGCGTGGCAAAAATTTTATGATCAAAATATATAGGTATTGTGTGAGGATTTACTTGGAGTAGTTTTTTATGAGAGTAACATAAAAGAATTTTCTATAAATTTACAGTGGTTTATAGATACATTTGGAGCATTACCTCATAATGTTGATGGACAGACTATTATCCGTTACACTAGAGCATACATAATGATAATATTTGGTAGGGTATTATTTTAAGATAAATCAGGATTTAGGATTCATATGAAGTGACTACCTTTTTGAACTGATTTTACTGAGATTCCAAACTATAATTGAGATTCTGCTGTTCTAACATCCCTTTGTCATGCGGTGAAATACAATGTCACCGAGATTGCAGGTTATTTGCCTTTTCTACCATATTGGGCATAGTATATCAGTCGATCTCCCAACACACGATGTTGAATCTGATACAAATTCAACTATATAACATAACTCACACTACATATACCACCCAACACCCACATACCCCAGTCACCACTTTATGTTAGGACCTAACCAACAGCAGTACAGGTTGGTTCTTCTCAACACCAGTTCATACCGGGTCCTAGCCAACCATGTATGACCCCTAGCCAGCATTTTATGACAGACCCTATTCATCAGTTCATGTCAGATTCTGAGGTTACTCATAGTCTTATGCAATATTTTGTCACAGGTCTAACTCATGATAATATTGCATGACATATCTTTTAGTCCACCTTTCATGTTAAATGCCTGAGATTATGACTTGGCTAACTTCGACCGGTACAAGTATATTTGTGCCAACATCAGATAATCTACCTTGACCATCACCAACACATATTCAAACTCCCTCATTTTATGGTTCATCAGAGGAGAAGGAACATCACACACCTGTCCAACAGCAGAAAATAGATGATCAATACATGCATGACCAAAGTTAGTAGGAGGAGAAACATGCACACTGCAAACCTATATTATAGATTGTATATCGTCATTGTGCAACAGTGAGTCACCTTGCTGGACTTAGATGCAA